CAAAAGAATTACAATATTATTGTTTAAAATTGTATTTGTTCACACTGTTGCACATCAAGCTATAAAACCAATTTATCATGATCTCGTCTTCTAGTATCATTCCCTACATTCGACAGTCAGTTTATACTGGTTTTGTATAGTTTGACGAGTAGTTTGAACGAGTAATTAATTAATACAAAACCGATTTGCTTCGGAATGAGGGCAGGGCAGGTAAGCAAACATGTAGTGAAATCATGAAATGTTTACACAAATGTATTTGGTATTGCTATTACAAAATGAGTGTGTGTAAAAGGAATTTTGGTCTGTTGTTACAGTCTAATGGCATGATTACTTTGTATTGAGATAGATATTTCTGACTAGCTAGATACTACCACACAGTTCCACCCACTGCTCAGCTCGTACTGGGCGAGTGTTGTAAGATCGCGTAGCAGCACCCTTAAAGCTTTTAAACTTCTGACTGCACGGTTGGTGCGGTGGCTGGGCAACCGGCTGCCGTGCAACGTGTCGCGGGCTCGATTCCCGCACGGAACAACACTTTGTGTAATCCACAAATTGTTGTTTCGGGTCTGGGTGTCATTGTGTATGTAAATTTTTATGTTTGTAAACGCACCCACGACACAGGAGAAAATTCTAATCCGTTCTTAAGAAAAAAATAAAAAAAAACTACAACCAACCCCAAAGAATATAATAAGTATAGGGAAAACCCTCCTAAATAAAGGATTCCATTATCCATAGCCCAATAATAAACTGTCACAGACTGTTGATGACAAAAAAAAAATATATTTTTTTTATCTTTTTTTTGGCATCCGAAAACGAACCTATACTAATTTATATCATCATATCACCTATGTATTATTGTTACAATTATGTACCTACTATTGTAATACGCACACAAATTAGCACACGGCTGCTTCTAGCGTTACGCGGTTTTACTCAGGAACCACAACTAGATATGGATTACTCTGTACACCTACTTACCTACTTAGGATAGGTATTTAAAATCACCTACTTATAATAAACATAACATCACGCCTTTTAGCCCCAAAGGGGTAGGAAGAGGTGCACATTACGGCACTTAATGCCACTGTACAATATGACTAGGGTTGCCACCCGTACTTTATAATAAAGTATTGTACGTTATTTAAGGTAATTGTACTCTATACTTTATAAGAATAATAAAGTACACGAAAATACTTTATTTTTGCAAACTTCATTTCTATTAAATTCGTAAGTATTTTTCAGTAAACTTATCGATTCAATATCGATATTTATCGATTTATGTTGAATCGATAACTCGCCAGCGCCACTTGAACAGCGACACAGAAATTGTATTTCTAATAAAGATGCAATTTTTTAGTATTTCAATGCAATTGTTCAGTAAAGATACTAATTCAATACTAATTTTAATTAAGAATAAATTGTACTTTATTTTTGTACTGCGTACTTTTTTTTCTTACCTATAATCGTCAATGTACTTTAAATAGCAAAAAAAAGGTGGCAACCCTAAATATGACACCCACTTTTCACTATTTATGTTATGCGTGATTCCTATGTAATAGGGGAAGAGCCTTTTGCCATATACCGGGCACATTTCCAGGCTCCGTGCTACTACTGAGATTTTTAGAAAAAACCCAGTAGTACTTTACCCGACCCGGGAATCGAACCCGAGACCCGGCAGTCGCACTTGCAACCACTCGGCCAACGAGGCAGTCTATACGACTTAGGTTATCTATGGGTATTTAAAATCACCTAGATACGTCTTATCATAAAGTCTTCTTTTAATACCTTTCTAACTTTGTCTGTCCTCTATTTGTGTAGGTAGTGTTTTAAGTTTGGCTGTCTATCTATGGGTGTGGTGGATGTGTACAGCGCCGTAAATAGGGCGGTGCCAGCGGTGCCCAGGCACAGGGCGCAGACCCTGGAGGGGCGCAGAAATGACCAGACTGTACTATCTAAATCTGTATCGCATTTTTAAACGATCTTGAATCAACAACACATTTCCAACGACTCACTACATATCAGACAAGGTCCTCAACGCGACCAGCCCCCTATCGGCCGACGTCCTGGCCGAGCGGTAAGCCGCTCGGCCAGGCCGTGCCTCGGTGAGAACGAGGCTCGCGTGTCCAGGCCCACTAAATGCCTGGATGTCAGGATTTTGGGCCTGGACGGAGGGGGAGGTCTGTGTCATCTGAATCATCTGCGCCAGGTGTACTGGTGGTCGCAAGAGCTGGCAGATCTACGCAAGGTGTGCACTGCTGCGCGACGCCAGTACACTAGACACCGCAGGCGCCGCATCCGTCCTCCGAATGCGAAGGCGAAAGAGGCGGAGTTGCACGAGGTATCAAGGTGGAAATACTGCGGGCCAAGGAGGAGGCCCGCCGAGAGATGCTGAGGACTCTAAACAGAGACCCCTTAGGGACTCTTAGAAGAGGTGATTGGCGCCCTGTTCCCCCGACTGTGGAGAGGCTTCACCCCTTCGTATATGACTCCGCCCCCTACGGTGCCCGACGCGGGCTATAGCGACGACGGCGACGACATCGTCTCAGAGGTGACCGATGCAGAACTGAGAGCGGCGGTGCGCCAGATGGCAAAGCATCGGTCCTGGCCTCAGAGGCTCTCGGGCCTCGATTAATCGGTCCTTACAGCGCATGCTTGGAGAGAGGCCAGTTCCCGCTGCTCTGGAAAGCGGGTAAACTGGTCCTCGTGCGGAAGACGGGGCGCCCTGCGGACTCTCCGTCCGCGTACCGGCCCATAGTGCTGCTCGACGAGGTGGGGAAAGTCTTCGAAAGAATAATTTCGAACCGCCTCGTCACGCACTTGACGGATATTGGGCCGGACCTGTCGGACGGCCAGTTCGGCTTCCGCAGACGGCGCTCCACGGTGTACGCCATCATGCGAGTTAGGGACCGGACGGGGACGGGGACTGCAGTGTCCAGGGGTAAGGTCGTGGTCGTTGTGGCGGTGTCTCTGGACATCGCCAATGCCTTCAACTCCCTGCCCTGGAGCTGCATCTTGGAGGTACTCCGATATCATCAGGTGCCTACCTACCTCCGTCGTGTAATCGAGGCTTACCTGACGGACAGGTCCGTCATTTACCCCGGTCACCGGGGCGAGTGGAATCGGCGAGAGATGTCACATAGGTGTTTCACAGGGTTCGGTTCTGGGGCCGCTCCTGTGGAACATCGGCTATGACTGGGTGCTGCGCACCGACCTCCCGAACGGCGTTAGCATCATATGCTACGCCGACTACACGCTGGTGCTAGCGCACGGGAGGTCGCACCAGGCGGCGGCCGACTTAATGGCGACAGCGGTTGCGACAGTTGTTGAGAGAATCCGGCAATTGGGACTCGAGGTGGCGCTCCACAAGTCCGAGGCTATGTGTTTTCATGGCCACGGGAACGCGCCACCTCCGGGTGAGTCCCAAATAACGGCGGGAGAGGTTATCATCGGCGTCGAGACGACGATGAAGTACCTGGGACTCTTCCTCGACAGTCGGTGGAACTTCGTGGAGCACTTCCGACGTTTGGCTCCAAAGTTGGAGACGACGGGGGCTGCGTTTAAGCGCATTCTCCCCAACATCGGGGGGCCAAACGCCTCCTGCCGGAGGTTATACGCCGGGGTCGTGCGGTCCATAGCCCTCTACGGCGCCCCTTTGTGGGCGCCGAACCTGATGCGGCGGCCCGCTCGGGCGCTGCTCATGTCACAGAGGGTCATGGCGATCCGAATGATCCGTGGATACCGCACGATCTCCGGGGAGTCGGCGAACCTCCTTGCCCGATTACCGCCGTGGGATCTGGAGGCGAAGGTGCTCGCGTGCGTGTATCGCATGCGCGCGGAGGCACGTCGCCGAGGCGAAACTCCGCTTCCGCGCCAGATAAGTGCGTAGCGGGAACAGCTCCAACGCGATCTCATGGCTGAATGGCAGCAACGAATTGTCTTAAAACATTTACTAAGTACCGACCTATAACTTGGTAAACAATAAACAGTTATATTTTCATGCACATTTGCCCATTTTATTGTCAGAGCCTGGTAAGGACATTTTTCAAGGGCGCAGTTTCGAAAGCTCGCACCGGGTGCCAGAAGGCTAGTTACGGCACTGGATGTGTAGACAAATAAGTGTTAAATTGATTATGATTAAGTACAGTACATTTCATGTCATCTTCCTTTCCCCTTCGGGTGTTAACCCTTAGGCGGTACTGGCAAGTTGTAACAACTCTAAAATGTAATGATTGATTGTTATCCCATCGGTTTTGCCATTTATTTTACCTATGTAGGTACCTAATTTCAAGTTCAACAAACAGAAAAAACTAACACGAGCATGCATTAAAAGACTGATGACTGTTGATGAAGCGAAAGAGGTACCTACATATGTAAGAATCGTAGTAATTGGCATTCTATCGCCTCAGCCTACCCCCATGAGAGACTAGTATGAGACTATGTAGGTACGTATGTATGTGCAAACAGAACAAGACTCACAGGGTGACGATCTGCATTCAAATACAAACATATAAATTCTCGATTTAGAAGTGACGTAAGAGCGCCATCTATTGTGTTCCTTACATACTTCTTAGTTTTCATTGCAGCACAGTAATGCATTTTGGTGAAATTACAACTCTTGATACTTCAACCTACATCCTAACATACAGGCATGCGACCGAACAGAATAATAATTAAGGGAAGCCGAGAATTTATATTTTGCTGACCACTGATGGCTTTTTATTGTACAAATTAATTTGGAATTATTTAGTTTTATACATTGAAGCAACGTCCGTCCACTGAAGTGATATTGTTATTTCTGAACGAAGTAATTTTAAATCTGTCAAATTACGAACGAACGTCCGAACGTCAAATATATTGACAGGTGTCAATTGTGAAACGTCTTTCGGACAGTCATGTGGTATTAAACGTCAACGTCAAATTAGTTTTCAACAAGTGGTTTTATGTGGTGGTCGTGTTCAATAATATTTTTATACTGATTACGTAGTTTTGTGATAAAAAAAATGTATATTTACGAGTTGCCGTTTGAGATAAACAAGGAGCTATGTCGTTTGCTCGACGTAGAAAACTATTGGAAGGAATTGGCTGGTAACTGGATGAAATATACTGCCTTTGACGTAAACGTAAGTATAATTTTATGAAGTTTGGGTATTTCCTGGCGGCGAAACATCTTTATATATCTTATAATACGCTTTCTTGGAAATCCCAATAATTTTTGTGTCTTGTTCGTCATGCGATGTAAATCTGGATAATACGAACCACGTCAAATGAAAATGGATCTACAAACATACGCTTAGGTCCCTTAAACTTTGTAATCACTTTGCAATATTAATATTAAAATATTGATATGATAAATACTATGTACGTACCTATCCAAGGCAACTTCATTCATCTAGTTATCAAAATTCAAAGCAATAAGATTCAATTTTGCCTGTTTAATCCTAATTTAGTCAGTAAGTAATTATCTATTCATAAATAATGAATACATATGATACAATAATTCTTTTTAGGATATAGAACAAACCTCAATACGCTTAGGAGTATCACCAACAAATCATTTACTGTCAAAATGGGGCCAACTGAACCATAGAGTAGATGAACTTTTTGTTTTGTTATACAAAATGAAGCACATGCCAGCACTAAACTGCCTGAAGCCTGTAGTCAACACTGACTTCCACAAATTGTTAAATAAACATCGACACTTGAGCAGTTCTAGGGATAAGAAAACTGCACTTGTTACTGGTAAGTAATAAGTAATTTAATTAAATACATTGATATATCGTACTTCCGGTGCTATAACGTCCCTTATGTATTGCGGGGGCCCGCACGCAACTGAACAATGAAACGTTGTTTCTCCCAGTGCCGTCCAGATTAGCGCCAAAACCATAACAATAGTAAAGCCCTCACGGGGACAGTTTGTGTACTACACAAATGACAATAACGCACCAAGTAAAGAGGTGAATTTGGATTATTCTTTCATAATCAGTTAAGTTTTGACAAAAATTGCATAAGTGATGACATTGCACCGTAGGTGAGATATCATACCAGGAATTTGTTCATACAAAAGTAGTATCTAACCATTGGCAATAAGGTCTATAATGGAGTTAGTGGATAGCGGTCACCGGTGACTTGGGGATGGTCAGTTAAGTAAAAAATATGGTAGTAGGTAGTTGTTCTGATCGTAGTAGGAAGAGAAGTTACTGGTTATTAGAGACTTGTAAACATACAAATAAAAGACCATTAATAGTTATTATATGCAAAATTTTGTAATTGAATGAAGCAGTTGGCAAAGTTACTACAATTGGATTAGAAATAAGTAACCCATAAGATACCAGGTCAAACTTAATGATTCCTATATAAATAACATTAATAATTCCTATTTTTTTGTAAGTAGAGTGTGAGTGTGAGATTGTGGTGCCCAAAAGGGCCTATAGTTGGAACACATTATGTCAAAAAATTTTAAACCACCCTGTACACACTATAGATGCATTCAAGTGATTTTAACTTAACATATGGACATATGGGACGGAATGGGATAAAACAATTGGGAATTGTAACATAAATAGTGAAAAGTCAGTGTGAAAATATGTCATCACACTCATCATAGTATTAAAATTATAACGGTAAAAAATACCTTACGGCATTAAGTCCGCCTTATGTACCCTATTTTTGTGTGCATTAAAGAGTTCATAAATAAGAGTTAGTAAATGTTATGACAAAACATATTTTAAAGAAAGTATTTGGTGCTAAAATCAAAGTCAAAGCATTTATTTCAATTAAACCATAATTTGGTACTTTTGAAAACAAAAAGTAGATTCAAATGTAGAAGAACCGTCAAGAACGAGAAAGAAACTCTATTTGTTACTCTTTTTTAAAAGTATGTTCTACAATGTCTCAATATATTATTCTATTTTTTCAGAGCATTCAAACAAGAAGAATTCAGTAAGGACTGATGGGTCTATACCGTTGCCTGTCATGTTGATAGAAAATGTAAGTACTGTTTGTCTATTGTATTTAAATTCACACAAACTAGTTAATCATGATCTTGCTTTGTATGATCTTTTCATACATTCAACAGTCAGTTTATACTGGTTTTGTGTAGATCGATGTGTATCCTCATATTACCTGCTTTCTTTAATTCGTTAGTTAAAATGTTACGTAACTATATTTCCACATACGTAAACACATTAAACCTGGAACAAGAGTTATTTGTGAACCTACAATTTATCTTTGTGTGACCTTTCAATCTGCATCTCATTGAACTGGGCAGTATACAGTCAAAATTTAAGATTTTTTTATTGCAAAATAATGAAAAGTTATTAACTTCGTGTGTTCAATAGTAGTAAGTTCCTACTTGAGAATGTGAAAGTGAGATGCAGCTATAAAGATGCATATCGGCATCTCTTTTCCGCTAAACAGCAATCACGTTTATTCACTTCCTCTGATGACATTACCAAAATCAGATGATACCAAAATAGCCCGTGCAAGATAACTCGGAAGTGCAATTATTCGCTTTAAAATAAATATCAACTCTCTCTTGATGAAATTAAGATTGATTTCACATTAACTGTAGGTACCGTCAAAAAGGTCGGTAGCATCCAGGTTTCATTGAAAATCGAACTTTATATAAGGAAAACAAAGTTTATTTTACACAATAACTTAATTTCTCCTTCGTTAATCGTATTGGGCACGTAGATCGAGAGAGTAGGTACCTGTTTTAACCACTTAAGGTGAAGTCAAGGTCGGTCAATAAAAATATACATAACAATAATATGAAGAAGCATTTGTCATAAACCTGTTCTGTGAATATCTTTTGAGGATATAAACATCTACAAGGATATAACGAGAAGCTTCTTTTTGACGCGCTTTTATTAGGTCAAACTGTGTGATGACGTCACAGCAGAGTACCTAGATGTGTCACCACCTATAGATACTACTTCCCACTAATATGTAAGAATCGACTAAGGGACTTTTGATAGACATCTTTGATAAACCTGCTCTTTTTAAACATCAGTCTGCCTGCTAAATGCGAAGATTTTGATCTCTCCAATTGCTGAATCCCCCTTGTAACGCACTTGTAACGCCTCTGGTGTTCCGGGTGTCCATGGGCGACGCCGATTGCTTAGCATCAGGTGATCCGTCTGCTCGTTTACCAGCTTATCCCATAAAAAATAATGGGTCTATCTCTTACAGCCGTTCTCAAGGTTATTTAATGGTATTGGTTACTCAGTCCTTAGCAATCGATACGGAGCCGCGGAAGGCTTAACAGGTTGCCGGGGCTCCGGCTCGAGGAGCAGGAGTAGGAACGGGACGGTTTTTAGTCAGCAAGAGTCTGACACTCCCTCTCGCCTAACCCAAGGCGGGAGAAGTCATTAGATGATTTTCCACCCTCAAAAAACAAAAGTCTTTAGCAACTGTTTTCAAAACAAAATTGTTACTAAGGAGTAGTTTAAGTAATTATTATACTTTATGTTTCTGAGTACGGTAGTTAGAGATCATCCTCATATTATGTTACATTACACCGTTAGGAAGTGAAGGGTTTATACTAAACATAATGGTCCATGTTAAAGATATTGCAAAAAAAACCTGACGTAATATGTGAACGGTCCCTTACGGACGGAACTTTTGCAGTGAACTATACCGGGCTATATACTATTGAAGATTGAAGATTCCTTTAGCAAGAATACACTAAAGATTTTATGTTAAACACCATTAATATTTTTATCACATTCCTTTTTGGAATGCCCAACCACGCATTCAAGTTTAAGGTATCCGTTTTACCCCGAAGCGTCGCGCAATAACCTGTTCCTGAGTTAACCAAAAGTGTATTTTTTACCTTATCGTTTATGTTTCGAGTAAAATGTCCCCTGGATGATTTACATTCCTAATCGCAGATGGCTTCGAATTCAAATAAGGCAAATAAATAATAACAATCATAACTACGTACATTACTGTGTAGTGACGTCAGAATTGAATACATTTTATCGGACACGCAGGCCTACTAAGATCGGTTATAAATTTCCACCGAAAGAGACTATAATATATATTTCATAGAAACCAGGCAGCAGCGGCCTCAGCGAGCTTAGTACGAATTTGTTTTACATTTAAAGCAATCGAAACAAGACCGCGTTCTGCGCTCTGATTGGCCGGCGCCAATGAATCAACCAATCAGAGCGATAACCGCGGTCTCGATTACTTTAAACGAAAAACAAACTTATGTACTAAGGCCTCTGATAAATAAAACTTTCAACTGTGATCTCCAAACCGCATAGCAAGAGCAGCTCTTCCGTAGTAGAAGAGGCCCATAATCCAATAATGAACTAAAAAAAATCATTAAATATTATAATCAAAAAGAAACTTATGTTTTAACGACTGAACGATCCACATTTGATATCGAAATCAAAATATGTAAAACAAAACTTAATGTTTATATGTTAATTATAATTCAATACGTATTTTCCTTGTAAACAATAAAAATGCCTTTGTGATTTTACGCTCGCGATAACCCGTGTGTCATTCAGTTATTAGGAATTTTATAGGGAAATATGTAACTAGGTAAGTTGTATAATGGCTAGAGAGTAGAATTTTTCACCATCCCCTCTCTTTCCTGGGTTGTCGTAAGAGCTGACGTACATAGACATTTATCTAGTAGAGACCGGGCAGCAGCCATCTTTGATAAACTGTTCATTTTTTAAACTGTGATCTGCAATATTTTAAAAATCTCAGTACACTAGCACGAAGTCTGGAAAAATGCCCGGTATATGGCAATAGGCTCCCCCTATTACATTGGAATCATAACATATTAGTGAAAAGTGGGTGTTACATTGTACAGTGGCATTAAGTGCCGAAATGTGCACCTCTGCCTACCCCTGAAAAAAAGGGGGGGAAATCATCGAATGACTGTTCCCGCCTGGGTGAGGCGGGAGGGAGTGTCAGACTCTAACCACCCCGTTCCTTCTACTGCACGTCGAGCCGGAGTTCCGGTAACCCGTTAGGTTCTTCGTGACCTCTGCCTACCCCTTCGGGATAAAAAGGCATGATGTTATGTTATGATCTGCAATACTCCTGTGAAACTTGAAGATTTATGCCAAACTCCTCATATGTAGAGGACGCCCATAGTCTATAGTCCAACGGGACTGACCCAGGCTGTTTGTTGACAAATATATATTATCAGATTTTTCAATCAAACTGTCGTAAATATATACCCCAAAGAGTTATCTAATTAAATAGGTATTGCTTTGCATACTATGTAAAGTAGTCATTTTTCATATACTATGATAATGTTACTACGAAGCATTATTAATCTTTATTCTTTTATTATTCTTTTCAAATGTTTTACATCGGTTTTCTATAGGGCCGTGATATCACTCCGGTCGAGCCGGCCCATTCGTGCCGAAACATGGCTCTGCCACACTTTAAATCACACATTATCAACAATCCTATAACATAAGAGGGATATACCATATCTCCACGCTTGGTAGGTGGATTGGAGATCGTTGTTTGAAAAGAAACCATTTGTTGTATATCATTTGGTTAGCACTTATCCTCATTTTTAAATGACTTCCTAAAAAGAAGGAGGTTCTCTCTCCTTTTTTTTATTTGTGTATGTAAATCGGTTACACCGCGGTTTTGTGGATCGATTTGTGTTATTCTTTTTCTGTTTGACGCGAAATACCTGCCATTTAGTCCCATCAAAATTTGATTCAGTTTGGTTCAGTAGTTCTTATATTGTCCTAAACAGTTAAACTATTATAGTAACGACTGCACGGTTGGTTCTGTGGTTGGGCAACTGGCTACTGCGCAACGTGTCGCGACTTCGATTCCCGCGCGGAACAACTCTTTGTGTGATCCACAGATTTTTGTTCCGGGTCTGGGTGTCATGTGTATGTGAACTTGTATGTTTGTAAACGCACCCACGACACAGGAGAAAATCCTAGTGTGGGGCAACGTTTTGTTAAAATATAGTTTTTTTTTATATTAGACTTAATAATGAATGTTTTTATGAACGATCTTATAATATCTTGTGATAAGGTTCTATGATTGCAAATCTTGAATTTTCCTCCTCTCTTCAAACAAATACATACTTAAGGAAAACTCTTCGAATATTATTTACAATTTTTGCATTGGCTTCAAGCCAAGTACCGTAGCGTATCTTAGCAACAATAATGTTGATTGTCCACACCGACTGTGTAAGTCTGAAGAGACTTATGAGCCCGTGCCCATCAAACAAAAATCAACTTTAATTTCAAGGGCACATAATTCATATTACCGATATTTTTATAAGACTTGTGCTGTTTTACCTCCTACATTACCTAGAAACCTACTCTTGAATGAAGAGTATTGTATGAAAGTACATTATGGTTTTTATTATAAGAAAAGTTTGTATAATATTCTACATACTTTATGTCTTATTGCAGCAGCTATAAGGTTCAATTTACATTAACATCTAATCACAAAAAAGGAGGTTTTTACCTACTTTTTTGTTTAAAGTTAGGTGTGTGCACATTTGGCTTCAGGCACTAATTTAACAAATCCGGTTATAAAGCTCCAGTGGATCTTCCAGTGAGATGCTGCTCCAAAAAAACTAATACTAAATGATATTTCAAGAAGCGGAGTATGGTTCGTAATTATCTATCTACTAGGTAATAATAATTCATTTATAACACATACATAACATCACACCTTCTATCCCCGAAGGGGTAGACAAAGGTGCACATTACGGCATTTAATGCCACTGCACAATATAACACCCACTTTTCACTGTTTATGTTATGAGTCCCATGTAATTAGGGTACAATTCACACATAAGTAGGTAATGATGAGTTGCATCATCTATTAATCTTTGAGGAGGAAAATAAGTATGAATTAGGTAGATGTGTTAGTGTGATATAATGTCAAAGGTATTACGGTAAAAATGAATAAATCAAGTTCACTATGTTTTATTTGTCTTATTGGAGGCCGTGTTTGCATAACGACTCCTCTAAGCCATATATGGCTCAGTGCAGGAGTAGGAACGGTTTTTTTTTAATCTTTATTTAGTAAGAAGGGATTTTTTCCTAAAAGGACAACGTCAGTCCTATTGTAGGATACAAAATTCAATATAAAAAATAAAGCAGCTAAACCGTTTATAGGTTTAACTAGCCATTAAACATAAAATAATTAAATGATACAATTTTCTAGCCTCAGATTACAATGGTGATGCTAAAACACTGTGATAAAAACCAATATTAAAGCTCTTAAAACTAAAGACCTAACCTCTGAGACTCAATACGTCGAACTGGTTAGTCAGCAATAGTTAGATACTCCCCCACGCCTCACCCAGGGCGGGAGGAGACATTTTGATCATATTTACACTCACAAAAATGGTCTTTAGTACGTGGGTACTGAAGACCTTTTCTGAAGGCTTAGTACGAGTTTATTTTACATAAACGAGACCACGTTCAACGCTCTGATTGGTCGACTCCAATAAATCAAATAATCAGCGCCGAACGCGGCCATGTTTCGATCTCGTTGAACATAAAACAAAATCTTTGTTAGCCCTCTGACCACATCTCTCATGAGTGCATGCACGGCGTGCTTAAGAACGATGTTGATTGAGTATACCATTTTTTTGAAGGTGGGAAAATCATCGTCACTCATTCACTACTCCCGCCTGGGTGAGGCGGGAGTGTCAGACTCTTACTGACTAAAAACCACCCCGTTCCTTCTGCACGTCGAGCCGGAGCCCCGGTAACCCGTTAGGTTCTCCGCAATTGAGTATACCATAAGGTCTTTAATTTTCGCAACTGTTGTCCTCCTTTTCGTTGGAGTACATTGTGATGAAGAGCTCGTCCAAGCTGTCTGTAGGAATGTATTAAAATTACATCGTACCTATCTAACCCCATATCATTGGTTGCTTTAGCCGCGCCCCAGTATAGAGGTAAAAGGTTGATACCTACCAGATTTACCTGAATAAAAACGCATCCATGATGTCATTACGTGGTCGTGGTGTCACTCCAATCGAGCCGGTCCATTCGTGCCAAACCTTGACGATTCCTCGTAGTTATTTTCACAGTTCTTTAACAATAGTTTTTCCTGTTCTAGGGTGAACAACTGCCAACAACGAGCCGAGTACAAAATGGCTACTCTCCGTCGCCGAATTATGAAACAAGTTCAGATATCAGTAAGGTAAGTCAAAGTTCAATAGTAGATTATTCTAGAGATACAAACGTGAGCACTGCAGTTTTATGTTTATACATATATCTTTAACGCCTGTTTCACCAACTGCATATAAGTAGGTACCCGATAGACTTAGGTAGCAAATAGATGGTCATACAAATTATGTTCTATATTCAATCTGGTACTTAGCGGCTATGCAGACATTGTACCCAAGAGCCATCAGACCACCACATATGGGGCCCAATAGGGCTGATGCCGATACGGAGTCGCGGAGAACCTAAAGGGTTACCGGGACTCCGGCTCGAAGTGCAGGAGTAGGAACGGGGTGGTTTTTAGTCAGTAAGAGTCTGACACTCCCTCCCGCCTCACTCAGGCGGGAGAAGTCACTCATTGACTTTCCGCCCTTAAAAAAAATCCTGACATTGTGAAACAGGCGCTTAGTCTCACAAAACACTGAAAGAAATTATTGGAATTTAATTTCAACTAATTTTGTAGTATTGGAAGTTATTGGAAGGTCTTTGTTCAGCAGTGGGCGTCATAATGGCTGATATTATGATGGTGGTACTGTATTTCCAAGTGCCTAGAAACAAAGAAAGTCATAAGTTCACAAATGCTATTAAGTAAAGCTGTTTTAAATAAATACATAGAAGTTTATACTGCCTCGTTGGCCGAGTGGTCGTAAGTGCGACTGCCGGGCAAGGGGTCTCGGGTTCGATTCCCGGGTCGGGCTAAATAATACTACTGGGTTTAAAAAAATCTCAGTAGTAGCAAGGAGTCTGGAATTGTGCCCGGCATATGGCAACAGGCTCACTCCCTATTACATGGGACTCATAACATAAATAGTCAAAAGTGGGTGTTACATTGTACAGTGGCATGCATAATGTGCACCTCTGCCTACCCCTTCGAGGATAAAAGGCGTGATGTTATGTTACGTTTTGTAAGTTTATAGTGATTGTGATAACTGCACTTAACATTTTGTTATATGACTCTAAACTCTAATTAACTCGTCGAGTACCGGTTTTATAGACACAATTAAAGAACAATAGGTCGCGGTCACCGGTGACCGCTTGGTGTTTGACAGTTTAAACAGTTATGGTTATAAGCGCCTGAAGTCAGTATTTTGCACTTAGCCTCTACCATCTTTCTACAACTCGCATATGACACAGTCTTCTTGGTTCAAAGGTAGAATTATTTGCGGTCAACCAGGTACATACAATACCTACCTATGTCATTGTTCTTCAATGAATTTTATATTAACATACAATTACTAGCAAAGTGATTCATCTGATTCCATGTGACACGTGAATCATGATATACCTCTATATGTGTAGGTAACATATTTATATACTGTCCAATTATTATGTATAGAAGTGACGTCACAACTACGTACGTAAAAGCTGATTATATGGTTGGTAAATTAAATGAGTTTAATATTATTATTATTAACTTTTATACCTATAACTAGCTGTTCCCCGCGACTTTGTCCGCGTAGAATAATCACTTCTGTTCTGGTAGAATTTTAGTTTACTAACAGAATAAGTACTGCTGTTTTTTTTTTATTGTTATTTTATGTTCTTATTGGTTTTTTTTTTATTTTTGTTTTTCTATGTTATTTTGTGTGTTCATATTCGGTGGTCCATGCCTGGTGGCGAATAAATTATTTTTCTTTCTTCGTCTTTCTTTCATAAGCAATATAAGGATCTTTTTGGTAGATTTTCAAACATATCATACCATACCATTATCGAAATTTCCACAAGGTACCTTGTTCTTTTTTTCTCTTTTAACTCGTCGAGTACCGGTTTTATAGACACAATTAAAGAACAATGGGTCGCGGTCACCGGTGACCGCTTGGTGTTTGACAGTTTAAAATAGCCTATGTTCATCACTGAAAATGTAGGATTCTAATGGTAAAAGAATTTTTCATATCGCTCCAGGAATTTCGAAGCAAATTCAATTCAAACGAACAATAAATCTAATCTTTCCACTTTTTTTATGGCGTAAGCCGGTAAACGAGCAGACGTATCACCTGATGGTAATCAATCGGCGTCGCCCATGGACGCCTGGTACACCAGAGGCGTTACAAGTGCGTTACCGACCTTTTGGAGTTTGAGGATGGTTGGGGATTCAGGGATTAGGGAGATTGGGGAAGGGGAGGGTAATTGGGCCTCTTTATAATACTAGTTAAGATTTAGACCAATAAATTGCATATTGAAATTGGTGTGCATAATTAATGTTAAAGGCGCAAAGGGTACCTAAAAATGTGACTTTATTATTTGACACAAGTCGTCCTGTCGGAATTTTAAACACCTTTAGTACCGTTTACCTGCTAAAGCCACAATAACCTAAAATTCCTAATGAGCTTTTAATTTAATGAATCACCAAACTTGCTCAAGGTTAGTTGGCTATTTTAAACTTATAATTTGAAATTAGTAATCCAGGATTCCTCACCGTATTTCTAAATAAACTCAGAAAGAATATGTTTTATTATTATTATTTTATGTATATAGCATAGCCTAGCTACGAGCTAGTGGTGAAAATCAGCGCCCGCGACTCTAGCTATAGGGATGATGACAGGGTATGAAAATTAAAAATCTAATTAATCCGTCAGTTAGGTATTAAAAAAATATTAGTAACGTATTTTTTATATTGTTGTATAATAAAATGATACTTAGATATAACGAATGAAAGTTTAGAAGTGGGAGCTAAAACGTCATTTCTACGTATAAAATGTACATTGAAGTGACGTCACGCGACGTTTCAAATCAATATATTTTCGAAACTATTGTTACTAACTAATGTTTTAAAATATTCTTAAATAAAAACAATAAAAAAAACAGGCGGACATAAAATAAAAATTAGTCATCTAGGTACCCTATTGCGCTGGGGTCACGGAATTTTATTTTGTATTTTGTAACGATGCAAATGAACTGTTTTTCTTTCTTTCTTAAAGGGCATATAACTGGCAAAATGTCACGTTAATACTACACTTAGTTTCACATACTCTTATCCCATTTAAATTCTATTCTAAAAATATTACAGACATCATCAACACAAGGCGACAAGCTGAATGAAGACAACGAGTTCTTGAAGAATGTATCAGCTATTCCGAAGATGAGCTATGAAGAATTGAAGGAAGCGACCAACAACTGGTCTGAGAGCAACCTGCTGGGACGAGGAGGATTTGGACAGGTGTTCAAAGGTATGTGACACTTTCTTAAGTGTTTTTACAGTGGTAGAGAGACTGGGTGCTTTATGCAACTAGATTCGCTGGCTCGAGCGGCGAAATACCACCCTCTCACAGAATCATTCCCATTTGATAAGTACATTCCGAATAGCCAATCTACTGTTCCATTGCCTAATTATCGGGGAAGCCAGCGCTCGGAAAAGATAGCGCAATGAAACAGTATCCTACATGGTCTGCGATGTACTTGTGATTTTATCTAGTGTGGCACCTGGTATTTCGGCTACAATTACAGGAGGGCCATTAGCTTTGTTGGAACTATTCGTGGTGTACAAAAATATACCTTATTACGTGATTTTAGAATATATTTACAAACTTTCTTCTTATACATATTTCATCTTTTTATACATATTTGTCTGGACTTTAAAAAAAACGGACCTCTGAGTTTGTTTTGGCATTTCTTCTCAGAGTAGTCAGTTATAAGGAAATGTCGAGCTCATCATTCGCTTGATAAAATTGACGTGTAAAAGTACTGCCTTGTAGCCTATTTGTAGAAATAAATTCACTTGTTTCACAAACAATAGAACAATGCATCCTATAATATAAATAATTCTTTTGTAAACTGCGTTTAAAAAAACCGACTTCAACCCCCTCTCTTTTGGTGAAATCGGTTAATTAATATACTAAAACCTTCTGCTAAGTATAACAAACACTTTTTAAAACCGCATCAAAATCGGTTTACCCAATCATGAGATAATCGTACACACGCACAAACATACATACAGGTCAAACTGAGGGACCCATTTTTTTTAATCTGTTAACCTGTTAAATGTCTGAACGTAGATCTACGCGAGACACAATCTGTTTTCTATTGTGTCTCATACATCGACAGACAAGAGGTTACATACATCAACAGCCTATAAATGCCCACTGCTGAGCAAAGCCTCTTCTCACACGGAGAAGGTTTGAGCATTAATCACCACGCTTGCTCAATGCGGGTTGGTGATTACAAACTTATAATTAGAAATTATAAGCCCAGGTTTCCTCACGATGTTTTCCTTCACCGTTTGTCAGTGGTGTCTGAATAATCTTAGAAAGTACATATAACTCGGAAAAAGTCACATTGGTACTTGCCGCTGGTAGGTTTCGAACCTGCACTCTCAAGCATGAGAAGCGGGCGTCTTAAACCTCCGGACCACCACGACATTTTTACAACGACAAGAGGTTAAATAGTACTCAATTAATAAAGCTACTAATACATCTTACAGGTGAATGGAAGCACTTGCCGGTGGCGGTGAAGCGACTCCTAGATAACAATGATCACAACAAGGAGCTCATCAGAGAGATGTGTCTCAACCAGTACCGACACGATAACATACTGCCGTTGTACGGATACTCACTTGGAGGTAATTAGTGTTATGTATACAGAGTGTCCAGTAAATGTATGATTGACTGCGTGGGGGTTATGACTTGGATCTATATATTTTTATGATGGCCTTAAGGTGCTTTCCTCACCGGGAGCGCGCGCGTGTCATGTAACGTTACAGATCTAAGCATTACATCAGTGAAGGAGGAGAACCGAGCATTACAATGCGCTCCTTGTAATGATAAAATGTGTAATATCTTGATACAACTTGTAACATCAATGCCTCCTGCCTGCCCGCTTCGTCTCACATCTTGCTATGAAATGCTCTAAGTTGAATCTATATGTTACATTACACGCAAATGCTCGTTAGTCAGGGAGGTATTATTGTAATGTAATGCTCAAAGTCGAATCTATAATGTTACATTACACGTGAATGCCCTCGGTGAGGGAGCACCTTTACGGAAATGTTCAAAGGTAGTCGAGATGAAAGACAAAGGAGTGTGAGTTTTGTTTGTAGCTCTCAAAAAACGCCATTGGCACCTGGGGAAACCACCCATGAGGGGGATCTGGGTCCTCTAGGTAGACCAATTTGGAAGCCCCTCGTTGCAATGCCTTCCTTACTATAATTGAATTCTCTCTTGAGTCTTGTTTTAGTAAAGTAACTATTTACGATTAATTTGAAGTAAATAAAAATAAAATAACATAACATCACGCCTTTTATCCCTGAAGGGGTAGGCAGAGGTGCACATTATGCCACTGTATAATGTGTGGAACTCTGTTAATTTTAAGATCTGTGTGCACCATGTACTGAGAAATAAAGGACATTCATTCATTCATTCATTCATTCATTCAATGTAACACCCACTTTTCAATATTTATGTTATGAGTCCCATGTAATAGGTGAGCCTATTGCCATATACCGGGCACAATTCTAGACTCCGTGCTAATATTGAGAATTTTTTAAAAACCCCAGTAATACTTTGCCCGACCGGGAATCGAACCCGAGACCCCTTGCCCGGCAGTATCACTTGCGACCACTCGGTCAACGAGGCAGTCAGCAAAATAAAATAATACTACTAAACTATTTCAGGTCCAGAAGCCTGTCTAGTGTACCAGCTAATGGGTGGAGGGTCGTTAGAACAGCGACTGAGGATGAAGACACATCACCCACCACTCACCTGGTCACAACGATACAACATCGCTCATGGCATTGCTAGGTAAGTTATTGATACTTTTTTTGAGGGGGGAAAATCATGCCAATACTCTCCCGCCTTGGGTTAGGCGAGAGAAAACGTCAGACTCTTACTGACTAAAAATTATCCCGTTGTTACTCCTGCTTGTACTCGAGAAGCTGGCAAATGGGTACTTGTTTTATCGAATATAAATTATGTCGACTGTTCAATACAGTAAAAATTAAAAAATAATCACACTTTCATTAATTGATTTTATGACTAACTTAATTTTAGTATTTTTCCAGCAATTTTTTAAGAAATAAGTATTCTGTTTGACGCTAAAAAAACGTGACGTCACAATACACAATCTCGTGCAAAATTTATAGAAAAGTATCGTTTTCAATTTTGACAATTGGGTAGTTGCCTGGGTCAAAAATAAATTATTTTGATTTTTCAATCCAATTAAATATTGAAAATTAGTTACACTTTCATTCATTGATTTGCCGATATACTTAATTTTCGATTTATTCTTGCATTTTCTTCAGATATAAGTGTGCTATTTGACGCGAAAATATGATGACGTCATAAGCTAGTATTTCGTACAAAATTCATAGAACAGTATCGTTTTTGACGTTTCGATAAAAGTATTGAATTTGACTAGTTGTCAACTACCGTATAGTCAAATTAATGCTTTTTTCGAACTATGGCAAGTACACGATTACTAAAAAAAATAATGATGCTTTATTTTCAACCCTAGCCACACATGAGGTACTGAATTGATTTATATAACACCAACCTTTACCTGTGTGTCGCGGAGAACCTATCGGGTTATCGGGGCTCCGGCTCGACGTGCAGGAGAAGGAACGGGGTGGGTTTTAGTCAGTAAGAGTCTGACACTCCCTCCCGCTTCACCCAGGCGGGAGCAGTCATTCGATGATGTTCCCCCCCTAAAAAAACCCTTTACCTGTGTTCTTTAAATGGTAACCTATGTCCTTTTTCGTACTTCCAACTACACAACTAATAGAAGTAATAAACAGACTTACTTTTTTATGGAATAGGAGGCAAGCGAGCAAACGGATCAACGGATGGTAAGCGATTAGCGCTGCCCTTTCGGATTCATAATATCAGTTTGGTAACCATATGCTACTTTTTATCCTGGGCAAGCGCTGACAGAAGTCATTTTACTATATTATACTAAAATCCTTAATTTCAGAGGTCTTCAATTCCTACACACAATGGCGGGTACGCCCCTAATTCACGGCGATATCAAACCAGCAAACATACTCCTAGACACATGCCTCATGCCGAAGATAGGAGACTTCGGACTCGCTAGGAAAGGACCCTACGGAGATGATAGGACACATGTTAAAGTTTCCAAGTAAGTAAAGAAATATAGACCTTGTTACCTTTGTAATAAAGTGCAGATCGTAATAGATAAGACCATTAGTAAAGTTTCCAAGTAAACGCAGAGGATTGTCAAATTTATTGCGTTGGGATAAAGTGTAAATTGTAATAGGTACGATGCAACCTACTAGTTTCCAAGCATGTACAGAGCAACGTCAACTTTTGTAACCATTTAATAAAGTATAAATTGCAATGACTAATCTGTTCTCTATGTTTAGTGAATTGCGAGGTCTGTTCATAGTTTTTATTACCATAGTATGTCTATTTCATAGCTTACCAAGTGACATTTTTAACACTATGTTTTTACGTCATCAGGGTATTTGGCACAAAACCCTACCTTCCGGACGAGTACCTACGCGACCGATCCCTATCACCAGCAGTAGACGTGTTCAGCTACGGAGTAGTTGTGGTGGAGATGGCCACTGCCCTCCCAGCTAATGACAAAACAAGACCTGAACAGTTCCTCAGCATGTACATACATCAGCTATATAACCGGGGACTTGATATGGGTGAGTAAACACGTAACGTTTAAATAAAAACTCCATACTTGTACACTTTTTTCATTTCAAGTTTCATTCAATTTCTCGCCTGTGACACAGAATTATCCTAGGCCATGCGAGATTTATTTTACTTACCCAAGGGATATTTTTGTTTCTGTATCCATTACATTTCTGAATAAAGATTATTTATTATTTAATGAGACAGATTTTTACACTACATACATAGTTCAATTGAAATTCTTTATTCAAATGACCGTCGTACCTCTAAGGACCTAGAGCGGGAAAAATATATTTATCTGTCACATTTGACAGCTGACAGTGCTAACGTTATATTTTTCTTTTACAAAATATTTTGCCTCATACTAGGGGTTTATCCTGTATCGAGGACATACAAATTCACATACATACATATGATACACAGACTCGGAAACGATTTGTTGTAGTTAGGAATAGCTTAAACATATAATTTTTGATAGCAACAGTGACAAGACACACTGATAAAAATCTAGAATAGCGCCATCTGTTGAGAAAAAACTGCAGTCCCCATTAAAGCAAATCTTCTTATATAAAAGATACTCATAGTGTAGTAGTGGACTGTCATTTCACTTCATACATCTTTCCTGTCATTATAAGCTATTATTTTATTTACAGCTACTCTAGAAGACCCAGTGTTACTTGGAACCAACCAGTCGAACCCAGGGATGTGTCTTGCATTCATCGCTATAGGACTTCATTGCACCAAGTACGCGAGGCATCAAAGGCCCACAATGTTAGAAGTTTACAAAAAACTAAATGATATGAAAGGACCATCTTGTTGCACTTGATACAAATTATTGCAAAGCCTAATAAATAGGTTGAAGAATAACTACAATATAACTGAATTTGAATTATAATACCTATAAGCTTTTACTTGGGTAATTTTCGTTTTTCACAGGCACTTTTTAACTTTAACAAACAAAATATTTATACATGTTGTCTGTCTATCGGTCAGTCCCATAATGAAAGTATTTGCTTGTTCCAAAGTGTAAATTCCTATGGAAAAGGGCAAGTAAGAAACTCCATGTTTACTATGTTTATATTGAGTAGCAACGCGACAGTCGCCGCGTCGCAGGTCGCGAAATGCTGCTCATGTATATGAGCCTCTAGAATGACTTGAAACTAGTCGAGTTCCTCGTCAAACAGTTACGTGATTGCGAATTTGGGAATTATGTCACTTTTAACGGAAACTTGTTATACTTTCGTACATAATTTATATGTTCTATAATGTTTGGTAAATATTTAAAATACGTAAGTGTTACCTCAAGTACCTAAGTGTATGGCAACATTATTATGCACCTGAAATGAGGAATTTTTTAAATTTTTGCTCACTAGATGGTGCTAGTGTGAACCGCTGATCCGTCTGTGATTGGATTAAAACCTCTTCCGACATTTGCGCTATCTAGTGACCAAAAATATCGGTAGCCCCCATTGCTTTTGAAAGTGAAAAGTTCTTTCTATGAATGTGTGTACGTGACTATTTAATACTTATCCTAGAAAATAGTAGTAAATAATTTACAATTTGTGCTTGTTAACTAAAGCATTTATATTTGTTATCCTTACCAATAGAGTTCTCCTGGTAGCCACTCAGTCAAAATATAGATTTACTTAAAGATATAGAAATTTGAGTTACTCTTACTAAATAGAACCTAATATATAATTTGTATATTAATTATTTAATTGAAATAAAATAAATTATATTAAGTAATTTAATCGAATGAAAACGACTGAAATATTTTTATAAGTGTATTAAAACAATACGATTTGTACTTACATTTTTATTGTAATTTAAAATAAAGTATGTTTTCTATTTAAAATCAGTGTTTTTTTATACATATATATACAGATGGAAGCTTGTTTTTTTAAGGCAAAAGAACATTCATCCGAACATACCTACCTACAACCCCCTTTTCAAGTCTAAAAATACCTACTAATATACCGATTGAGATGGAACTTAGCTTAAACATTTTTTAAGGGGGGAAAATCATCGAATGACTTCTCCCGCCTGGGTGAGGCGGAAGGGAGTGTCAGACTCTTATGTAAATGCATCTAAACTATTCTAAACAAATATTTTGAAGTAAGTAATCTTTATCGCATTACAAAGGGACCTAGATAATTATCGTACCTAACCTTAACATGATGAGATTACTTATCTTGATACATATTGAGCTCTTGATGCTGTAATATCCTTTAAGCGTTAAACAGTTGCGGGGAAAGTTTGAAAATACATTAAAATAAGTCAAGTTTAAATTTTTAAATCACTACATAGTATAAAACAAAGTCGCTATCCGCCGTCTCTGTCCCTATGTATGCTTAGACCTTTAAAACTACGCAACGGATTTTGATGCGGTTTTTTGAATAGATAGAGTGATTCTTAAGGAAGTTTTATATGTATAACACATGCATAATTATTGCATCCGTGCGAAGCAGTGAAAGAAGAAGGTGGTGAGTTGTAATTCGACGTTGAGGACTAAGGGGGAAGGCCTTTGTCCGATAGTGAACGTCTTCCCACTAATGATGATGATGATGATCAATACGTTCTACACGTTATTGTATTAGGTACAAATTAGCTCTATGAAGGAAAGAAAAAAACTCATGAGTGTGATGACGAACTACCAAGTTCCGAACTAATAAATAGGTATAAACAAAACAATAATGGTCTATAATTTCCTACTTACTCCACATTCATATTTACAGTCGACAGCAGGTTAAACGACGCCAATCTGTATTTTCTTGTAACGCCTATGGTGTTCCAGGTGTCCATGGGCGACGCCCATTGCTTACCATCAGGTGATCCGTGAGCTCGTTAGCTGGCTTATGTCGTAAAAAGTATTGTCTCAAATTGACATGCACGGGCCAGACGTTCTATTAAAATAACCTAGGTTCTTATAAACACTTACCTATTCATTCATTCATTTATTTACGCACACATGCACAGTAAACGTGTAGAAAAGTGCCTCTCTTACCAGACGCAAGTCTTGGAAACTTATTTGCATGAAATTAATTATGTACCTACTATTTAAAAATGGAAGGGTGCACTGACCTCTGAAACAAATGATCACAGATTACTAAAATTAATAGTTACTAACATTATGTAGACAGTAGAATCTAGCTAAAACTCACGTTCTTTTTCTACGTACCTACTTACTTTTTTATTGACATAAACAACAGACATTTTTTATTTACTTATTTTGAGAGGATGCCCATTTGTAACGTACCCATTATAATAACTAATTTAATTTTAAGCTAAGCCACTTTGCATCTGTCTTTTTATACCCTTTTTTGTGAGGGTTAGGCGAGAGATTGTCAGAGTTTTACTGACTAAAACCACCCCGTCCCTACTCCTACTGTTCGAGCCGGAGCCCCGGCAATCTGTTAAGTATTCCGCGGCTCCGTATCGGGCATACCCTGATGGCTCTTTCAAATACGGTAGCCCTCATTATGTGCTTTGAGCTTAAGGCTAAGCAGTCACTAGGTTTAAATCTTAAAGTCACTAGGTTTTAGTCCTAGTGTAAGCAGTCAAAAGTACTCCCGTGTAGTTTCATCTAATGCTTTGCTCCTAGTGATTTAAAAAAAGAAAGAAACTATCCAATACAAAAATTATTTTCAAATTAGATCCAGCCACAGAAATATTAAAAAAGCTTCTTTATTACATCTATGGATCCAGCAGTTCCACAGATTTTAACACGGTCGAACAACCAAATAAACATACTCTTGAGCTTTATTACTATCTACCTAATAATTAATTGATACGGTAGTCAAATTCAATACTTTTATCGAAACGTCAAAAAATGATACTGTTCTATGAATTTTGTACGAAATACCATCTTATGACGTCATTATATTTTTGCGTCAAAGAGCACACTTATATCTAAAAAAAACTGCTAAAATAAATCGAAAATTAAATATATCATCAAATCATTGAATGAAAGTGTAACTATTTTTCATTATTTAATTGGACTGAAAAATCAAAATAATTTATTTTTGACCCAGGATTACCCAATTATACAGTAGCTCCCGAGCGTACGGCGCGTCGCGTTCCGCGCGCGCCTCAAAGAGCCATCAGACCACCACAGATGGGGCCCAATAGGGCCGATGCCGATTCGGAGTCGCGGAGAACCTGACGGGTAACCGGGGCTCCAGCTCGACGTGCAGGAGAAGGAACGGGGTGGATTTTAGTCAGTAAGGGCCTGACACTCCCTCCCGCCTCACCCAGGCGGGAGCAGTCATTCGATGATTTTCCCCCCTTAAAAAAAAATACAGTAGCTAATTATAAGTAGGTATATACTAGATTGCCTACTTTTGAGACCTCATTTTGAAAACGCGTGTAGCGATAAGTAGCACAGTCTTATTCAGTTGTGATTTAGTTTATTTTTATTTCGACAAAATGACTAATACTAACAGTAACGTTATGAGATATAAACCTGAGATAAATATCTATCTGTTTAAATGCAACGATTCTTGTGTTCAGAGTGAAATTTTGTTGTTTTTTTTTTAATATTTTATTTTATGTGGACACAAAACAATAAAGCATTATGAGGTGAGTGATTTTTTATTCATTTATTTAAGTTTTATTTTACTTTTTTATTGTAAGTTCTCTTTTTAAACAATTTACTCGACTCTTACAACATTTGTCCAGCGTCGTCGTGGCGGTTAGGTACTATAATGAATTGATTTTTATATACAGCTGATCGTCAAATCTCTGGAGCAATTGTACAATAAAAAAAATATACCTAAAAGGTCCTTTACGAATTAATAATAAGCGTTCCCCTTGTGAATGGGGCATCTACATAAAGTAGGGCAAAAATGGGGCAACTATAGTTATGTAGAATGGAAACATAACTAGAAGTGTTTTTATAATAACTATCGTGAGACATACGTACTAAATTAACTAAAAATCGCGGGTCCTACTCACGTAAAACTCTTAATGACTAGAAGTGGTGAAACCAGCCCTAATTAAAATATACCTGGGTAAGCTTTAATTGAAATAGACTACAGAAATGCATTTACGAAAGTACATAACATAACATCACACCTTTTATCCCCGAAGGAGTAGGCAGAGGTGCACATTATGCCACTGTACAATGTAACACCCACTTTTCAATATTTATGTTATGAGTCCCATGTAATAGGGGGTGAGCCTATTGCCATATACCAGGCACAATTCCAGACTCCGTGCTACTACTGAGAAATTTTCAAAAACCCAGTAATACTTTGCCCGACCCGGGAATCGAACCCGAGACCCCTTGCCCAGCAGTCGCACTTGCGACCACTCGGCCAACGAGGCAGTTTACGAAAGTAAAAAAATAAAAACAAAAATTATTTACGTATCAAAACTAACTAACTATAGGTTAACTGCTCAATGAACTCTGTACTTCCCTAAACTTTAACCCAAAAATCCAGAATAATCATCCTTATATTGTACTTTTTTCCTTAATCCAGTTATTTATATCACATGAAACAAAGATAAAGAATACCGATTAACCGATTAGATAGATACATACAACAAACACATTACAGCTTAAATAATATTCAGCAAATATTTAGATTGTAATTGTTCGTTGTGGTTCCATCACATTATTTACCTATCTATTTAAGTAGGTATTTGTGTATTTAACACTGTAAAAAGTGAGTGAGTGTAAAAAGTGAGTGAGTGTAAAAAGCGAGTGAGTGTAAAAAGTGCATTGTTTAATTTAAAATTGAAAATTTACAATATCATCAAATGTCTCCTCCCACCCTGAGTGAGGCGAGAGGGAGTGTCAGACTCTTACCGACTAAAAACCACCCCGTTCCAACTTCTACATCGATCCGGAGCCAGCAAATTTTTCGGTACTTACATGTTTCTTGCTTAAGTACTGTCAGCAGAGTAAGCAACTGTAGGATCAGCTGTTCCGTTATGTATCATAGGTCCGTTACCCACGTCGATAGGGCTACTAAAACATAGGTTAAAAGGTACCTTAGTACTTATGGTTGTTACGGCCGAATCTTTTTTTTGGTCTGGTAGCTCTTTGAGGTAAGCGCATAACGCGACGCGTCCTACGCTACGGCCGAATCTAATAACCAATTTTCACACCATACGACCTCTATATCGATCTCGGTTTTTGATGGAAACTCCATATAGACAGTACTAAAAATGATCCAAATGGTTTGATTATGATTTATCGGGTTTGCGTTGTAGCTGTAACTTGGATGACTGGCTGCCGTGCTACGTAGGTATCAGTATCAGGAGTTTTCTTCCACGTCACTTTGCTGCCCGCTTCGGGCTAAAATACATAAATAATAGTATTTAAATAATAATTAATTACTATCGGGACATTCGTGACATATAATAAACTGAATTGATCTATTCGGTTTACTCACGCAAGTAAGCAGTGCCTGTAAATCAATAAATTCCAATAGTTTCTTTTTATTCTTGCATTTACAGAGTTCTATGCTGCATACTCGTTGTAAGTCTTACAGTGACTTTGGTGACAGCGTCGATTGCGGACTGGTCCCCGTCAGTGATGAGGAAGTTACCAGAAGACTTGAAGCTGGGAGTAGCTACTGCCTCCTTCCAGATTGAGGGTGGATGGAACGCTGCAGGTACAGTGACCAGATATATTTGGAACAAGACTATCAATTTAATGAATATAAATGTCTACAGCATAAGCAAAGATGAAGGGTGTAGTCCGTAGGGGTGACTAGAGGAACTAATTTTCAGAAGTAACAATGTAAGCTGAATCAATTTAGGCTTACACATCGTTCGCCCTTTGAAACCACACCAGCAAACATCGAAAAGGTAGACTTAAATTGCTGCGTACAAAAACACCAACAGATTTTCTCTGGACAACCATTGGATATATGGGGTTGACATATCAGTGGATAAAAACCCCTTTCTGAATAAAGAAAAAACCCATTGCAATATACACATCCACCATAAAGTCACTTCATTATTAAGTCTTTTATTTTTCTAGCCAGGTGAAATAAATTACTTTATAGTTGTCATATAGGTACCTAACACTTGCACGACACAAGTGAACGTGACTACCTCCATGATTTAATGATCACAAATGCTGTTGCCAAGTAAGTAGGTACACAAAACATTGTTAATGGCTCTTTTGAAAGTAGTAAAACATTGTCATGATCAACAACACATATTCGAAGCATTTGTAAATTTAAAATCTGATTAAGGTAAGCTCTTAAAACGATAACCAATTACTTTTTAACACAACTAAAGATTTATAACTTACAGATAAATCGGAAAGTATTTGGGACACCTTCTGTCGAATCCCAGGCAATATCAAAGATGGTACAGATGGCAACGATACATGCAAGTCCTACGAGTTTTACCAACGAGACATAGAAATGCTTAAATTCCTTGGAGTAGACTTCTACAGATTCTCCATATCGTGGCCAAGAGTTTTACCAAATGGCTTTGCAAATAAAATCAGTGAAGTTGGCCTCGGATACTACAGCAGATTGGTGGATGAGCTATTGGCCAATGGCATTGAACCAGTTGTCACTATATACCATTGGGATTTACCACAAAATTTGCAAGACTTAGGAGGTTGGGCCAACCCTCTCATAGCAGACTGGTTCGAAGATTACGCTCGGGTTTTGTTTGATGCATTGGGCGATCGAGTCAAGACTTGGGTGACAATAAACGAACCAAAACAGTTCGCTATATACGGTTATGGAATGAAATTATGTGCACCCAACATTGTTTCTGCTGGGATTGGAGATTACTTGGCAGTCAAGAATCTACTGGTCGCACATGCTAGAGTTTGGCATTTGTATGATATGGAGTACAGACCTAAACAGAAAGGTGGGTAAGATTTAAGTTTTAAGTTAAGATCATCAAATAAGAGCTTGTAAAAAGGCAGATCTCGCTTTAACTTTTATAGATACAAAATAGATAGCAATTGCTTTCCAAAGCCTTTGGGTTTTCAAGGACTCGTTTTAAAACTTAATAATCATAAAAGATTATTACTTACATTTATTTCCAGGTACTATTGGTATAGTAATAGCAAGTGATTACCGTGAAGGTGCTACGGATTCTCCTGAAGATATAGAAGCAGGGAAGGTTGCTTTCGATTTCGAAGTTGGTTTCTACAGTCACCCAATATTCTCCACAACTGGTGGATTCCCTGAGAGGGTTGTGAAACGTGTCGCAGAAAGGAGTGCACAGCAAGGTTTCCCTAGAAGTCGATTACCAGAGTTTACACCAGAAGAAATTGAGTATATTAAAGGTACACTTTTGATCTGCTTCATTTGATAAATAAATATTTCCCTTGAAAACAGGGATTCTAACCACGTTCACTGACTATAATAATTAGGTAAAAACATAAAGTATTGTGTGTAGTGATAGTGGTAGGCGTAGCATGTAAGATATTTATTAAAAAAAAAAATTTGACCATGACAATGATGTACTTGTAACATGACAAGGGCACGGACACGAGTCCGTGGAGAAATTAAATTTATTATTTATTTAAAAAAAAACCACGTTCACTGCAAGGAGTTTCTTGCTCATCGATCTTCGTTGATCTTGCTTTTGTTTCATTTTATAAATGTCGGTGGATACCACTCTTATGGTCATCATGATAAAGCCAGTTAGATGTAGGGCCTTTTAATAACCAAGTCTGAAAGGGAATCATTCATCAGAAAATATAAGTTGAATAAATGAGATGTTGGGCTAGTTCAAAACATTTTAGCAAATCCTAAAACGAAGATTGCAAAGGGATTGTGTGAACTGGTAAGAGTGACATAACTTTTCTTTTATTTATGTCATACCTTGTTAATGATTCCTTTTCATTTACAGAGTATATTTAATAGGGTAGACGACTAATTTTTATTTTAATGTCCGTCTGATAGATTATTTAAAAACATTAGATACGTATTTTTTATTTTCTCTCAGAAACGAATAGTTTCGAAGATATATTGATTTGAAATGTCGCGTGACGTCACTTCTCAGTACATTTTATACGAAGAAATGACGTTTTAGCCCCCACTCCTAAACTTTGATTCGTTTTATCTAAGTATTGTTTTATTATACGACAAAATAAAAAAATACGTGTCTAATATTTTTTCATTACCTAACTTACGGACTAATTATATTTTTAATTTTCATACCCTGTCATCATCTCCATTAGATAAGGTACGATGGGGTTGACGTATCTAAAATAATAAAATTAAAGAGAATAAAAAAAATTAACAAATAACCAAGTTCTTAGACTTTTAATAACCAGGTACTTAGACCTTTCTTTCTTTACAGGCACGAGTGATTTCTTCGGTTTCAATCACTATTCCACGTTATTTTATTCAGCAAACTCCTATAAACCAGGAATGCATGAGATCCCTTCATATAACGACGATATTGGAGCTGTAGGGACTTACGGAACTTATGTTCCTACTTCTGTACCTCATACTACGGTAGGTTTTATACAAAAAAGTTGTGTTTGTGGAATTTCCAGTTCTTACTTTCAATATGACTGCCAGGCAACGGGTCTCGGGTTCGATTCCCGGGTCGGCCAAAGTATTACTGGGTTTTAAAAAAAAAATCTCAGTAGTAGCACGGAGCCTGGAATTGGATTATGGATTGGAATGGCAAAAGGCTCACCCCCTATTACATGGGACTCATAATATGAATAGTGAAAAGTGGGTGTTACATTGTATAGTGGCATAATGTGCACCTCTGCCTACCCCTTCGGGCATAAAAGGCGTTATGTTATGTTATGTACTGTCAATATAAAAAGTTGTATTGAACAAAAGATTAACCCGAGCAATTAAAACTGAAAATATCATATTACTATTACCCTTAATAGGACTAGTTGATTGTTTTAGGATTGTTTTTTGTTACCCAAATACTCAAACAACTCTATTTTCTTTCAGAAAATACCATCGGGCATAAGAAAAGCCTTGAATTGGGTCAAGGACAGCTACAACAATCCAGAGATAATGATTTTCGAAAATGGCTTCGGGAATTTGGGCGGGAATAATGACATTGACAGAATTGATTATTACATAGCGTATTTGGACGCCATATTGGATGCTATAGAAGTGGACGGATGTAATATCACCAGGTATACCGCTTGGAGTCTTATGGATAACTTCGAATGGATGTCTGGATTAAGGTAAGTCCATTATAACTAGTTTAGTGTGCGAGAGGCATGCTTCGGCACGAACGGGCCAGCTCGACTGGAGCGGAGTGGTACCAGGGCCTCACAGAAAACCGACGTGAAACAACGCTTGCGTTGTGTTTCGTCGTGTGAGTGAGGTTACCGGAGGCCCAAAGCCTCGTAACGCCTCTGGTATTCCTTGTGTCCATGGGCGGCGCCGATTGCTTGCCACCAGGGGTTCCGCAGGCTCATTTACCGGCATACATATAAAAAAAATTGTCGGTACTTCAATACCTACAAGATTTTACATTTTTCCCAAAGTTGGTTCAGAGGGAAGAACATTCAAGGATAGAAGAGTTAGAAATAATTTTGGGGTGTTTTGACCTTTGATACGTTCCTTATAGTACCTAATGAAAGTATAGCAATATAAATTAAACTATTATAATAATTTTATTGTCCAGTTATTGAATGTAAAAATACTGCAGCAGATCCCATTTAACTATAGCTAAATAACAAATTAAAGCTAACATGATGACCCACTCAACATTATTTATTAGGTATTGTTTTACGAGTTTAGGTATAATTGTAAGAATATAATATTATTCAAATTAATTTCAGCGTGAAGTTCGGTCTTTTCGAAGTAGACTACAACGATGACAAAAGGACCCGTACAGCGAGAGCATCAGCTTTATGGTTCAAGAATCTGATTGCCACAAGGACCCTGAATACTAATTACGAACCGCAACTGCGAGAAGTTACATTTTGAATAATAAAAATGATGATGAAAAGCCTTCAAAGCTTTTATTTTTTTCCTTAATTTTATCATCATGGGTAACCTAAGTAATATCTAACTATCAATATCTCCAACCTATCTACTACAAGTAGAGGTAACGCTTAACCCTCTCACCTAGAAGCATATGCTTATTCTACTAGTAAACTGACACACTAAAAAACATCGTGGTGGCCCAGAGGCATACCACTGGCCCACCACTAGCAGACGATGAAGGAAAATATCGTAAGGACTTGGGCTTATAATTTCTAATTATGTAGTTTGAAATGGGCAAGCCGCTTTAAGCAAGCGTGGTGATTAATGCTCAATCCTTATCCGTGTGAGAAGAGGCCTTTGGTCAGCAGTGACCATATATAGGCTGTTGATAGAACTGACACGGACTGTTGATGTTACCTAGTGAGCTAGTGAGGACCAGGCTTTCGTCGTACCAGAGGCAAGAGTGAGAGTTTTGACAATTGGGATGATGGAAATTAAAAAACTAATTAGTCCGTAAGTTTGGTAATGAAAAAATATTAGACACGTATTTTTTATTTTATCGTATGATAAAATACTTAGACAAAACGAATCAAAGTTTAGGAGTGGGGGCTAAAACGTCATTTCTACGTACAAAATGTACATAGAAGTGACGTCACGCGACATTTCAAATCAATATATCATCGAAAACATTCGTTTCTGTAAGAAAATAAAAAAAACGTGTTCTGATATTCTACCAGACGGACATTAAAATAAAAATTAGGCATCTACCATCTACCTTATTCTACTCTGCAACAACCATACAACTTAGAAAATTGACAAGCGGAAAAATACTACCTATGGTAGGTACCTAATAACAAAAACTTAAGATTCAAAACCACTCAGAATTTAAGCCTTTCCTCCGTAGGGGGTTTCGGTTATCAGGCCTATCTAAAAGCACGTGTTTCAAATCAAAAAAAAATATAGTGCAGTTAAGCACGTCAACATACCTACGCTAATCATCTCAATACGTTTTCTATTTTAAAACAGAGAGTATAAAGTCGAGAATCATTTGAAGATGATTGACAGATTTGAGTAGCTTGATATGCATCTGTATGAATAGATTCTGATATCTGATGAATATGTAACCAGACGATTGCAGATTCCTAATCAATTGGAGAATTTTACAAGTCTATCAGTGAGTGTTTTGACACGTCTATCGTTTTGGAGTATTTTTCTTTGAATTATCAGTTTGACGCTGGCACTCACCATGATAGATATAAGATCTTGAAAATAACATAACATGACGTCTTTTGTCCCCGGAGGGATAGGCAGAGGTGCACATTATGGCACTTAATTCCACTGCACAATCAATCTTATAACAGCCACTTTTCACTATTTATGTTATGAGTCCCATGTTACGGGGTGAGCCGTAACATGGGACTCATAACATAAATAGTGAAAATTGCCATATACCTGGCATAATTCTAGACTCTATGCTACTACTGAGATTTATTTAAAAAACTCTACTATACTTTGCTCGACCCGGGAAACGAACCCGAGACCCCTTGACTGGCAGTCGCACTTGCGACCACTTGCCAACGAGGCAGTCTAAATATCTTATCTTGAAAATAGTAACATAACATATTACCTATGGTAGGTCATTGGGTAGGATTACCTCGTGTGCAGCACCTGATGGTAAGCAGTCAATCAGCGCCCCTTATGAACATCTGTAACACCACGCTAGAAGAGCGACAAGTACCTATACGTTGCCGACGCTACGGGGATTTTAGGAATGGGGATCATCATCATCATAATCAACAGCCGAAAGACGTACACTGCTAGACAAAGGCCCCCCCCCTTAGGTCTCCACGTCGAACGACAAGTCGTCACCTGCATCTGGCTCCCCGCAACTCTGGCAATGTCATCGATCCACCTAGCGGGAGGCCTGCCCACACTTCGTCTTTTAGGAATGGGAATGGCGGGGAGGATTCCACATGGTGAAGATACACAATACAAAGTTTAGCTACAATAGTTAACTCGTCGAGTACCGGTTTTATAGACACAATTAAAGAACAATAGGTCGCGGTCACCGGTGACCGCTTGGTGTATGACAGTTTAAGCTACCTAAAAATTATGAGTTACTCACGTTAATATACTGAGAAAACCTCTACTCATTGCGAGTCACAGAGAGACTCTTCCACGAGTCGACCGCGCACGCTTCTCATGAAGAAAGATTCCCTCTGTACAATATTTGTGGTTTCTTCATTATGTCTTACGATAGTTATTATAAAAAATAAATTAGCTATAAATGGTTTATTTTTTTTAAGGGGGGAAAATCATCGAATGACTTCTCCCGCCTGGGTGAGGCGGGAGGGAGTGCCAAACTCTTACTGACTAAAAACCACCCCGTTCCTACTCCTGCACTTCGAGCCGAAACCCCGGTAACCCGTTATATTCTTCGCGGCTCCGTATCAGCTATAAATGGTTAGCTTGTATTGCGAATAATAAACGCAGTTTCCTTTCTATTTTTCACAATCAATGTTGTTTCCCATTGGTTTTCTTTGAGTGTGTGAGGCTGTGGCGTCACTCCGGTCGAGACGGCCTATTGTTGCCGAAATATGACTCCCACAAGAAAATTACTCCCAGGCGAAACCACTGGTGTAAAACTAGTCTCAGGTACCGACAGTTACCTTAAGTCTTTCCTTGTTTATCCATCAGTCCTTATGCACTTAACGTCTTGTCATACTCATATCGATGGTAATCTTTAAGTGAAGTTGTTCAAAAACATCAAGTTTGACTTTGGCTTTAGATAAAAAATAATGTTTTGTTTTGTTTGATACCTAAGCATAGGTAAAATTGCATAACTTTGCGCTATGCATATTATAGTCGGACTGAGTAACTAAATGAGAATGATTTTTTTTGTGAGTACCGATTTGAGTTGAAAACTGTGTTCCTAATTTAGATTCTTCTTTTTTTATTTACGTTTTTTTTATGTTGTTTGTCTTCAATTGTAAAACATTATCCAATGCATTTCACTATGTATGTCACCTGTTATTGTTACCCATATTTGCAAAATAAAAGTATATATATACCCACCTTACCACCATGGTAAGCGATCAGCGCCGCATATGAACACCCGCATAACTAAGTAGATAGAAACATAAAAATAATAAATAATTATAATGACGTAATGTAGGTATGTAATAGTAATTACATAGGTACATATGTATCACAAAAAATGTTTTCAAACCACTTTGGGTATTACAGTTTAGGATAATTTTGACTTTATTAACTTTAAGGACCAGCAAAAAAGACGTCATTACTTGGGTTACAAATTTTTTTAAACACTTAAATCACAACCGTTTAGGTACACACATAAAAACTATTTAATGTGTTTTTCATTTCTATTAATGCCTACCAGGGCCACCCTACGGAAAACAAGTGACGTCATATTGCGTACATAAGTTATGTACCTACTAACTACTACCGTACGGTTTCACCCGCTCTGCTCGACTCCTATAGGTCGGAGCGTGATTGTTTATAGCCTTATCTATAGCTTTCCTCGATAAATTGACTATCCGACAAAAACATAATTTTTCAAATGGAACCAGTACTTCCAGAGATTAGCGCGTTAAAACAAACAAACAAAATCTTCGGCTATATAGTAAAAAAGTACCTAAACAAGATGTATTTTATGAAAAACATGGGCACGTGTGTTTTTACGTATGACCCCCAAGTTTAGTGAATTGTTGAAAATGTTTATTGAGATAAGTAATGTATTATCTTTCTGACGTCCATGTTGTAGATAGAGTTCGAAACTATGTTCTTTTCATCTATATTTAAAAGGGACGTGTGTAATAAGTATGAGATAATGACTGGAGTTACAGTGGTCAGCAAATCAACCTACTCCAATCTGTCTTTATTCATTGGATTTTCGACTTCATGTTAATACCATAAAGTTGCATATAGAGGAATTTGACAGAAAAGAATACATTGAATTGCTGGCCAAGTTGCCACCGAACCTACATAATTTATTTATTTACAAACATTAATCTCACATCTTGTTAGATGTTAATCCTAACTTATCTCTACCCTTTTTTTTTAAGGGGGGGAAATCATCGAATGACTGCTCCCGCCTGGGTGAGGCGGAAGGGAGTATCAGACTCTTACTGACTAAAAACCACCCCGTTCCTTCTCCTGCACGTCGAGCCGGAGCCCCGGTTACCCGTTAGGTTCTACCCTAAGCATTCAATACGAGTTTCAGGCGTTGCTTGAATACTAGTTGAATTTTCTAGTCAAACAGGTACTTGAGTACCTTAGCCGTTTTTTAAACATAATTAATACCAGCTTCGCGAACATTCCTGTGGAGTAAAAAGTTGTCTATATATTTTGCAAGACCGTAATCTATTCCTGATCCAAATTTCAACCTGATCCATTCAGCCGTTATGACGTGATTGAGTAACAAACAGACACACAAACTCACAAAATTTTACATTTATATTATTAATAAGAAGTAAGATTTAATTAAAGGATTTTAAAAGTAGGACAACTGAATTTTATCGAAGAATTAAGATTTTATTAACACGACCTTTCCTTGTACTCGAATGAGCAATTTGTCCCACATTACGACATACGCGAGATATGTATAATAATATGGATACTTGGACATTTCGAACTTTGTCATATCATTCTTTAATGAACAGCGACACGATTTTTTTGCTTGATATATTTTGGCTATACGAAACACAATATCAACAGTGATAACTTGCTTACGATATTCGTCAAACCGATCTTATGTGTTAGGAATAGATATAAATGTGTTGTATATAAGATATTTTTAAAGATATTTATTTAAATAAATTATTTTAACACCATGAGGTAAGTTTCTACATCTTTTGTTGTTTATGTATGTCCAATTTATCAGATTTGTAAATTACTTATTCTTATCCTGGTAGTATCCTAGTAATAGCCAGCCAGGATTACCAGTTCACATTAAAATTTTATTATCATAGATGGCGCTGTCGTAGTTTATAAGTCTATCCAGGCAAAAACTTTCTCTCAATACAATAACAAAAAGATTAATCGCGTTTATCATTTTAATATTATCATACAAGTTGGCGTATCTAATTAGGTAATGAAGTTATCTAATCATTTATTACCTGCAACTAAATTAAACATTCAAAACAATACTACATGACGCTTTAGATAAAACTAATTCACTACAGTAACTAAAACTGATAAAATGTATCTTAAAGATGATTTCGCAAATGAAAGTAAACTCTTTTGTAAAAGAGACATGGTTTATTTTAGAATTAATTAGGGTATATTTATAATAGTGATTAATTTGGTTTACAGAGTTTTGTGCCATATACTAGCTGCAGTTCTTGCAATCACTTGGGTGACTGCGAACAGTCCTACAGCTGACATGAGGAAATTACCAGAACACTTAAAGCTGGGAGTAGCCACCGCCTCCTTCCAGATTGAGGGCGGATGGAACGCTGCAGGTACATTCGTTTAGAACTTATAACAATCCCCTGTGCCAAAAATGTCAACGATGTTAGATGATAATCTCATTGGTGCCATGAATGTGTAGATTTAAAGATAGCAAACGTATACTTTACTATAACACAGAATTATATTATTATATATAATCCTTACTTTATTTAATAAACGACTTCATCTGGAAAGCATTAATGATCTGCTTCTTCATTTATCTTGACTTCGTTCTTTTCAGACAAGTCTCCAAGCATATGGGACACTTATTCTCACATCCCTGGCAAAATCAAGGATGGAACAGATGGCAACGACACTTGCAAGTCCTACGAGTTCTACGAACGAGACATACAAATGCTCAAGTTTCTTGGTGTAGACTTCTACAGATTCTCCATTTCATGGCCAAGAGTTCTACCAACTGGCTTTGCTAACAAAATCAGCGAGGATGGTATCGGGTATTACAGTAGATTGGTGGATGAGCTATTAGCCAATGGTATTGAGCCAGTGGTCACAATGTTCCATTGGGATTTGCCCCAAAGTCTGCAAGACTTAGGAGGTTGGGCCAACCCTCTCATAGCAGACTGGTTCGAAGATTACGCTCGAGTTTTGTACGATGCACTGGGTGACCGAGTCAAAACCTGGATAACGCTAAATGAACCGAAGCAGATGATAATATTTGGTTATGGAATGGACAGGTTTGCTCCTAATATTGTTTCTCCTGGTATTGGTGATTATATCGCTGTGAAGAATGCTTTACTGGCTCATGCTAAGGCTTGGCATCTGTATGATAAAGAGTACAGAGAAAAACAAAAAGGTAAGTCGCTAAGTATAGAAAGAACGCTGAAGAATGAAACTTTGATATAGTTTTCGTTGTCATTTTTAATTTCTCATCTTTGATTGCAGGTACTTGCGGCATAACCATAGCAACAGACTTCAGGGAGGGTCTATCAGACACACCTGAGGATGTGGAACTTGGACACTTGGCGATGGACTTTGAAGCTGGTTTCTATAGCCAACCAATATTTTCTTCGACTGGTGGATTCCCTGAAAGGATGATCAAGCGAATTGCCGAAAAAAGCGCTGAACAAGGCTTTCCCCGGAGTAGACTGCCAGAATTGTCACAGGAGGAAATTGATTATATAAAAGGTATGCTGGTAGATCCTTCTAAGTCCGTGTTGGTTTATGAAAGGGTTTTGTCTACAGAAACCATGCGTGAGGTGTATATTATCTCTTATATCTGCAGATGTCACGAGGATGTTGTTGTTATACGATAGTAAACTTCAATTGAGTTATTTTTACATTACTATCTGAACCAAGATGTACATTCAAGGGCCGTTATCCGATTAATAATCAAGCAGTTTGCCTCTTATATAAGAGATATCTCTTTGTCAATCGCCAGGAATTTCCTTAATATCTACCATCAGTCAGATAAATATTATTAACTATCTACTTTGTTTTTTTCCTCTGTAATGTCCTAACCCAATGTGTTTTTTAAATATTTCAGGCACAAGTGACTTCTACGGTTTCAACCATTACTCTACTAGGTTCTACACAGCTGATGGATACAAGAAAGGGATGTACGCGATCCCTTCATATGATGACGATATCGGAGCAGTGTCCAACTACAAGGATTACACCCCAGCACCTACTATTCATACTACGGTAAATTTAGCTTATTTCTCATCATCATCAATCCTTCCCTAGTGGGGTTAGCCATCGTCAGTGGCGTAACTAGAAGGTGGTAAGTTCATAGGTTTCATCTGGAGTCGCTCTTTTCTATATTTGTTAGGCCTTCGCTTTGATGAATTTGCCACCGGCCTCCATCGATATAGTTAGGCCACTGGCCATCATGCCCACGTTTGGCAAATGGCTTAGAGACTCCCAAGTAGGTACACTTGCATAGACCTAGCTACACTTGCATAGAATTGCATACCATACGAAATAGGAAATATTTCTGGGAAAGAGAGCTCCTTGAAAATAAGAGTGCAATCAAACAATAGGTTGTGCATAGGGAACCCTCACTTACACGCGCACTGGGATCCCGTGTGAGAGTGGTACTTTCTCGTTCGATCTGGCCCATTCAAGTTGCATAAAGCAATTAAGCTCCATCATCATAATATTAAAACCTTGGTTTAACCGTCAATTTTTTTATTACAGAAAATTCCTACCGGTATCAGAAAAGCTCTAAACTGGGTGAAAGATAATTACAACAATCCAACAGTGTTGATCACCGAAAATGGCTACGGTACTTTTGGCGGGAACAATGACATTGACAGGATAGATTATTACAAAGCGTATTTGGACGCCATATTGGATGCTATTGTATTGGACGGGTGTAAGGTGGCTACTTACACAGCTTGGAGTCTTATGGATAACTTTGAATGGGACTCCGGCTTAGGGTAAATATTACCAAACCTTTATTACCTATTTGATCATACAGCCAAATAAGCTACGTAAAGTCCTAATGTTGAGTGCATTTTTAAACATACGAATTAATCATCTATATCACACCTAAACCGGAAACAACAATGTGTGGACAGAAATGTTCTGTGCGGTACAACGGGAATCGAACCCGCGATACGGTCGCTCGCTTACATAAATATTATACCTACAATAATATTGATTTACTTTCAGCGCCAAATTCGGACTATTTGAGGTTGACTTCGATGATGACCAAAGAACACGAAAAGCAAGATTATCAGCTCTATGGTACAAAAACTTTATCGCCCAGAGATCGTTGGACCCGGAATATTTGCCAGAGTTTGAAGAAAAATGGTTTTAAAACTAAAAGCACTGTTTATAAATAACGAAAAGGCGTATCTAGTGAAAGTAATTAAAAATGTACTTAATAATTTTATTGGAAAGATTTAAATTAACCTTAATAAAATCCTGTTCCTCAATATATGGCTACCTAGTACACCTGTCAACGGAAAATCTTAGTTGATTTTTTTCTGGCTAAGCATACCGCATTTCTAACGAACTGACTGACACTTGTTTTGATGGTGTCGGGGATATTTGCAACACTAGAGCAGTCATGGGCGTTGCGGGCCTTTTAGGGATTGCGAATCTTCCTGGGGATTTGGGGATGGGGAATTTAATTAGGTCTTCGTTAACTTGTCAATACTAAAACTTGCCAATACTAAAACTTGTCAATACTAAAACTTGTCAATACTACAACTTGTCAATACTAAAACTTGTCAATACTAAAACTTGTCAATACTAAAACTTGTCAATACTAAAACTTGTCAATACTAAAACTTGTCAATACTAAACTCCGGTCCAGCTGCCCATTTAATAAGTAGCTGGTTGTTTGGCCATGTGGGTGAGGTTACCAGAGCCAGGAGTCTTGGGTCCGATTCTCAAATTGATACATGGTACAACCCAACAATTACACATTAATTATATAGTTATTATTTCTACGTACCCCTATGAGGATTTTATGGTGTAATGATGTAATATTAGTAACTACCTAAATTGAACGAATACCTAGATATGTACCCAGTATTCATATATAAGTCACAACATCATATTTCAATCCACACCTTTCTCTAATATTACTCAGTAAACCTTTGCCCGACCCGGGAATCGAACCCGAGACCCCTTGCCCAGCTGTCGCACTACGTCCACTCGGCCAGGTACTTAGATCTCGTTGGTCGAAAGTGCGATTACCTATATATTACTTTACTCTTTGGCGACAACCCACAAATCTGTGTCAGGTTCGATTTCCGGGTTTTTAGAAAATTTCTTAATAACTACCATGACAATACGCTATGGATGCCCTAAATAGCCGCGCTCCGCTTCCTCCTTGGAATAACACAAATAGCAAGTACGTACCTACTTTTATCCCATAGGGATGCTGATGAAGCCACGGGCAGAAGCTAGTTTCCCATAAATTCTGATCAAAGTACCTATAATAATATTAATATGACTTTAATGTTAGGATCAATGAGATGTTTTAAATGGATTCCTAAAGTAGATAGGCAGCATTATTTCATTGATTTGTAGGACTGCAGGCCTTAGCAATATACAATATATTTTCTTTTCATTGAAGTCATCTTTGAATGACTGCCTTGTTGGTCGAGTGCTCGTAAGTACGACTTCCGGTCAAGTCTCGAGTTTGATTGCCGGGTAGAGCAAAGAATTACAAAATTTAAAAAAAAATCTAAATAGTAGCAGGAAGTCTGGCATTGTGCCTGGTATATGGCATTAGGCTCACCCCCTATAACATGGGACTCATAACTTAAATAGTAGAAAATGGGTGTTACATTGTACAGTGGCATTAAGTACAGTTTAGTGCACCCCTTCGGGGATTATAGGCCTGACATTATGGTATGTCATGTATGAACATCAAAACTAGCATGAATATACCCTTAATAATTTATTACTGAAACTAAGTATACTTTATTCTAACATTAACAAATTATTTCATTGTTTCACAAAAGGTTTTGTCCTCGTAGTAATGAATTCTTCTCTTGTATGGTATGGTGCGTAAGGGTCATCAACATAGTACTTTGGCTTCTTCCAAAACTTTGTCACCATTTTATCTAACATTGTGCTCTGGGTAGAGTTGCAGAAGACATGTTGCCTCAATCTTCTCTTTTGTGAAGAGGATTTTTTCCACATTTTCTTATTCCTGCCCACCTTAGTCCTTATCCATCCTCCCCAATGTAAACGGAAGAATCGTCGTACTGCTGCCTTCACTGTCTTCCTTTTACCCTTATGTAAACTGAATTTTGTAACAGTTCTAACAGGGACAACACTCAAATTCGATGATATATCCAAAATCTGTGTATTATTCAACAACGAATTTTGTTTGATACATGTGTGAATGGGCGTCCTTAAGTTTTGAATAGTAGCATAGTTCCTCGAACTGCTACTAATAATATTGGCTGCATTCAAATACGAAATCGAAAGAGGCCGTATACTCCGAACAGCTGAAAAAGAAATAATAACCTCAAAACAAGCCGTCACAAACAAGTTGGTAAAATTGTTATACAACAAAATAGAGGCAATAAATTTTGTATACATAGAATCTCATAGTATAAAGCTTTTGGATAGTAATTTGTGACCATTCATAATAAAAATAGCATTTACCAGAAATCGCCAAACGAAACATTTTAGGAAAACACAACCATCGATCAACCAAAACCCAATTTTATTTTTAGGTAAGTAATCGAGTGATGTGAAAATACTTTGAGTTTTGAGCTGTCAAGTTGACAGTTACATTTTGTTCGCTTCACTTCATGTTGTTGTGTTCAAGGCTTGTGTTATTGTCATTAAGTGCTTTTACAACCAAAATCGCCTGTTGTAAAACATGAAGATATACATATCTTCATATTCTGTTTTATTAATCTGTCAAACACCGAGCGGTCACCGGTGACCGCGACCTATTGTTCTTTAATTGTGTCTATAAAACCGGTACTCGACGAGTTAATTTTATTTTTCAGATATAATCGACTAATGTTTACAAAATGAATCTGCCTAAGAAACTGACCTACGACAAAAACCGTCTATTCTCAGTGGTCGCAATTCTGTAGTCTCTGAATTTTGACAGCCCAAGTGGAAAGAGATTCGTGCCGAAAAATGTATAAATTTACGAACCATTTAACTAATGCTAAATTAGTATTGGTATGTACAAATTCTAATTTAATTTGGTTATCAGAATTATATTAATTCACTCCTATTTCATTGCTTAACAAGTGTTTGATCAGACTTGTATTGATCAGTTATCCAATGTTTTGATTATGTTTTTCAGTGTTTCTTAGTTAATTCAGGTTCTAATTTTAGTTATTCATCAGCGAATTAAAGTTTACATCTGTTATCATAAACATAAACACGGACCTTGGTTTTGTTGTCCCTTACATAACAATCTTTGGACGTCATTTTCACAAATAACCTACAAATTATTTGTTAGGCTGTGTACAGACTAGCGATTTGTGCTAAAGTAGGTTTTATGACGTTTACATAATTTTTACCTATATGTTTGGTACTTATTTTAAGTTATTTACTATACATTTCACTGTTTTGATTATGTTAGTTACTGTTTACAGTGTGTAGGTATTTACTTTCTTTTTGATAACTTTTATTTTGAAAATATGTAGCACTTACTTCCTTAAAATTATTTATCATACAAGTAAATTACTTTAGGAAAAGAATTTCAATTCAATTTAATTTTTTTTTAATTATGACTAAAATTTTTATTTTCAATACATCATCCTACTGAATTAAATAAATAATAATTTTAATTGTTATAAAATTAATAATTAAGTAATCTGTGTTAAGATATGTAGAATCTTCAATAGCTTTTCAACTTTTTCCAACTGACAAATTAATGTTCAATATAAATTATTTATACTAAACCAAGCTTTATGTCATGTAAAAAAAAACACTTAATATTTGCTCTCAACTTTACACAAATATGCATACCACCTTATTGTGATACAGTAAGTACATAATTATATTAAGTTCCATTCCACATAGGGAGGTATATCATGGAAATTTCTAAATAATATATCCTAATATCTACTTACTTTATCCATCAATCAACAAATTATAGAACTTAGTTTCCTTAAAAATTAATCTATAGAGAAAAATATACATACATACATAACATCACTCCTTTTATCCCTGAAGGGGTAGGCAGAGGTGTACATTATGCCACTGTACAATGTAACACCCACTTTTCACTATTTATGTTATGAGTCCCATGTAATAGGGGGTGAGCCTATTACCATATACCGGGCACAATTCCAGACTCCGTGCTACTACTGAGAAATTTTTAAAAACCCAATAGTACTTTGCCTGACCCGGGAATCGAACCCGAGATACTTGTGACCACTCGGTCGAGGCAGTCAAAATATAAGTCAGTGAATTACTTTCCTCATCTCTTATTTCATTTCCTTCAGGTACGGCGGCATGTGGGCGAAAGTTCCTGTGCTGCCCTAATAGTAATGCGGGCTCCACACCGACAATATGCAACGAAGGACAAATGTGATGCAGCCCCAAAGCGACCAAAATCCACAAAGCTATTTTGGGGAGCTATAGGTGCCACTGTACTTACTGGAGCGTCTATTGTCTATGCTAAGTATGTGCTTTTTTTATTTAAAACTTTATTATCAGACTATGGACTATACATATATACTATGGACCATAGATTTTATAGACTAGCTTTATCACTTTTATTCTGTCTATTTAAATATGTAGGTACCTATGTAATGTATACTATATTTATGGAAGAATAGTAATTTAAGTAACAGTATGCTGACTAGAATACTTTCAAAGTAAAAATAATAACACATGGTCTGGTCGGGCTACCCTTCCTCGCCGTCCGCATACCCAATCACTACTTAGCATAACATAGACATGTTGTTTAACAAACACATTTGCAAAATTATACAGTTATTTATGGGTCTAGCCTGGCACCCAATTTAGAAGTCGAACTCAAGATTCCTTGCTTTTGTACCAACACAGCATAGTAGCATAGGTAATATGAAACAATAATTAATTACCAATTTACATTTCATTTTATTTAGGAACAGTCCAGATGCTCGCAACTGGCTAGAGTCAAACATCCCTTGGGCAAACGACGTCGTAGCTCTAGTTTACCAGGAGAACACCACCTATTGGAAGGCAGCCACCAACCAATTCAACAGGACCACCACTTATCTCAGTCATTTCATGTTCGGAAAGGTATTTTATGACTTTAGTAATTACTTACTTAATACTTTAGTAGTTACTTTAGTACTACCGAAACTTCTTCTTAAAAACAGAAAAAAAAAAACAATCAGCCGAACATAGTATGTACCTTCTCCTTTTTTTGAAGTCGATAAAACAGAAGGAACACGAAATTATACAAACAAATAAATAAAATTGGAGTGTCTATAACATATTTATCTGTCACTTATAATTTTTGTCTGTCACTTGTACTGGAATGGCTGAAACCGATTTTGCAAGACTTTTATTGGCAGGAAGCTGATGTACTAAGGAGTAACATTATACTTTAATTTTGGAAAATTGACACAAAAGTTCTATTCTAAAATTAATATTCTATGTCGACGTAGTCACGGGCAACAGCTATACTCGGAATTTTAATTCGATTCCAGATTTGACAATTTCAGTGTTGCAACGTTACGACAAGTACTAAATAGTGACGTTGCGAAATTATTCGATATGGAAATGCAATATTTCTGGATCGATTCTTCTCGTTTATAATTTTACTCTCGTAAACTAAGTATATCAGGAAATTAAATATTTCTGAACCGATAATTTAGTTTTGACGATTAATTAACGATCTGAGACTTTTCTTTTATAATTATGTGTGAATTAAATAAAAAAATGTAATCATGAAGGAACATGACAAATAAAAAAACAGATACATGTATTATGGTAATAAGTTATTTTATAAATTGTCGCCGTCATCGCTATCGCTATCCTGTCACTTTCTGTAACATTTATTATAAAACACACACTGATTGTTTATCGATTTTTGTGTGCATCACTACACTATTAAATGTGGTATCATTATTTCACAAAATGACAGTAGCTATTGTCAAATCTGGAATCTAATTAAAATTCTGACTATAGTTATTACAATGAGTACATATGCACTGTCGGAGTGTCCATACTGAACAAAACCTTTATTAAATTCCTTCTTAAGAAGAACATTTACTGTAGCTGTTGTTTAGTGTAAGACTTTTTATGTAAAATTTTAATATGTAACTGTTTTTTGTCCCTTAACTCGTCGAGTACCGGTTTTATAGACACAATTAAAGAATAATAGGTCGCGGTCACCGGTGACCGCTTGGTGTTTGACAGTTTAATAAATAAATAAACATCTACCCATCGCAATGGTTTGAGTTTACCACCGTTTACGTCTAGTCAACTAATAGCCTAGTAGAACTTTTTATCACATAACATAACATCACGCCTTTTATCACCGAAGAGGTAGGCAGAGGTGCACATTGTGCCACTGTACAATGTAACACCCACTTTTTACTATTTATGTTATGAGTCCCATGCAATGGGTTGTAAGTCAACTTATTAAGCTAAAATATGTAAATTGTATTTTTTATTCTTAGTTTTTATATCATAATTACAGGAAGGCGTTACTCCACCAGAAGTATGCTCAAGATCCGAACAAGATATTGAAAAGGATGCTGCGATAAAATTCGCCAAGAAAACGTATCAATGTGAGTGGAACCACAAAATAAATATTAATAATACGTTGATATAACATCCTTTTAATTTGTTCATACAAGAGTAGTCTCTAAAGATCAGTAATAAGGTCTAAAATGGAGTAAGTGGAGAGCGGTCGGCGTTGACCGCTTGAGGATTGGACAGTTAACTATAGTTCACTACAAATTCTTTGTAAAATGACAGAGATGGCACGATATTTAAGTAGAACTTAAAATTGGATAGCCTTTCAGTATTCTGGCGTTAGAATAGTCAATGTATGGGATGTTCATCTCTTATGTTTCATTTACCTGACGCTTTAGTACGAGTTTCTTTTACGTTTAAAGACGGCGTCCGGCGCTGTGATTGGTTGGTTAATTTGAGCCGGCCAATCACAGCGCCGAACGCGTATTCGTCCCTATATCGTCCCTATATAAGCCCTCTGATGTCCATAATTTTCACATGGGTGTTTGAATTGAAGTGTCTCTAAACGAGCAGAGGAATCCCCTCAAGGTAAAGGATCAGGCCTTACCATCAGATGATTTGTTTGCCTCCTTGTTCCATAAATTAAAACGAATAGTTACTTATCCGAAATGGACCTCAAACTGTTTAATCCCGGAGTATGAAAAATCCACATTTATTCATGTTTATACGAAAGTAGTCTCTTAGCATTGGAAATAAGGTCTATAATGGATTAAGTGGAGATTTGTCATCGGTGACCGCTTGGGGATTTATCTGGGGCCAATTTTTCAATACTCAGATAAATTTTAACTAAAGAATAACATTCAATATTTGATAATTCTTCTATACTAAAAACTATCGACTGTCAATTTTATTCTACAGTTAAGAATTAACTGATGATTGAAAAATCGACCTTAATTCAGACAAAACAAACATACCAATGCATGTTTTTTTTTTGGTAATTTACAAACTAATAACATCATTCCATGGTCCAAAATGTCTAATAATAACTAACATAACCAGTTGTGTGTTCATATAACAGTGCCACCGCCGGTAATCGAACCCTTGTACGTCGAGGAAAAGGTTGTGACTACACCGCAAATTGAAAGTAAAGGTAAGTGCATGTACAACAGCCCATTAAATAAAATTTTACTTTATATAATTTGAATTTAAGTTCATTTTCGTTTGGCAAACTTGTTGGTACCCGATGGGTGCTTTAAGCAAATATTGGACTTATTTGCTTGTTATTTATACTAACTTCTTATAGATCCATTTGTCATAATTTTAAACCTTAACCTCTAGCTTATAAGGTTTAAAACAAAAACATCTGTCATTTGGATACATTCAGATTTACTACCTACACAATAAGCTATAAGAAAATCACAAGTAATTGAATTCAAACTTTATTTTCAAGTGTCTCAAGGTCCAATATGTCACTCTCTTCTTTTTAAACTCTCTTCTAAGCAAGTAATCTAATTTGAACCTTATTTCTCAGCAACTTTGGTTCAAACTGACAAATGCGAGCCTCAGACGGCTCAAGAAGTGAAGATTACTAAGGATATGGTGGAACTTGAGCAAGAAATGCACGAGAACACGAAGATCGCCATAGACAACTATAAACTGGCGACACAGTACTGTGCTGACTACAATAAGGCTTTGTTCAAGGTTTGTTTGTCTATGTTTATTTTATGTTTTTTTTAGTATTTATTTTTATTCATTCTTTGCTTTATGAAAAATGTAAATAAAACAAGTTTTTAATTTTGTTAGTTTTGAATATCAAACTCAAGAGCATTTATTTCAATTTAACCAAAATTTGGTACTTTTGAAACGTCAACAAATATAAAATAAATAATAGTAGTCAGTGAAGCTAGGTGCTCATTAAAAAAAGTAGATTCGAGTGGAGAAGAACAAGCAAGAAACTCTATTCTACTTTTTTTAAAATAGTATGTTTTACAATCTCTCTGATATATACTTGAATATTGCACATATATGTGAGAACAATGTTGAGACTTACTTTGTTTGACGCAGAATAAAAATTAAAAAAATTACTAAAATACAAAACATAACAAAGTAAAAAATATCTTATAGTCTAACATGGTGCTCACATATAGCGAAAGATCAAAATTCTATTCTTCTATATTAGCAACCTTATGACATTGTGATAAAGTAAAAAATCCAATAATATCGTATTGCTTTAGATCATAGAAGCGTCCTTGGATGATTTGGATAAGAAATACTTCAATGGACTGCAAGGTCTACAACAACAGATGCACAATGCACATGTAAAGGCTAAAGCAGCCTCTGCTAAAGCCAAATGTGCTATTGGTAAGTTCACGTCGTACATTAAGATATTACTTAATACAAAATTTGAATATTTGGCCTTAAAGTCAAAGTCAAAATCATTTATTTCAATTAGGCCAGAATGGCACTGTTGAACGCAACAAAAAGAAAAATTAAAAGTGAAGCTATTTGCTCATTCCAAGGTGTAGATTCCTATGGAGAAGAACGAGCAAGAAGCTCCATAGATTACTCTTTTTCAATCAGGTTCACAATACAATTTACTAGTTATATAGTTTGCTGTTTGGATTGTGCGAGAACAATGTAACACTAAAATCCAGTCAAAGTGATCAAAAATGAAAATAACCTTAAGGACTATAATACAGTCTGGATCTAAATGCTGAATGATTCTTGGAATAACATCCAACATCGTTTTACCAACGTGAAACAACGCTTGCATTGTGTTTCGTCGTGTGAGTGAGGTTACCGGAGACCAAATAACCCTCTCACCAATTTCCCCCAATCCCTGAATCCCCAAATCCCCGGCCGGTAACATACTTGTAACGCCTCTGGTGTTCCGAGTGTCCATGGGCGACGCCTATTGTTTACCATTAGGTGATCTGTCTCTTCATTAACCGGCTTATGCCATAAAATGATATCCTGAATGCAAAAATGAGAGTCTTCAACGACTCTTTGTGTATTCCATAAGTTATTGTGAAACATGGAGTAACTTGTAATTTATATGAACTTGTATTTTTGTAAACGCACCCAAGACACGTGAGAAAACCCAAGTGTGGGGAAAAACACTATTTAAAAAAAAATTAAGTAATACCTCTGACCATGGCTATTAGCTATGTTTCTCTTATTATTGTTCTTCTAGTACATACTATATCCTCGTTTCCAGAAAACCTAGACCGTATGATCAAGACTGGCATGAAGGCTCCGCCAGAAAGCCAGGCTACAACCAAGCGTTACATCAAGCAGTTCCGCGCAGACCTCACACAAGCCGAGAAGAATTTCAGTGCAGAACAGGAGAAATCTGTAATCAGCGACAAGTATTGGAATAAGGTATGTTGTTATTGCTCTTTATTTTGTACTAGCTACTTCCGCGCGGTTTCACACGCTCTGCTCAGCTCCTATTGGTAGTAGCGTGATGTTTTATAGCCTATAGCCATCCTCGATAAATGCGCTATCCAACACAAAAAGAATTATTCAAATCAGACTTGTAGTTACGGAGATTAGCGCGCACAAACAAACAAACAAAAACTACTCGTAGTATACTTTAGTTCAAGATGTTCGCTTAAAGATCTGCGGTTGCGAATCTCAATAATATTTTGAGAGGACATGGGAGTAACCAAAAGTACCATCGTGTCTATATACCTTTCCAATCGCCAGCTCATGATCTAGGAAACCAGGAAGGGACCAAGTCTGCAAAATCATTGAAAAATCGACTTTTTGGTGGTGTGGTGTTGGGAACGAAATGTTGAAAATCCCGTGAACCACTTCTGACCATAACCCAAAGAGACTCAAGGAACCGCTTTCGTTGACAGCGAAATTGCGAATGCTAGCAACGCATAATGCCTAAAGGTGAACTGACGTCATCTTGTGACAAATGATGATGATGATGATGATGAAAGCTATATGGGCGCGTAACCACTACAGAGCACTCCATTAATATACTGTTAGCTCAGATTTTACTCAATATGGACAAACTGTTAGTCTATCCATACGAATCACATCGGTAGAATGCTCTGGCAAAGCAGTAAAGCGGTGAAAGTGGAATAAGCTGAGAAAGCAATTGAAGTATAAGTGACCAATAGCGACTGATCATGTATACCTACGTTCCGTGAAAATCATACACCAATTGTGCTACTAGAAATAATCTTTTTATATAAAAACTATCGGGAGACATAAAAATTAAAATATACGGCTTATTTACGTGAACTATTCGAGGAAATCTCTACTAGTTTCATGTCATACCGGGACTCATATCAGTTGACCGCGTGACGTCACCGCGCCGCTAAACTTGAGTAAGCCGTATATTTCAAATAATCACGACCCCTTTGTTCTTTGTGAATTGTGACGTCACATTTTAAAAGCTATTTTAATCTGTGACAATGGATTTGGTACAAATATCTATGTAAATTGCTTTGTCGACCACCCGCTCTAATAGCATATTATTATGTTTTCGGCTTACTGACGTAATTATTTGACGAGGAATTCGACTAGTTTTAGTGTCTAGTCTCACGAAAGTTATAATAACTGATTTTGAAACAGCTGTTTTCATTCAGTAATTTCGTAATTTAGAAAAATGTGACGTCACACTAGTGGGGGTCCTCACAAAATGCGACTAGCTGTGACAAGAACGCGGGGACCCCATGATGATGGTTTGATGATAGAATTGGGAAGTGGCTGATGGGACCTTAGGGTACTTCCTTGTAATTTATAAACATAGCAAGTTTTAGCTAGATGTTCCCATTTCTCCTGATGTCGATATTATGAAAAGCGCGTTTATAGTTTTTATACTGGGGATTTATTGTTTATAAAGTTTGTTTTCCTTTGTATAGGTAGAGGCGGCTCGTACCATGTTCAAGGACGAGCTACAGGCGCTGTTTCCCGGCCTCGACCTTAGTGCACGCAAACTGAATATACGCGGAGATACTGACGTACTACTTGTCTACGCTCTGAAGAGGGTAAGCATATAATACGGTAGTTGACAACTAGTCAAATTAAATACTTTTTTATGGGCTATATCGGAAAAGGAACAGACGGTTCACCTGATGGTAAGCAATCGGCGTCGTGGCCCATGGACACCCGGAACACCAGAGGCGTTACAAGTGCGTTGTCGGCCCTTTAGGGATTAAGAATTTGAGGAATGTTGGGGATTCAGGGATTGGGGAGATTGGGGAATTGTGAGGCCGTGGTATCACACTCGAGCCTGTCCATTTGTGCGGAAGCATGGCTCTCCCACAAATATGAATTTTACCTATACCGATTTATGACGTCATCAAATTTTTGCGTCAAATAGAACAATTAAGTAAATCGTCAATTAAGTATATCGTCCAATCAATGAATGATAAGTACGATTATTTTTGAATATTTTAATGCATTGAACAGTCAAAATAATTTATTTTTGACCTATGAAACTACCTAATTATCTGTACTTTTTATAAACTAGCATTTACCTGCGACATCATAAGTGATAATTAACACTTTACATTATTTACGACGTTACAGGAGGATTTGCCTTCAACAGTTTTCTATAGGCAGTCAAAGATTTAAAAGAGAAATTGACGAAAACATATCGTATACAAGCAACTCTGTTCTTTATCTATTAAATTATCAGACATATTTTTAATTAACATTTTGTTGTAATTCCAGATACAATTTCTGCAGAATCAATTGGCAGAGGCTCAGACGATTCGCGACCTTAAGATCAACAGGGCTATCGAATGTAAGTTTTATATGTATTTGTATAGGTTTCTCAGAAAATCTTGTCTTAAATACACTGTTTCGTAAGAAAGGGCTTTATTTATTTATTTATTTAGTCTTTAATTACACAATTTGATTATGGCACATAAGGCGAACTTAATGCCATTTGGCATTCTCTACCAGACAACCAGAAAAATAAGGTACGGATAATAAACTAACAGGAAAGAGAGAGAAAAGAAAAAATGGTTTGGGTTGATTTTTTGATTGATTGATTCATTTATTTAAATAACTAGCTTTTACCCGCGGCTTCGCTCGCGTCACAAAAGAATAAAAAGTAGCCTATGTGACATATACCTATACACACAGCGCCATCTATACCAATACTTTTGTTTTTCTCGGGAATATCAATTTTTTCCGGGTTAAAAAGTACCCTATTATTTAATCTGGACTTCTAACTTTACGTCTGCAAAAATTCAAAGCAATCGGTTGAGTAGTTACGGCGTGAAGGTGGAACAAACAAACAAACAAACAAACTCACTTTCAGATTTATAATATTAGTAAGGACAAGGGTGCTTTCTCTTGAAACCAATCTCAATGTCAAAACTATTCAACCCCAATCGTAGCTGTTATCACAATCAGAGTACGGAATATAAAGCCGAACTCAATACCATTCAGTTCATTAAATATTCACGCAATACGGATTTAATGGTCGCTAGTATTGCAACTCAAGAGTACGAAATTGCACAATACCAATGTCGATCAGACCGACCTTCGGGAATAAAAGGCGTGATATTATGTTATGTTACTACTACTTACTACTTACTACAAATTCTTTGTCAAATGACATCTCACATTATTTAAGTACAACATTAAATTGAAGCCTTACAGCATTCGGGCGTTTGCATGCAATGCAAATTGTAGACTAAAATAACCGAATCTTTTGTTCAATCACGGAATTACTTACAGGTCATGACGAGAAAGCAATAATTGAAGCTAAAGCCGAAGACATCATTATGGCAGAGAGGATGGTCAGAGAAACTGAATTTATGAAGAAGGTATGTGTACTCTAATTTGAATCTTATGTGGGACTCAGAACAAAATTCGATTTCAATTTATTTGCTACTAGCTTTTACCCGCGGCTTCGCTCGCGTCACATAAGAATAAAAGTAGCCTGTGTGACATATACCAATACACACAGCGCCATCTATACCAATACTTTTGTTTTTCCTCGGGAATATCATTTTTTCCGGGTTATAAAGGACCCTATTATTTAATCCGGACTTTTTACTTTACGTCTGCAAAAATTCAAAGCAATCGGTTGAGTAGTTACGGCGTGAAGGTGGAACAAACCAACTCACTTTCAGATTTATAATATTAGTAAGGATTTTAAAACGAATGATATATCTGCCAGTATTAGTATTAATAAATATTTATTGATGTATTGACAACAAATTAAAACTAAAATCACTTAAATCAAACCAGTAGTTTTTTTATTTATTCACGTTTTTGTAGTTCGATCGAGATTTTTTCACCAAAACCGAAAATTTTGAATATCTCGAAAACTAGCCTCTTTCGAACCATACACCTCAGGGCTAATTTTGTAGGAAATTACTTGTATTATCACCTCCCGAGAGAAATACGTAGGAGTTACGAGTTTAGTTCATTTCATTAATACGTACAATGGTTGAGACATACCCAATATTTGCATGCCCAACGGGTAGAACAAAGAGATACAATATGTAACAAAAATAAATAACACGTTAGTCACTAATTATGTACTACACCTCTGTTTAGCAAATAAAGACATTTGATTTGATTTACAAGTCACTCTGTATGTGAAAAAGTACAAATTTTGTAGATTTTTGAGTAATGTAAATATGTGCTTACAGAGCATGTTGATCCAAGCGGAAGCTAACAGGCAGACTAAAGAAGCTCTTAAGAAACAGCTGGAAATCCAACAAGAAGTCATGCATGACAGAATTGCTAAGAAGGAGAAAGAGGTAAAAATATTCTTTATTTTTCTACCACTGTACTTCCAGACAGGGCCACAGTGCCAAATTAAAAGTACCCTTAACCGACAAGCATGCATAAAAAGACTGATGCCTGTTGAGGAAGCCATAGAGGTATGTAAGAATCGTAGTAATTGGCGTTTCATAGTCTCTGCCTAGCCCCATGGGAGACAGGCGTGAGGTTTATGTATGTGTACATATCGTCACAACTGTCTTCCAATGGGGGTAGGCAGAGGCAATAGAACGCCAGACACCACGATTCAAGCGTACCTCTTTCGCTTCGTCTATAGCTAAACTCATCAATCTTTTCATGCATACTCGTCGATACACGTTGTCACTATACACAGTTAATTATGTTTTAGTTTTAATGGGTATCCTATATAGTACGACCAAATTTTACGGCTTAATCACGTACGACTAGTTTTGAGAGTCGACTATGAGCTTTTTTAAGGGATAAGCCGGTAAACGAGCAGTCGGATCACCTGATGGTAAGCAATCTGCGTCGCCCATGGACACCTGAAACACCAGAGATGTTACAAGTGGGTGGCCGGCTTTTTGGGGATTAGGTATTTAAAGATTGTTTGGGATTGGGGGATCCAGCATGGCCTAAAGTTAGTCGAGTTAGTGTCTATGTAAAACATATTTTTTAATGAAATTGTTCGTGTTCTAGATGATGGCTAACTTCAACCGCGCGGTGTCCGAGCAAGTTGAGGCCGAGCGAGTGGAGTTCAAGAAGGAACTAGCCGCCATGGCAGGCAAGCTTAAAGCTATTGAACAGACCTTGAAACGTATGTATTAACATTTTATAATAATTTTATTACACTAAGGCAAAATCTGTGTGTAATTTATAAGGGTGTTACCACACCGATCTATCAATCGTTAATAAATGGTGGAATGGATAAGTCAACGTCGTCGATCGAGCTGCTTGAGCTCCCCATTGTCATCCACTGCCCGTCCGATTAACGTCGACCGATGCCATTGACCGGTAATCGATCGATTGGTTATATATAATCCATCGGAATCCGTCGATTAATTAAAACTACCAAACCGATCGATCAACATTGAATGAACATTGAACAAGATACTGGCTGCCGCGCAACGTGTTATGGCGGGTTCGATCCCCGCACGGAACAACTCTTTGTGTGATCCACAGATTGTTGTTCCATGTCTGGACGTCATGTGTATGTGAACTTGTATGTTTGTAAAATGTAAATGCACTCACGACACAGGAGAAAATCCTAGTGTGGGGCAAAGATCTTAAAAACAATAAAATAAATAAACATCGACTGATGTAGATAAATGGGATCGATCGATTAGTATGTACAGTATAACACCCTTACTTATAGAAGGGATGATTAAACAAATCGCGAGAATAACTTGGGGAAATGTGGCCGTAGAAAGGCCAGAATGGAGAAGACCGCATGAGCAACGGTTTTAAACCAACATTTTTTGAATGAAATTGCAAATCTTCGAGGACCGAGTGAATAGGCTAATTGCTTATGGGACGATGTGTTCTGCATCATCGCTTACCACTAGGCGAAGTAGTGATCAAACGTCAGCTCATCAATGAAATAAAATAATCCGTGTATGGTATTGCAGAGCGCGCGGCGGCGGAGGCGGAGGCGCGGCGGTCGCAGTCGCTGTGGGCGGCCGCCGAGGCGCTGCTGGCCGCCACGCGCCGCCCCGCCGCGCACGCCAAGGTCGACAACGAGCTCACCGCACTCGCCAAGGCTGGTGCGTATTACTACTTACATTGTATTATGCTTTTTAACAGACTTAACCCTTAAGACTTTGATTGCCAATAAAAAACTGTTGAAGGTAAATCCTTCGCTAACGCCGGTCACCGGTGACCCACATGGCGTTTAACGTGTTAAATGCATGATTTTATTTTTAAGCCTAGAAAAAAAATATTTTGGAGCCATGAATATGCTTATTCAGGGGAAAATAATAAAAAAAATGGTAATTATTTTTTTGTATGTTACATAACCGACTTAAAAAGGGGGTTGATGTCGGTTGTTTTAAACGTTGTTTATAAAAGACTTATTTTAGAGGGTAAAACAATCGTGCATTATAAATTCAATCAATCAAATATTTTCAAGGCTTTTTATGTGTTTACTGAAACGTTCAAATAATTTATTTTGACTGACCATAAGATTCAAACGAACTTTTTTTTATGGCATAAGCCGGTAAACGAGCAAACGGATCACCTGATGGTAAGCAATGGGCGTCGCCCATGGACACCTGGAACACCAGAGGCGTTACAAGTGTGTTACCGGCCTTTTGGGGATTAGGAGTTTGAGGATCGTTGGGGATTCAGGAATTGGGGAAATTTGAGAAGGGGGAGGGTAATTTGGCCTCCAACCTCACTCACACAACGAAACACAACGCAAGCGTTGCTTCACGTCGGTTTTCTGCTCGGCCGTGGTATCACTCCGGTCGAGCCGGCCCATTCGTGCCGAAGCATGGCTCTCCCACACTTATAATTCTTCTTTGACAATCGATAACATTTTTCTCAGGCAAGGACGACAAGCTGGTGGAGTCAGTACTTAAGGGCATTCCCGCAGATGTTCGCGAAAAGGGAATCGCTACCGAGAAGTCGTTACGGGACAGGTTTGAAACGGTATTCAACTTTTTATTAATACTAGCTTCTGCCCCCAGTTAGAAGTGGGTGCTACATAGGGGCAGTGCCGTATAGTGTACCCCTGCCTAATGCCGTAATGTATGTAGATAGTGTTCTGACTAGTTTGTTCAATTTATTGCGATATCGGATAATGAGTAAGATAATAATTATTTCGTTTCAGCTGGAGAAGACGGCAATGAAAGTGGCTCTAGTTGGACGCGAGGGAGCCAGTCTGCCCGTCTACTTCCTATCCTGGGTGCAATCACTGTTGCTCTTCAAGCAAGTAAGTATATAGTAACTAACTACTTCCTCGCGGTTTCGCCTGCTGCTCAGCTCCTATTGGTCATAGCGTGATGTTTTATAATCTACAGCCTTCCTCGGTAAATGCACTATTCAAAAGACTTTTTCAAAACGAACCAGTACATCCATAGATTAGCGCGTTCAAACAAACAAACAGACGAACGCTCTTCAGATTTATATAATCGTATACTATTGACGTCCTCGTACGTCATTAGTCCTGCTGATGATGGTCTACCATCCCGTCGGGAACAGAGAGTGCACTTGTTTTGTTTTTATATTTGATGGGCGGCGTTTGTCCATAATCTCGCCTGGTGGTAAGCGATGATGCGGTCTACGATGGAGCATGTCGTCCAATAAGCAACCTATTCACTCGGGCCTTGAACTTAAAGTTACCACCCACATAATGTCTCCTGCGTAGTGGGCTAGTCTAACTTGCCACCATGATCGAAATCGATAGGGAGATTTATTTAATTCACCTATTAATGTAATTCGTTTTCAGTTCGCTGAGATCCCCCAGGAAGAGTTGGAGAACCAGCCTACGGACTTCACTAAGTTAGACACCTTCGACATCATACATCGGGCGAGGTAATTCCTTATACACCATACATAATTACGTACATTCTTTATATGGAATAGGCCGACAAAACTGTACACGGTTGATTTAAAATTTGATAATAAGCAATCAACGCTACCCATATGATATCCATCCATAGCCCATATTGATCAAAGATATCCTCCAAGTAACACCTCTGTGCCTTTAGCCAAACGCCACTAGCGCTTGTCTACCGAGAGAGTAGAAAACTAAATGTATGAGGATGACACTGACAAGTGTCAAAATTTACGTCAATCCCATATAATTTGGTTTTCTATTCTACATGTAGACAAGCGCTAAATGACATTTGGCTACAGCTGCTGGTGTTGCACCAGAGGTGTTGGAGGATACCTTTCGGGATAGGAGATTAGGATATATAAGATAGTGGATTGGAGATCGGGATTTGATCCAGCAATCACACTTACCTATACGGCGAAATACAACGCGAATGTTATTTTACGTTAAACTATTTGTGAGGCATTGGAATCACTCCGATTGTGTTGGCCCATTTTTACTGTAGCATGGCTCTCCCACACTAGATTAAATAAATCCTGTCCCCCCAGTGAGTCTGATCTGAGCTTGTTTGCGCATTTCTTCTCAGATTAGTCAGTTAGGAAATGTCGACCTCATCGTTCGCTTGATAAAATTGACATGTAAAAGTGCTGCCTTGTAGCCTATTTGCAGAGATAAATTCACATACTTTCCAGGTACCACATGGACCACGGCAACCTGCCGGCGGCGCTGCGCTACGTGAACCTGCTGCAGGGCGCGCCGCGCGCCGCCGCCAAGCCGTGGCTCGACGCCGCGCGCACGCACCTCGAGATACGACAGGCGGCTGAAGCCGTCATGGCGCACGCCTCCGTCTCAGGACTACTATACCTATAAACAATACATAAAGCACGTGAATTTTGTTCCCAAACTCTCGGGTACTACCTAGTAATCAACTAAAACATACTTTTAAATTATCATCGTCAGCTTAAGTGCTCAAAAGATCTCTTCTTATCTTTATCCCTTCTCACACGGACAAGGTTCGAGCATTAATCACAACGCTTGCTCAAAGTGGATCGGTGATTTCAAATTCTCTATAAATTCACAATAAATAATTATTTTATAAACTACGTTTAAAAAAACAACTTATACCCTTTTGATGTCGGTAAAATAATACACTAAAACCTTGTCCTATGTCTAACCATTTTCTGAAAACCACATCAAAATCCAATCAACCAATAGCGATATAATCAAACACAAACATACATACACCGCTCGACACTGGCAGTATAGTCGACAACTTCGTCGACTCGTTTGCCAAAGAGGAAAAAAATAAAGGTTAAACTGAGAAACACATTTTTTTATTTCGGTTAAAAATACAAATTCTTAAATATACCTAAACCTCGTGAAGAGGTTTGAATTGATACTAGATTCTAGTATCTATACTCGGAATTTTAATTCGATTCTAGATTTGACAATTTCAGTGTTGCAACGTTATGACAAGTACTAAATAGTGACGTTGCGAAATTATTCGATACGTAAATGAAATATTCGGATCGATTCTTCTCGTTTATAATTTTACTTTCGTAAACTAAGTATATCAGGAAATTAAATATTTCTGAACCGATAATTTAGTTTTGACGATAAATTAACGATATGAGACTTTTCTTTTATAATTGTGTGTAAAATAAATAAAAAAATGTAATCATGAAGGAACATGACAAATAAAACAGATAGATGTATTATGGTAATAATCTAATTTATAAATTGTCGCCGTCATCGCTATCGCTATCCTGTCACTTTCTGTAACATTTATTATAAAACACACACACTGATTGTTTATCGATTTTGTGTTCATCACTACACTATTATATGTGGTATCATTATTTCACGAAATGACAGTAGCTAATGTCAAATCTGGAATCGAATTAAAATTCTGACTATAGTGTCAATTTCATCAGCATAGTATAGTATGATATAATTTGAAGTAGTAGTTTTGGTTAGGTAAGGTTACTCCCGATAGTTTGTTCATTTAATGACAATTAAAAGAATTCGTGAACAAAATTCACATGCAATCAGTATTGAAAGTTAGCGACCGTAGGCGACTTGAACATCTTAGGCACATGTCTTATCAACATGCTACAAAAGTACTAGAAATTCATACTTATCATAGTGCTTTTAGAGTGCACTATGCAATGTAATTTACTATCAGCATACCATGTAGATTTATAGGTAAAAAAGTCGGTATCATAATGCCTGGCGAAGTTTTCGATCAAGTAAAGTTCAGTTGTTCCCTTATTTTGACTGTTTACAAAACTAATTAACAATACATTATCCATGGACGTATTATTATAATACGTCCATGACATTATCCTAAAGTTTTGCCTTAGTACTTGAGAAAAATACGTTATTTTTGACATTATTGTTTTATTCATCAACCGGTTGTAGATCATTGTACCTGTGTTGATGGTAGTAGGTGAAACGTGTGAACTTATTATTCAGGTGAACAATATTTCGGTTCCGAAATGTAAAGTTTCTTCAAAACAATGTAAATTTTGTATTTTTTTTTCTCTGCACAAATGTGTTTGCATTTATTTGAAAAAATATCAAAATGTTTAGTTTCCGCAAATTATGGTGCCAGCGATGAAACGTGTGGAGGTTTCCCTTAATTTTAGTAATTTATGTAAATATAAAAATATTGTATGTAATAAATTAAAAGATGATTTTTATGTCAGTTCGTTTTTTCTTTGCATTTTTATTTCCGCACCTTTTCCACCTTTTTGTAGAAAATATTATTATTACACAAATAAATATAATTGCCTCGTTGGCCGAGTGGTCGCAAGTGCGACTGCCGGGCAACGGGTCTCGGGTTCGATTCCCGGGTCGGGCAAAGTATTACTGGGTTTTCTCTCTAAAAACACGGAGCCTGGACATGTGCCCGGTATATGGCAATAGGCTCACCCCCTATTACATGGGACTCATAACATAAATAGTGAAAAAGTGGGGGTTACATTGTATAGTGGCATCAAGTGCCGTAATGTGCGCCTCTGCCTACCCCTTCGGGGATTCGGAGTCGCGGAGAACCTAACGGGTAACCGGGGCTCCGGCTCGACGTGCAGGAGAAGGAACGGGGTGGTTTTTAGTCAGTAAGAGTCTGACACTCCCTTCCGCCTCACCCAGGCGGGAGCAGTCATTCGATGATTTTCCCCCCTTAAAAAAAAAAAAAAAAAAACCCTTCGGGGATAAAAGCGTGATGTTATGTTATGTACACAAATAAACACAAGCCTTTGTCCCATAGGGGTAGGCAAGCAGGAACATCACACGATGCCGCTGCATTATTACTATCCACTTTTTGTTTCGTTGATTTCACATCGTATTTTTGCAATGGTATAATGGTCATAAATTACTCTCTGGCCCTATGTATGTTTAGAACTATTGATGATTTTTGATACCTATAGATAGTAACTCGAGGAAGGTTGATTTATATTAATAGTCATGCAACGCCGGAGCAGGTCGCTATATAGAAATCTTTTCAGTAATAATAATTTAACAAAAAATTGGGCAACAGCTCTGGTATATGATTTATGATAGGTGGGTCCAAGGATGGTAGGTCCATGCAAAGCGTTAGGAAATCTTATAATTAGATAATTCGACTCCACCAATTGGCACAGTGGCTTGGCTGCTGTGCTAAGTACGTGCCAATTGCTCGCACGGAACATCTCTTCTCTTTATGTGATCCACAGTGTTTTTTTTTGAGGGGTGAAAAGATTGAAAATCATCCGATGACTTCTCCTGCCTTGGGTAAGGCGAGAGGGAGCGTCAGACTCTTATTGACTAAAAACCATCCCGTTCCTACTCCTGCCCCGGCAATCCGTGACGTTCTCCGCGACTGCATCGGGCATGGGCCCCACTGGGACCTATCTGTGGTTATCTGATGGTGCAATGATTAAAAATGAGGTTTCATACACAAATAAACTGGTAATCAATACGTAGCGCTAAAAACTAAAAAAATATAACAGCATAAACTTCATAGTCAGAATATGAACTGTCCAAAGAAATTGAAATATAGTAACTTCAAAGGATATGAATTAAAAATTTCTTTCGACATCAAACAATACAATACCTGCATAGAAAATAATGTTTAGAGTCACGTCCTGCTTAACAGTTGCAAGGACTCTTTTTGTGAGTACATATATTTTTCATTTTTTTTGTTGTGGTTGCTCTGTTATGGTGAATAAATAAAAATAAGTCGGGTTTTCTTTCCTGACGCCAGGGCCGGATTTAGGGGGGGGCAACCGGGGCGAAAGCCCCGGGGCCTCCACAAGCAGGGGGCCTCCACAATAGACTTCGGAAAAAAAAATCTTTCAAATTTCAACTAGTAAACCTAGTAAACATCTTTTCTTTGATACTTTTTTTTTCGCTTTTACCTTTACCTACAGCCTAAAGTACTTTATACATACATGATTATTTGATTATATTAATTTTAAATATTAACAGAAACAGAAATCATTGATCTATATTTGTTCACTCCAATCAGGCAATCAGTGAAATATCAAAATCTCAAATGGCTCTGATAAGCACTTCCAATTTACTACCCATCTTGAGGGAGTACCCCAATGGCTCAATGGCTCAGTGGGATGGTACTTGCCCGCAACCTCGGAGGTTGGCTATTCGATTCCGTGTCTCGACCATTAAAAAAATTTATTGCAGTATGTGAACAATTGGTATTCTTCAATTCTTAAACTCGAAATCTGTCGAGCGTCCTCGATTGTTTTCGAGCGTCCTCGAAATCTATCGAGAGTTCTCGATCGTTTTCGAGCGTCCTCGATCGTTTTCGAGCGTCCTCCATTGTTTTCGAGCGTTCTCGAAATCTATCGAGAGTCCTCGATCGTTTTCGAGCGCCTCGATTGTTTTCGAGCGTCCTCGAAATCTATCGAGAGTCCTCGAAATCAATCGAGCGTCCTCGATCGTTTTCGAGCGTCCTCGAAATCTATCGAGAGTCCTCGATCGTTTTCGAGCGTCCTCGAAATCTATCGGGTGTCCTCGAAATCTATCGAGCGTCCTCGAAATCAATCGAGCGTCCTCGATCGTTTTCGAGCGGCCTCCATTGTTTTCGAGCGTTCTCGAAATCTATCGAGAGTCCTCGATCGTTTTCGAGCGTCCTCGATTGTTTTCGAGCGTCCTCGAAATCTATCGAGAGTCCTCGATCGTTTTCGAGCGTCCTCGAAATCAAGCGAGCGTCCTCGATCTCAATCTGGAAAATAATTTGGGGCAAGGGGGCCTCCACTCCTTTGTTGCCCCGAGGCCTCTGGACCCCTAAATCCGGCCCTGCCTGACGCTATAACTCCAGAACGCACGAACCGATTACCACGGTAATTAAAAAACCGATTACAAAGGAATCGGGTTCCATAAGGTTTATAAAATTTTAAACCAAAAAAAAGTTTCTTCATCTTTTAATTACCAAACGAAATGTTACATAAAACGAAGCCATCTGGTGGCGAATCGGAGTTCGCCGGGTTTGCTATTGGTGAATAAATTATTATGCCCAAGAACGGATAAGATAAAATGCAAGCCCAAGTCCATTCAGGTAATAATTTAGCGCGTTGTCTTTTGTGTTTAAGAAATAAATATCTGGCGACATGGTAGGCAGAGTAGATTATATTTTTAGTGCCTAAGAGGCGAAACAAAACAGTTTGGATATTAGGTAAATAGGTACTGACTGTCCAGTAATTATGTATGTTCTCGTACACGCTAATTCGCGGGCGCGAAATATCAAATTTTTATGACACGACATGCAGGTGTTTACGTACAACACGCGGTTGCGGTGTAAGTAGCGGGCAACTTACTTAGATGATATCAAACGCTTAAAGATGTAAGGTGAGTTCACGTCGAACTAGATATACCTACTTAAAGCGCCCGATTCAATGAGGCTGACAGGTAAATTTGAACGGTTTGAACTTATCGCCCGCGCAAACGCCAGGCGGTTAATGTGAGCACAAACCAAAGAGTATAGGTAGAGTAGGTGAGTATAAGTATAGGGGATGCACAAACTCGCGAGGTCAATCGCGCCCGCGAGTTCAACGTGAACAAGCACTGTCTGGTAGCGGTCTCCGTTAAATATTAATCTTAAAACTATCAAATGAGGAATAATTCCCACACAAGCAAACGATCTTATGCAGAGTAGGTTTTTGATGCAGTAATGGGCTGTAACATACGAGATCTCTTACTAGAAGCAATTGCAAGACTTGTAGCCAACAAGGTACCTATCTATGTCTAGTCACTAGTCTAGTATCTTTTTTTATGGCATAAGGCGGTAAACGAGCATGCGTATCACACGATGGTAAGCAATCAGCGTCGCCCATGGACATCTGGAACACCAGAGGCGTTACAAATGCATTACCGTACCGGCCTTTTGAAGATTAGGAATTTGAGGAATTTCGGGGTTTCAGGAATTTGGGAGACTGGAGAGGGGATAGTTGGGCATCTGGTAACCTCACTCAAACGACAAAACACAACACAAGCGTTGTTTTACGTAATTTTTCTGTGAGGCCATGGTAACACTCCGGTCGAGTCGGCCCATTCGTGCCTAAGCATGACGCTCCCACACTTAATACAATTTACCACAATATAAACTTATTCTTAGCCTTAAATAAAGTAAAATATTTTGTTCCAGTACCGTCGTTACCCAGTAGACTTTCGAGTAGCTACTATAACCCGCTTCCCTACAAAGTACAAGTATAATAAGAGTTTCAAAGAGAGAGAGACGTGTCCAGTGCCTCCCCCACCACCGCCACCTCCACCTAAAGATGACAGTTTGTTTTGGGGCACTATAGCTTTATTGTTCCTTGCTGGTGGCTTCGTGGTATATGCTAAGTAAGTTACCTGAGGTACAGGTTATTAAAATGTCAGCAGAGGTATATTATCAATGTTAGCTCCTCCTTCGTCTGTTTTGATACGCTTCATATTAAACTATAGGTAAATTCTAGTATGGGTCTGAATATTAAACAAAGTAAAAAGAAATTAAGATTGGAAGGCGTGATAGTATAACATTAACACTAGATTTTTTTATAAGAAAACGTTGCCCGCTCTTGGATTTTCTCCTGTGTCATGAGTACGTTTATAAACATACATAGATAAAACTATCTTGTCACTCCAAGTGACAAGAGAGACATTTTCATGTGCCGCTTGGCTCACGCTCGGCGTCGGCTATTCATCGTAACGTGTTGCCTTAAAGCTTTCCTCGATAAATGGGGACTATCCAACACAAAAATAATAATTCAATTCAAACCAGTAGTTCCGCAGATTACTGCGTTCACACAAACAAATTCTTGAACTTTATAATACATAACATAACATCATGCCTTTTACCCCCGAAGAGGTAGGCAGAGGTGCATATTATGCCACTGTAAAATGTAACAGCCACTTTTCACTATTTATGTTATGAGTCCCATGTAATAGGGGATGAGCCTATTGCCATACACCGGGCACAATTCCAGACTTGGGGCTACTTGTGAGAATTCTTTTAAAAACCCAGTAATACTTTGCCCTATCCGGGAATCGAATCCGAGACCCCTTGCCCGGTCACACTTGCGACCACTCGGCCAACGAGGCAGACGAGGCAAACATTATAATATTAGTATAAAAGTGCCATTAGATTAAACTGTTTTAATACTTCAGAGGTTCACCAGAAGTACGCGATTGGCTGACGATAAACGCGCCATGGTTCGATGACCTTATAGCTATATTGTACCAGGAGAACATGACTTACGGAGAGTTTGCCGTTACATGCGTCGATGGCACCAAGAGGTTCCTTGAACGCCTAGCTGGTACTAACAAACCAAAAAAGTGCTCGCTTGATGGCGGAGAAGTACTCAATTATGGTAAGTATTTCATGTCATTTTGCAAGAATGTCAGTAGAAACCATTTACGAGTTTTTAATTTAAAGGTGCTCCCTTACCTGGAGCGTTCACGTGTAATGTAACATTATAGATTCGACTTTGAGCATTACATTACAATAATACCTCCCCTGAGTAACGAGCATTTGCTTGTAAACTAACATATTATTAATTCAACTTTGAGCATTTCATAGCAAGATGTCAGACGAAGCGGGCGGGCGGGGCATTGATGTTACAAGTTGTATCAAGATATTACACATTGTATCATTACAAGGTGCGCATTGTAATGCTCGGTTCTCCTCCTTCACTGATGTAATGCTTAGATCTGTAACGTTACATTACACGCGAATGCTCCCGGTGAGGGAGCACCTTTATGAACGTTTATAAGAGTGTGAAACAACACTTGCGTTGTTTCACCTGGTGAGTTATGCCACCGAAGGCCCAATCCCTAAATAATTTTTTCTTCAAAAACCGGCAACACGCTTCTAAGGGTAACCAATCGGTCGATCGTTGATCGATGCAATCGATCGATAGTAGAATGGATTAGTCGACGTCGATCGACAGTTTCTACCAGACCAGGCTTTAAAAAGGGTCCATCCAGAATATTCTGCGTTTGCTTCCCCGTAACAACAATACTAAGAACATCGTACTGGCCAACAACAACGCATCCTCTTGTGTGAATATGTTCATTACGGCTAATACCCGAAGTGCGGCTACACCTAGATTTAGCCGGTTAGAACTAGATGTAGCCACTTACTCTTAGTTAAACCTAGTACGAAGATTGTTTTCGGGTAAAACTAGGTCTAGCCTTCATCATGCCGGCTACAACTAGGTCTAGCCATTCCCTGTTGGATAAAACTAGGTCTATCCGATATCATTCCGGCTAGAACTCGGCTCCAGCCAGCCAATTAAGGCAAGCCAGAGAGTAAGGAACGGTGACTTCTCCCTGGAGCACTCGGGATGGTGGTAGCCCGCGGGGTCGCTAATGCCCGTCACCCCGCCTCAAGGTGCCCTGCGGGCTTATTATTATTTCCATATATTTATTTAAAATTCTCTATAAATTACATTTTTAAATACTACTTACAAAATAAAAATAAAAAATATTTAAAAACAAAAAATAGGAGCCGACCAGTAGCGGGAGCATGGTCCGAGCTACCGGTGGTTAGAGCTCCAGAGACCGAAACCTTCTCACGATACGTGCCGTTTCTAGGAGAACTGCCTTCTGTATCAGGCCCTTGATCCATCCGCCTAACGCCAGCCTCCTGAGATAGATGTCGAGGATTGTAGGGATTAACCCATTAGCCGATATAACTATCGGCACAATGATAGCCGAGTCCACACTCCACATGTCGACAACCTCATGAGACATGTCGACAACCTCATGAGCTAAGTCTAGATATTTTATTTATATTTCTCAGCTTTCATGACGTTCTCGTCATGGGGAATGGTGACATCGATTATCATCGGGCAGCGTACTTGTCGGTCTATCACTACTATGTCAGGTTTATGGGCTACAATAGTCCTGTCAGTAATGATAGACCGGTCCCAGTACAATGTGATATGGTCATTTTCCAGAACTGGGTCGGGCACATACTTGTAGTACGGTACCTCAGATTCAACAAGTCGATAGTGTAAAGCAAGTTGCTGATGGATAAATAAGTTAATGATGGATTGTGTGAATAATATCAGCTATGCAGACGATATGGTGCTGCTGAGCCCATCGATTGGTGCCTTACGCGGGCTCCTGAAAATTTGCGAGTCCTACGCGGTGGCTCATGGGCTCAAATACAACGCGAAGAAAAGTGAAATAATGATTTTCAGACCAGATAACAAGCGATACAATTTTGTTCCAAATTTCACTTTATGTGGCATAGCTCTGAACAAAGTCGAGCAATTTAAGTATTTGGGCCACTGGGTCACTGAGGACCTTAAGGATAGTGTGGATATTGAAAGGGAGCGTAGGGCGCTGTGTGTCCGGTGCAACATGTTGGCTCGTAGGTTTGCACGGTGCACGGGGATTGTCAAAGTTGCGCTTTTTAAGGCGTATTGTCAGTCTTTTTGCGCCTGCAGCCTGTGGGTTGACTTCACGCGGCGGACATACAGCGATCTGCGCGTTCAATATAATAACGCGTTCCGGGTGCTGATGGGGCTGCCGCGACACTGCAGCGCTTCTGCGATGTTCGCGGCTGCTAACACAGACGGCTTTCCAGCCATCATGCGCAAACGGTGCGCTTCAATCATGCGCCGCACGCGCGACAGTCCCAACGGCATCTTGTGCGCGCTGGTGGATCGGTGGGACTCTCCGATGCTGGTTCGCTGGATAAGGCTGCATGCAGTTGTATAGTGTGTTGCCGCCATCATCGGGGAGTCCACCCGGACCCGCCACTACAAGTTAGTGCTCAATTTGATATTATTAACAGTTATTATTACTAACACTAGTTTGTAAGCTCGCAATTGTACTAACACATATGGATGTAAATCTGAAATAAATGATTATTATTATTATGTGTGTCTTTACCATTCACGGGACCACAGGGTCCCGGTCATTTGGGAGGCATGCGAGGGGCCGAAGCCAACTGCGCAGAGGCCCTTTAGACAACTTTAATATAAATGTAATGGAGACACAAACCGGCGACTATCCCTGTATGCACTATGGAAATGCACCCAAGGACAGTCTCCGGTTAGTGTAAAACTATTGAGGATAATGGAAAAAAAAAAGGTAGGGCTATGGATGGGTTGCTGTGGACTGGTAAATTAGGAACTATGGATGACTATGGCACCTGCCGAAACAATGTAATTTTTACACGTAAAAATGGCAGGCGGAGACTCGCCAACTCACCGACCGGGCCCCGGGAATGGTTGCTAGATATAGCAACAGAGGGGCAACGAGAATGTGAGTGGCTGAAGGGTTAAGAAACTACCACCGCTTTCTACTCAGATCATCTGCTCCAGCCGAAGCCTCCTGCATCCCTGGCCCACTCGCGACTTACGAATAGTTTCTTACCCTCCGAGCAGGATCACTGCTCTCGCGACTCCACTCTGGACGGCCAATGAAGGCAAGCCAGAGGTGGGAGACCTGGAGGTCTACTCCGATTCGACGAAAAACGAAGTTTCGGACGAAACTTCAAAGATTACCTACCACAATGACATATAAACGAACGAAAAATGAATGAAACAAGCCAGAAATTAGTATGAGATGTACTGTTTGACGTCGATATTTTCGGAACCCTACTCTGGTTGTACAATCCGCACGAACGAAAATTCGAGTTTGACAGATTATTCTTCGGACGTTTAATGTCATTTCGACGAAACCAAAATAGTTATCGTTTGATTTTCGTTTGGGTTAAATTTTATTAAAAAATCAATGAAAGTAATTGCAAGTCTTCGTTTTATCACGGTTTCTTCGTGTGGGCAACACGTAGGGCACCAAAGAAACCATTTAAATGACGATATAAAATCAATGTACAGTCAGCTCAAATAGTTTGTTAACACGAACCTATATAATTTTACATGTCTATGAGAGTTAGTAACATTTAGGGTAATTAAATACTTATTTGAATACCTTATGAATTGTACATAAATGTTTCATGTGTAATGTTTTATTATAAAACGAATAATACCGCTAGAAAAATAAACTTAAGTATTGCTAGTACATATTTTCGCTATTCTTTCACATAGATAAGATAAATTCTTTCAAAAATATATTGTTAACCATCATAACATGAAATAATTTAGTGTCTTCAAATTCCCATGTAGACATTAAAAATTTTTAACTGACTGTACTAATTTAATACGAATAAATTTGGTTGTCATTATTTTTATAAATAAATGTCAATAAATGACAAAGCCAACATTCTTAAACTTTTTAACTTGGTCGTATAATAAATCTTTAAAAGGAGGTTTTTATCCTGTGTAGGATTTTCCATCTTAAACATTAATATTAAAAGCTTATTCATGATTTTCTTAATGATTATGTGTGCTAAACTATGGCATTATCATTTTAGTTATATAATTACTTAAAATAAAATTTTATTTTTAATTTCGAATCTAAACCTTTTTATTGCCTATTTATTTATCTTCACTTCATTCGTTCATTGTAGAATTCATTCGTTCACGAAAGTTGTCTATGGTTCCGAAAACGTTGTTTGCGGCCGCAAATCAAACGAAACTACGCATTCGAGAACCGGAGTAGACCTCCTGTTCCTTGTCATCGTTCACTCCAGCCAGCCAATTAAGGCAAGCCGGAGAAGAAGGAACGGTGACCTCTCCCTGGAGCACTCGGGATGATGGTAGCCCGCGGGATCGCTAATGCCCGTCACCTCGCCTCAAGGTGCCCTGCGGGCTTATTATTATTATTATTATAATCTTGGCTACTTGATTATGCCTATGCAAATATTCACTGTTAGCCAAACGACCACAACCAGAAATAAATGTCTAATGGATTCACCAGGACTATGACATGCCCGACATAATTATGTCAACCGTCCCATCCTTAATTATACAATTCCGGTATACAATTCGTAAGGATAACTTCGTCCATTATTGCACAGACAAATCCTTCAGTTTCCCCAAAGAGATTACCGAATCGTAGCCAAGACACGGACGCTAGAAAATCTACACTGGGCACCTGGAAGGGCCCGGAAGAAGCGTCCGTGGAGCTCCTAGCTATGCCATACCTCCTTGCGATCATTGACGCTTAGTACAACAGGTTTGCACCAGTTCTCGAAATCTATCGAGCGTCCTCGAAAACTATCGAGAGTCCTCGATTACTTTCGAGCGTCCTCGAAAACTATCGAGAGTCCTCGATTACTTTCGAGCGTCCTCAAAAACTATCGAGAGTCCTCGATTACTTTCGAGCGTCCTCGAAAACTATCGAGAGTCCTCGAAATCAATCGAGAGTCCTCGAAATCTATAGAGCGTCCTCGAAAACTATCGAGCGTTCTCGAAAACAGTCGAGCGTCCTCGAAAACAGTCGAGCGTCCTCGAAAACAGTCGAGCGTCCTCGAAAACAGTCGAGCGTCCTCGAAATCTATCGAGCGTCCTCGAAAACAGTCGAGCGTCCTCGAAATCTATCGAGCGTCCTCGAAATCAATCGAGCGTCCTCGAAATCTATCGAGCGTCCCCGAAAACAGTTAAGCGTCCTCGAAATCTACCGAGCGTCCTCGAAAACTATCGAGCGTCCTCGAAATCTATCGAGCGTCCCCGAAAACAGTTAAGCGTCCTCGAAATCTACCGAGCGTCCTCGAAAACAGTTGAGCGTCCTCGAAAACAGTCGAGCGTTCTCGAAATCTATCGAGCGTCCTCGAAAACAGTTGAGCGTCCTCGAAAACTATCGAGCGTCCTCGAAATCAATCGAGCGTCCTCGAAAACTATCGAGCGTCCTCGAAATCAATCGAGCGTCCTCGAAAATTATCGAGCGTCCTCGAAAACAGTCGAGCATCCTCGAAATCTATCGAGCGTCCTCGAAAACAGTCGAGCGTCCTCGAAAACTATCGAGCGTTCTCGAAAACTGTCGAGCGTCCTCGAAAACAGTCGAGCGTCCTCGAAATCTATCGAGTGTCGTCGAAAACAGTCGAGCGCCCTCGAAAACTATCGAGCATCCTCGAAAACTATCGAGCGTTCTCGAAAACAGTCGAGCGTCCTCGAAATCTATCGAGCGTCCTCGAAAACAGTCGAGCGTCCTCGAAAACTATCGAGCGTCCTCGAAATCAATCGAGCGTCCTCGAAATCTATCGAGCGTCCTCGAAAACAGTTGAGCGTCCTCGAAATCTATCGAGCGTCCTCGAAATCTATCGAGCGTCCCCGAAAACAGTTAAGCGTCCTCGAAATCTACCGAGCGTCCTCGAAAACTATCGAGCGTCCTCGAAATCAATCGAGCGTCCTCGAAATCAATCGAGCGTCCTCGAAAACAGTTGAGCGTCCTCGAAATCTATCGAGCGTCCTCGAAAACTATCGAGCGTCCTCGAAAACTATCGAGCGTCCTCGAAATCAATCGAGCGTCCTCGAAAACAGTTGAGCGTCCTCGAAAACAGTCGAGCGTTCTCGAAATCTATCGAGCGTCCTCGAAAACAGTTGAGCGTCCTCGAAAACTATCGAGCGTCCTCGAAATCAATCGAGCGTCCTCGAAAACTATCGAGCGTCCTCGAAATCAATCGAGCGTCCTCGAAAATTATCGAGCGTCCTCGAAAACAGTCGAGCGTCCTCGAAATCTATCGAGCGTCCTCGAAAACAGTCGAGCGTCCTCGAAAACTATCGAGCGTTCTCGAAAACTGTCGAGCGTCCTCGAAAACAGTCGAGCGTCCTCGAAATCTATCAAGTGTCGTCGAAAACAGTCGAGCGTCCTCGAAAACTATCGAGCGTCCTCGAAAACTATCGAGCGTTCTCGAAAACAGTCGAGCGTCCTCGAAATCTATCGAGCGTCCTCGAAAACAGTCGAGCGTCCTCGAAAACTATCGAGCGTCCTCGAAATCAATCGAGCGTCCTCGAAATCTATCGAGCGTCCTCGAAAACAGTTGAGCGTCCTCGAAATCTATCGAGCGTCCTCGAAATCTATTGAGCGTCCTCGAAAACTATCGAGCGTCCTCGAAATCAATCGAGCGTCCTCGAAAACAGTCGAGCGTCCTCGAAAACAGTCGAGCGTCCTCGTAATCTATCGAGCGTCCTCGAAAACAGTTGAGCGTCCTCGAAAACTATCGAGGGTCCTCGAAAACAGTCGAGCGTCCTCGAAAACTATCGAGCGTCCTCGAAAACTATCGAGCGTTCTCGAAAACAGTCGAGCGTCCTCGAAATCTATCGAGCGTCCTCGAAATCAATCGAGCATCCTCGAAAACAGTCGAGCGTCCTCGAAAACAGTCGAGCGTCCTGGAAAACAGTCGAGCGTCCTCGAAAACAGTCGAGCGTCCTCGAAAACTATCGAGCGTCCTCGAAATCAATCGAGCGTCCTCTAAAACAGTCGAGCGTCCTCGAAAACTATCGAGCATTCTCGAAAACAGTCGAGCGTCCTCGAAATCTATCGAGCGTCCTCGAAATCAATCGAGCGTCCTCGAAAACTATCGAGCGTCCTCGAAATCAATCGAGCGTCCTCGAAAACTATCGAGCGTCCTCGAAAACAGTCGAGCGTCCTCGAAATCTATCGAGCGTCCTCGAAATCAATCGAGCGTCCTCGAAAACTATCGAGCGTCCTCGAAATCTATCGAGCGTCCTCGAAATCAATCGAGCGTCCTCGAAAACAGTCGAGCGTCCTCGAAAACTATCGAGCATTCTCGAAAACAGTCGAGTGTCCCCGAAATCTATCGAGCGTCCTCGAAATCAATCGAGCGTCCTCGAAAACTATCGAGCGTCCTCGAAATCAATCGAGCGACCTCGAAAACTATCGAGCGTCCTCGAAAACAGTCGAGCGTCCTCGAAAACAGTCGAGCGTCCTCGAAATCAATCGAGCGTCGTCGAAAACAGTCGAGCGTCCTCGAAAACTATCGAGCGTTCTCGAAAACAGTCGAGCGTCCTCGAAATCTATCGAGCGTCCTCGAAAACAGTCGAGCGTCCTCGAAAACTATCGAGCGTTCTCGAAAACAGTCGAGCGTCCTCGAAATCTATCGAGCGTCCTCGAAAACTATCGAGCGTCCTCGAAAACTATCGAGCGTTCTCGAAAACAGTCGAGCGTCCTCGAAATCTATCGAGCGTCCTCGAAAACAGTCGAGCGTCCTCGAAAACAGTCGAGCGTCCTCGAAAACAGTCGAGCGTCCTCGAAAACTATGATTCAGGGTGATCCAAAGATACAAAATATATCAAAGAATTTCTTTGATACTTCTTCCGTAGTCTTACTTTGTAACGGATGAAGTTGTACGAATTTCGTGAGGCGGTCCTGATAAACTAGTATAAACTTGTAGCCACCATCTGGGTTTGTCTGCATGTCTATGAAATCTACTTGGCAACGGGTGTTTAGCTCGCTGGATAAAATAGGCTTTACAACAAGGCCTTTTTTGGTACATTTTTGTTTCATTTGACATAGCTTACATAAACGAAGAAACAAAAGAATCGCCTCCTGAGTATATATAATATATATTTGCATACTTCTTTTTAGCTTCTGTAAACATTCTGTTTCTTCCGCCGTGCCCAACACACAGATGTATTTCATGAAGAACATCAAACAAGTCTTCATTCTTGACAAAATATTTGATATTTTCGGAATTTTCGGTGCTCGACACAAAAAAAATAACTTTTCGATGTCTCCAATACAACAAACATCGAAGCGCTTCAAACGGCGATATTGTAACGTAGAACGTTTCGTGGATATATTGGCAGCTTTAACGTCTTCTATATTATAACTTGAATACTGCACATCATTTATATAGCTTTGATTTTCACCATGTTTTGTGACTAATAAACACCGAAACTGTTCCAAAAAACTTGACTTCATAGTCTGTAGGTGTTCATTCATAGCCATTCTGAATTCAAACGTATGAGTGCGCAAAAACAAAAAAGTACGTCTGTTTTGTACAACGGCACAACGCGTACTAAACTCGAAGCGCAAGGCATTAGCGGGTGTACGGGAGGCGGGGCGGCAGGGAGGCGGGGCGGCAGGGGTGCGCGAGCGCGACGCGTCTCGTGTGAGCCAGGCGCCTGTTACTTGTTTCAACTTGTTTGCTTCTAGTTTTATCCAACAGAGAATGGCTGGACCTAGTTGTAGCCGGCATGATGAAGGCTAGACCTAGTTTTACCCGAAAACAATAGGCTCATACTAGGTTTATCCAAGAGTAAATGGCTACACCTAGTTCTAAACGGCTAAAACTAGGTGTAGCCGAGTAGTAGGAGTAGTAGTAGTAGTAGTACCCGAGTACTAGCCGTAACAAATACTTCTAAAGAAACTGATGGAATGTAGCCGGGGTTAATGGATCAACATCGACCAGCCGTCGATCGATTGGTTAGTCGACTGGTATCCGTCGATCAACATCGGCTGATGTCGGTTGGTGGCATCAATCGACGATTGTTCGATTGGTGTGAGTGTGAACCCTAACTATATGGGCAGTGCCGATTGCTTACCATTATGTGTAGTGTGTGTGTTATGTGTAGTCTGCTTATTTGTCTCCTTAACACATAAAAAACTAAAAAAATGGGTGTAAAGTTTCCTTATCCTTATCTAAACAATTTAAAAATCTATTTGTACTCATGAGAATTTAAACACGTCTAAAAAGTCCGCTACTGGACATAATTAAGATGCGAATAAAATGCATCTTAGATAGATATGTTCGGGTGGCATTTACTTACCTTGTTTATTTTTATTTACAGATGTGCCTGAAGAATGTAAGGAATGTGTTAAAGATCCTGATGGTAAATTACAAGTAGCTATTTATATAAAAGTATACTATCTTATTGATTTGCTATCTGACTATCAAAACACATTTAATAATAACAAACCACACCAGGCCTGTGGACAATCTTTAGGGTTGCCAGGGCTCGACGCAAGAGTAGGAACAACGGGGTGATTTTAAGTCAGTAAGAGTCTAACACTTCCTCTCGCCTCACTCGGCCGAGAGAAGCTACATGCCATGTTATGATACTAAAAATTCTACATGTTCTATGTCATCTGATATTGTAATTGCAAAAGTACGCTTATTTCTTACCCCTTTTCAACGCTTTATCTTCTGAACTAGACTTTGGTACATGTATATGTAGGTACACAGGGCCACACATCAATCTATACAAAACCAGTTTACCCTAGTGTCGCGTTACATCATCTTTCCGCACATTTAACGTTCTGTTTATACTGGTTATGTAAAGCTCGATGTGTAGCCTTGTGTAATTCATTTGAGCCACTTAGTAAAGCCACGTTTAATCTCTTAACTGTATAATTAAGACACAATAGAAAAACAATAGAAAATACATTGAGTCTCGCGTGGATCTACGTTGCGGTACATAATAGGTTAATCACTAGTCCAGCTATAATTTTAGGCATGTTTATCAATGAGCAAAGAGTATCATTTACATCTATAGAGCAATATAGATTTGCAAAAATTAACTTTATTAACCTCTGCAATTTCAAGGTAAAAGAATTGGAATATTTTTACCACTACGGATCATTTTCCAGATACTGAAGTCTGTGTACCTGAACCTCCCCCAGTTATCACGAGGAATATTTGTGAAATCGAACGATGTATGGTCGATCTAGGAGAGGCTGTTATCAACAACTATAACACTGCAAAGGAAGCTTGCGCTTGTTACAATTCGGTTAGAGTCCTTTTCCCATTAAACGGTTATATAATGCCTGCTGTCTACTACTGTCATAGATTTATTGTCATATTTTGGCTGAGAGTTGCAAAACCAAAAATACTTTGTTTGCACAAAAATCTGACAAACTTTTTTGATGCACTACTCACTAGTCTCATTTTCTTAAATTATGTTAAACATTAAATTTAAAGACAATAATTATTTAGGTAGATTATTATAGACTCCAGTTTGACTCGAAACTAGTCGAGCATTAATGCAGTTGCTACACATAAACTTTTAATGATCTAACTGCCACCCTAGATTCGCTCTGAGATTGCTAAGCTCATGGATTTTAGCCAAACCTCTTGTTAAAGGAAGCTCGTCTATTGTTGGCCAAAAGAAGAGTTCGTTTGTCATTACAAGGAGTATTTTATTCAAAAACTAGCGGACCCAACAGACGTTATCCTGCATATCCACTTGAATGTATAAACAAAAATTCATTCAAATTAGTTCAGCTGTTTAGGATTAATAACCTAAACATCGACTGCAGCGCCATCTGCCGGGCTGATTTGTGAATCTAAACCATTCCCAGATCCCTTGAACACACACAAATAATTTCATCAAAATCGGTCCAGTCGTTTGAGAGAAGTTCAGTGACATACACACTCATAGAAGAATTATATATAAAGATGAATGTGCTCCAAGTTTCAATAATCATTTAAAGTTCTTATTATATTTTGCAGCTAATAGAAAACACAATGACAACATTTACTTTCAAAGGTATGAAAGACTTACGGCCGGCTATGGAAGAACGAATAGAACTCGTCAACAACTCACTTCATAACGCTTCATGTGCTATAGCTAGACTTGGTTCGTATTGTTTTTTTTTTTAATTGAAGAAGCCGGTAAACGAACATATGCATCACCTGATGGTAAGCAATCGGCGTCGCCCATGCACCTGGAACACCAGAGGCGTTATAAGTGGCCGGTTCCAGCCGGTTTAGGGATTACGAATTTGCGGATTGTCGGTGATCGGTGATTCAGGGATTGGAGAGATTGAAGAAAGGGGGGGGGGTAAGTGGGGGTAATCGGTTTTCTGAGGCCGTGGTATCATATCTCCGGTCGAGCCGGCGCATTCATGTCGAAGCATGGCTCTCCCACATTTAACACAACACATGACTAGACAAAACCAGTACAAACTGACTGTTGAATGTATGGACAGACCGTACAAAGCGAGACCACAATAACCTGGTTTTGTATGGTTCCATGTGTGTGTGTATAGGCTCTAACATAGTTAACCATAGATCAGACACTACTGACATACGATAATGGAAAACATTGCGAGGAAACCAGTCCGGCTATTCTGTACCTATAAATTCCGCGATCAAGTTCGTTTCCATTTTGTTTATATTTGATGGGCCAACGTTTGACCACTATCTCGCCTGGTGGTAAGCGATGATGCGATCTACGATGGAGCACGTCGACCCATAAGCAATCTATTCACTCGGGCCTTGAAGAACATTGAAATTCATTCGATGTTACGAATTAAAAGTTATAGTTTAATAGCCTACCTGGACTTATAATTTCAAATCGCTAGTCTGACTTAAGCAAGTGAGGTGATTATTGCTAATTCCTTTGTATTCTTCCATGTAAGAAGTTTTGTCAGCAGTGGGTTAGTTGACTGATGATCATGATGATCATGATGATGAACTGTATGAAGAGTAACGATGTAGTTTCTTACTCGTTCTTCTCCATTCGAATCTACACTTTGGAACGAGCTGCCCATGAAGACTGACAGACTATTCTAAATTTATTACCGTATCAAAATACCTGTGTATGGTTTAGATGAAATAAATGTTTACTTCGATAGATGAAATGGTCAAGTACCTGGATTGCGGTGTTCTGGCATCGAAGGACCAGATAAAGAATTCCAAACTCCTGGCTCGAGATTACCACGAAAAATTCAAGGCCGCCTTCATGGCATACCAGTGGGAGAATGACAGGTCCATTGCTTTGGATGCTCAGTGGCAGTTGGTATGATACACAGTTTTTATATTCCTTTTATTTAATTTTACACAAGTAAGAGAGAGACATCTCAACCAGTCAGATATCAATTATGTGGTACGAAATAGGAATATGTTTTGTTAACCATAACATTATTACAACCCTACTCACGGCTCTTTCGCAGCTAAAGTAGCTGAAAAATGATTAAAACTGTGATTCTGCACTTATGACTTTACGTGGTTTTGCTACGGCATCCTACGTAAGCTACTAGTCTATACCGACGTCGTCGTAGCCCGTACTACGTCTGGCTACGTCATGCAACGATTGGCTACGTCTGGTTACGTCATTGAAGGATTAGCTACGTTTAGCTACGCATGGCTACGTCTGGTTACGTCATTGAAGGATTAGCTACGTTTAGCTACGCATGGCTACGTCATGCTACGCCTGGCTACGTCATGCTACGCCTGACTACGTCAAGCTACGTCTAGCTACGTTTAGCTACAGTTGGCTACGTCTAGCTACGGTTGGCTACGTCTAGCTACAGTTGGCTACGTCTAGCTACGGTTGGCTACGTCTAGCTACGGTTGGCTACGTCTAGCTACGGTTGGCTACGTCTAGCTATAGTTGGCTACGACTAGCTACAGTTGGTTACGACTAACTACTGTTGGCTACGACTAGCTACGATTGGCTACACCTAACTACGTTATACTACGATTGGCTACATCTAGCTACGCATGGCTACGTCAAGTTAACTATGTACATTAGTGACACAATTTTTTTAGGCCAGTGTTCCTGTGTATTCTATAGTTATTAGTTACAATATTTGCTTCTGATTTCTATTTTCTAATTCTGAAACTGTTAATTTTCAGGTAGAACAATCAGTGGAAAAATACACATGGGAGAATGAGGCGATATTTCCCGAACTCAAGTATATTCAGGCAAAACCGACTATATCAGGAGATATGGACATATTGCTTTATAATACCTATCGATATGTAAGTGTGAATTTATTAAGACATTTTTTTTAATAATGGTTGCTACCAGACCACATAGTCTGGTATTGAATTTACCGGAAGAGTCGCTGGCTGTGGATGACCTTGCCAGTTAACGGGGTTCCGTTTCGAAGCAGGAGTAAGAATTAGGTGGTTTTTAGCCACTAAGAGACACTCCCTCGCGTTCACCAAGAGCGGGAGAAGTCATACAGTCATACACAACTGGTTTTTAATCATCCTCATTTTCCAGATTCAGCAACTGACAGAACAGGTGAAGGATACCACCGAAGGTATGACTGAGAGGATAAATCGCGCTATGGAAAGTAAGTATCTATTATTAATTCAACATACATACAAACGGGTTTACCATAATTCTTTGCCAGTCTGTATTCTGTATTTCCCGAAGAGTGTCTTCAAGGCCCGAGTGAATAGGTTGCTTATGCGTTGACGTGCTCCATCGTAGACTGCATCATCGCTTACCACCAGTCGATATAGTGGTCAAACGTCGGCGTATCAAATATAAAAAAATATATAATCTCCAATTGAAGATCATTAATAAAGTTCAGATTTATCAGAAAATGCTGCTACCATTTATAGATCTTTAGTCGAGTCTTCAGCCATCGACACTAGCGCAAAAAGTAGTGAATAATTTAATATTGTCTGTTTTATTATAGTTATGTTATAAATAACCAATATGTCGTGGTGGCCCGGAGGTTTAAGACGCCCGCTTCTCATGCATGACGATGCGGGTTCGAAACCTACCAACGGCAAGTACCAATGTGACTTTTTCCGAGTTATATGTACTTTCTTAGATTATCTAGACACCACTGACAAAACGGCGAAGGAAACATTGTGAGGAAACCTGGGCTTATTATTTCTAATGATAATTTTGACATCGCCAACCCGCATTGAGCAAGCGTAGTGATTAATGCTCAAACCTTCTCCGTGTCAGAAGAGGCTTTGCTCAAAAATGGGCATTTATAGGCTGTTGATAATGATAAATAACCAATATTACAGCATTGTCACAAGAACCTGAGAAAGTGAAAGCAAGAGAAGCAAATGTACAAACTGTGGTAAAGAGTATGAAGGCTGATGTTGACAAGGATTTCAAAAGCAGGGTATGTCCCCATTACTTATTTTTTTTATTTAACATTTTATTTCTTTGTACTACCATTGTATTACCGAGACAGAACCATTTTACTTCGGGACGAAAACGAATTTATTTTCACGATATTACTTTTTTTATTATTTTTTTTTGTTTGTTTGTTTAAACGCGTTAATATCCGGAACTACTGGTCCGATTTGAATAATTCTTTTTGCGTTAAAAAATGTATCTACTGAGGCGGGCTATAGACTATAAAACATCACGCTACAATGAATAGGAGCCGAGCAGAACGGGTGGAACTTCGCGGGTATAGCTAGTTATTTCATAATATAGATACGTTAGTTACTTTGAAACCCCTCAAAGGGGTAGAATGAGGTCCACAGACTAAACGCAGGTCTTTATTGTTTCATATTTGCGGCAGACAGGTTAAATGTAGCACCCACTTTACAACAGTTGTGTTACGAGTCCCATGTAAGAGATATGTAAGGAACATAAGAACACTAGAAGCTTCCATGTGAGGATGGGTCGCGTTCTTACGAAGACTTTCTGACTGGATTTAGGTGTTGCATTGTTCTCACATAATCGAACCAATAAAACTATGTAACTAGAGAATTGTATTGTAAACCTGATTGAAAAAGAGTAACCTATGGAGTTTCTTACTCGTTCTTCTCCATAGGAATCTACGCCTTGGAATGAGCAACTAGCTTCACTTATAAATTTTTGTTGTTTGATGTTCAAAAGTGCCATCCTGGTCTAATTGAAATAAATGATTTTGACGTTGACTTTGACTTTGACTGAAATTTAAAAATCTCAATTTTACTTTGCCCTATTCAAAACAGTTTTAACCCATTGTATCTAAACGTGGATCCACGCGATAGACAATGTAGTTTCTATAATCTATTGTGTCTTATATAAGGGCATTTAAGTGGTTAAGTTAGTTGGCATGATCTAAAGAAATACGTGTTTTGCAGGAAGATCAACAAAAAGCGGAGAATGACAAGTATCTAAAGGATAGCTTGACAAAACAGACGCAACGACACGATGAAAGCCTGGCTAAAAGACTAGCGCAGTTGGAGGCTGATGTTAGTATAATCATTTTTTTTTTAATCTTTATTTACTTATATATAAATAAATGTATTATTGGGGTTTTTATCCCTTAAGGATATGCCAACCCCATCGTACCTTATTCTAAAGTGAGCACATGACTTCAATTACAGTTTTTAGTAGTATAATCATTTAAACTTCACAATACAGCAATTAAATCATGGCACATATATGGCGTGCTGTACCAGTCAATCTAAATTTGAGAAAATAAGGTACAGAAACTAGGTTCTTGAGTCGGACAACAAAAGAATGAGATTAATACTGCTACTACATTTTAACAACAGTATGATTCTCTCCGGTGTCATGCGAGTACAAACTAATAATTTCACATGCTCATCACACCCAGAGACGGAACAATAAATTCATGACAATGCCACAGAAAACCGGGTGACGAAGAACGTAAGTTGTTTTGTCATGTGAGTGTGGTTACAGGAGGTCTAATCTCAAAGCCCACTGGTAACTTCACCCTAGTCGTTCGCAAAAGACCGGCATCGCACTTGAAATTCATCTGGAATTGCGGGCGGCCAGAGGCGTCGTGGTTTATCACTAATTTACTATCTTCTTAAAGAAACCTTTATAAGTTTTAAAATCTTACTCATATTATGTAAGTTTGTTAGTTTTTGTGTTGGTTGAAGGTTGTTACTCAATCGCGTCAAAATGGCTAAAAGGATCTAGGAGAAATTTGGAACAGGGGTAGATTTTTCTTGGGATAAGCCGTCAAATGAGCAGATGAATCACCTGATGGTAAGCGATCGGCGTATCCCATGGACACCTGGAACACCAGAGGCGTTACATATTATGCGTTACTGGCCTTTTGGGGATTAGGAATTTGAGGATTGTTGGGGATTTGCGGAAGATTTGGGAAGAGGGGGTCTTTGTCTGGAATATCACATCTCTAAGCTACTGTTTTTCCCACGGGATAGCGGGCGAAGCCGCTAGCAGAAGCTAGTTATTCATTATACATAAAAACATATAAAATAGCAATCAGGCCGTCAGCTTCATATCCATAATAGTTTACATTACGTAAATGCAGATTAATTCGAAATTCCAAGGCATGGTGGCGGATAAAGTGGCTGCTGAGAAGAAAATATTTAAAGCTGAACTCGATGCTATGGCTCAACAACTGAAACTCGTTGAAGACAAACTGGAAGGTATAATTATATCTTTATTATCTTAAGAATGTTATTAATGTGAAATTGAAACTGGTCAACTTCTTCTAGACCATTATCTTTTCTTTAAAAAAAAGCATTGCACCACACTTGGATTTTCTCCTGTATCGTGGGTACGGTTACAAACATACAGGAGAAAATCTTAGTGTGGGGCAACGTTTAAAAAAAAAACATGACACCCAGACCCGGAACAACAATCTGTCGATCACACAAAGAGTTGTTCCGTGCGGGACTAGGAATCGAGGATTTTTTTATTTTTCTGGTTTTTTTTTTAATTTGAATGAAATTTGCTTTATTTCTGGAAGGCTTTCATTGCTTTCTGTGTTATTTTCCTCTATCTTGTCCTGTTTTCGGCCTCTCTTAGGATTTTTGTTACAGAGAGTCCAGTATGAGTGGTAACTTGATCACGCCATCGGCTGGGTGATCGGCCACGTAGTTTTCTTTCATTCGCCTTACCCACAACAACTAATTAATCGCGGTTATCTGGTTCACAGCAGGCAACGAGACCAAAATAGCCAAAGATTCATTGATAACATACGGTCGACAGTATAGTTTTTATACCCTGTTTAACAAAAGTTCTTATTTCAGCTCGGTTAAAAGCAGAGCGGGAGGCTCGCCGTTCACAAGAGCTCTGGTCAGCCGGAGCCTCGTTACTGGCCGCGACCAAAAAAGGAGAACCTTACGTCAGGGTTGATAAAGAACTTAAAGCCATTGAGAAAGCATCAGGTTTGATTCCTCAACTGTAATGTACATTTTCAATGTTTGATAGTTTTCCCATATAAAAAACGCATGGCTTACCACTAGGCAAGATAGGGGTCAAACGTCGGCCCATCAAATATAAAAAAATGCTAATTATATTTTACGAATAAATTTATACTGCTTCCTTGGCCGACTGGTCGCAAGTGCGACTGTAGGGCAAGGGGTCTCGTGTTCGATTCCCGGGTCAGGCAAAGCAATACTAGGTTTTTAAAAAATCTCAGTAGTAGCACGGTATATGGCAATAGGCTCACTCCCTATTACATGGGACTGATAACATAAATAGTGAAAAGTGGGTGTTACTTCTGTGTGCACTGCCTACCCCTTCGGGAATAAAAGGCGTGATGTTATGTTATGTTATGAATAAAATTATTTGTTGACTGATCCTAAATCAGCTTTGTGTATGACAAAAGGTCCTCGCCTTATTCCATAGCCTGATGAAAAATGAATATTATTTAGATGGATGCGCACTTCTGCTTCTCATTTTTCGGTTAACATATAGTCTAGTTATAGTAATATAGACATATCTATTTATACCGACTGCACAGTTGGTGTGGTAGCTGGGCAACCGGCCGTGAAACGTGTCGCGGGTTCGATTCCCGCACGGAACAACACTTTGTGTGATCCATAAATTGTTGTTTCGGGTCTGGGTGTCATTGTGTATGTGAACTTGTATGTTTGTAAACGCACCCACGACACAGGAGACAATCCTAATGTAGGGCAACGTTTAAAAAAAGGTTGTCATTAAATTTTTTATGTACAAGGTGATGGTGACAAGTTAGTGACGACGGTGTTGAAGTCTATCCCTAAGTCTGTCCGGGAAGTCGGTATCGTCCCAGAAAGCGTACTAAGAGAAGGCTTCAATGTCGTAAGTTTATTACAATAATAGTTTCCTAGTTGACGGCGTTGTTGGCCGAGTGGCCGTAAGTTCAAACAGTACACACAAAAAAAACATAAATATTTCCTGTTTATAATATCAGCCAGTTTCAAAAGTACCTAATTAAGGATTATTTGAAATAAATGCATTTGACTTTGACTTTGTTAACGTATGTCGTATAAAAGACAATTTAGTTATCTATAAACTGCCTCGCTGGATGAGTGGTCGCAAGTGCAACTGCCGGGCAGGGGGTCTCGGGTTCGATTCCCGGGTCGGGCAAAGTATTACTTGGTTATTAAAAAAATCTCAGTAGTAGTCTGGAATTGTGCCCGGTATATGGCAATAAGCTCACCGCCTATTACATGGGACTCATAATATAAATTGTGAAAAGTGGGTGTTACATTGTACAGTGGTATAATGTGCACCTCTGCCTACCCCTTCGGGGATAAAAGGCGTGATGTTATGTTATGTTTATCTTTAAAATGAGAGCATTTTGTTGTAAAGGGAATATTTTCATTAAGTTATATAAGGGTTCGATAGAATGAAAAAAAGTACTAGTGGTGCTGTTTCTTTGGTCACAGAGGCCTTAGTACAAGTATCGAAACGAGTACGCGTTTGGCGCTCTGATTGGCCGGCACCAATGAAGCAACCAATCACAGCGCCGAACGCGTACTCGTTACGATTACTTTTAACGTAAAATAAACTCGTACTAAGGCTTCAGGTGTAGTATCAAGTATCTTAAGATTCTTTTTTTTATTTTAGATGGAGAAGACTGCAAGAAGCGTGGCTCTAGTCGAGGCGGAGGGAGCATCGATGCCAGTGTACATGCTGTCCTGGTTACAAGGACTGATGCTCTTCATGAGAGTAATGCAGTCATTTTACTATAACTACTACAAACACCCGAATACTGAAAGGCTACTCTGAAACAAGTGTCGCGGAGAACCTAACGGGTAACCGGGGCTCCGGCTCGACGTGCATGAGAAGGAACGGGGTGGTTTTTAGTCAGTAAGAGTCTGACACTCACTCCCGCCTCACCTAGGCGGGAGCAGTCATTCGATGATTTTCCCCCCTTAAAAAAAAACTCTGAAACAAGTGAATTTATTTCTGCAAATAGACTACAAGGCAGCACTTTTACACGTCAATTTTATCAAGCCAACGATGAGGTCGACATTTCCTAACTGACAACTCTGAGAAGAAATGCCAAAACAAACTCAGAGGTCCGTCTATTTTAAGTGGTACTTAAATATCGTACCATCTCTCATTTTAAGTGGTACAAAGAATTTGTAGTGACAGAACTATAATTAAGCGCGACCTAAAATTGAGTAGCCTTCCAGTATTAGGGCGTTAGTCATTGTCTTCAGTTATTGTATATTATTGAATGTGTTGCATTATATAATGTAATAATTCTGCCTGCATAATATCATAATGTTATGTTTTGTTCTTTTTTCTCCTTTAGTTGTGGCAGAAGTACATACATTAGAGGCAGATATACATTAACTAAACTAACGATGAAGTGTGTGTGTATGTGTGTGTGTGTGTACATAAGTATCTACTAATTCCTTCCAAGGAAGGACCTAGCTTTAAAGAGAATGCTGTATCTATAATTAAACGAGTCTGTCGTACAATGCGGTTGCTTCGCCGTACAACCTTGATACTATTGATTTTACCATCCAGCAACTACCAACTTCGCATGCGTGGCAATAAATCATCTCGCTGCACACTAAAAGCGATCCTAACCCCAAAAACGTACGGATGGTTTTTATTTGTATATCGACGATGCATTTTTATTCACAGATATCGGGAATACCACAAGCTGAGTTTGATCAGCCACCTGAAGAACCTAATGACCAATTGGACACGTTTGATCTACTGCAGAGAGCGAGGTTGTTAATAATTATGTACTTTTAATATTCTCTTAATTTTGAAAAGATTATCATACTACGTGCCAAAATTCATCGAAGTTTCTTAATTTTTTTTATGGCGCAAGCCGGTATACGAGCAGACGGATCACCTGATGCGTAAGCAATCGGCGTCGCCCATCGACACCTGGAACACCAAAGGCGTTACAAGTGTGTTACCAGCATTTTGGGGATTATGAGTTTAAGGATGGTTGGGGATTCAGGAATTGGGGAGATTGGGGAAGGGGAGGGTAATTGGGCTTCCGGTAACCTCACTCACACGACGGTCGAGCCGGCCCATTCGTGCCGAAGCATGGCTCTCCCAGACACCTTTTTGTAGTGGGATAAAAAAACAAATTTTGAATTGAAACTATTATCTTGTGCGTAGTGGCTGAGTCAAAATCTGTGCACCGCGTCCCGATTTCGACAATGTTCCACGATTTTCCACACAGAAAATAATTCATTTTGCGATCTGATCTATAAATTGTTTTTGCACTGAATGTGACGTCAGTGATGTGATATTGTTATCTACATTAGATTCTGGTTGGACCATGGTAACTTGGCTGCGGCGGTGCGTCACGTGGACTCGTTGAAGGGGGCATCGCGTGCGGCGGCTGAGAAATGGTTCGAAGCTGCACGAGCTCACCTCGAGGTCCGTCAAGCGGCTGAAGCTGTACTTGCACACGCCGCCGCTATGGCCCTTCAGTACATATAAATGTAAGTTATAACTTTATGAAAAAAATATCGCTATCCCTGAAGGGGTAGGCAGAGGTAACACCCACTTTTTACTATTTATGTTATGAGTCCCATGTAATAGGGGGTGAGCCTATTGCCATATACCGGCCAGATTTGATGACTCAGATGTGTTACTACAGAGATTTTTTTAAAACCCAATAATGCTATCGGACCCGAGACCCCTTGCCCGGCAGTCGCACTTGCGACCACTCACCCAACGGGGCAGTCAGTAAGTGTGTCTCTTGCTGTTCAATTCCAAACGCAAAGTCGGGTAGTATACCATATTTTATTTTAATGTCCGTTTTGTAGATTATATCAAAATATAAAACACGTCTTTTTTCTTTTCTCACAAAATTAAATACTTTGGACGATATTTATATTGATTTGAAATATTGTGTGACGTCACGACTCTTAAACTTAACGCCGCTTTACCTAAGTATTGTAACTTTATACGAGAATATAAGTTATTATGTGTTTAATATTTTATCATTATCTAACTGACGGACTGATTCCATTTTTAATTTTCATACCCTGGCAACTATTCAGTTATCACAGTCATGTCATGTCATGTCATTTTTATACCTACTATTTAAATTTGGGTAGTTGTAGTGCCATTACAAGTAGCTTCTACCACTTATGTCAGTCGCTTCCAATCTTCCAATCGTGAAGTCGCTATCTAAGCCCTAAAAGCTCTCTTAGCTAAAATTTCCTTAGCGTGACCTAGCAGGCCCTTTCTCGTACAGTTAGGTGTCACTAATACGTTGATGAAAACCGAAATTACTAGGTGCTAACATAAGTGAATTTATCGAAAAGTAACCTGTGTTAGCTTAGGTATTTTTGTTAAATTTAGAAGTGCTAGGTGATAACGACTGACCTTAATGTTTCCCTTTTTTTCCCTCATGGCATAAGCCGGTAAACGAGCAGTCGGATCACCTGATGGTAAGCAATCGGCGTCGCCCATGGACACCTGGAACACCAGAGGCGTCACAAGTACGTTACCGGCCTCTTGGGGATTAGGAATTTGGGTATCGTTGGGATTCAGGAATTGGGGAGATTGGGGAAGGGGAGGGTAATTGGGCCTCCGGTAACCTCACTCACACGACGAAACACAACGCAAGCGATGCTTCACGTCGGTTTTCTGTGAGGCCGTGGTATCACTCTGGTCGAGCCGGCCCATTCGTGCCGTAATTCATGTAAACATGTGTAGTACCTTATAAATCTGTTTTTTTTTTCAGTTTGAAAGTTATCGAAGAAATGTGGATGTACCTACGTAATAGTCAAGAAAGTATACAAATTGATGTCATATTTAAAGAGGTTTAAAATTATTACTGTAGTTTTTAAAATCGTATATTTAGAACGACTTTTAAATTGTTGCGGTATTATAAAGAAATGGAAATTGCATCGTTTTTTATTTTTATCATTCAAATTTGTACCATTTGCAAAGGATGTATGAACGTTTGGATGTTGCAGCGAAGAATCAACAGTGGGTGCAAGACGCAAGTAATCAATTGGGTACTTTCCAGTCGTACAAGCCAAATTCAATGCTTAGGTACTTATATCTAACTGTCCCAAAACGACAGTTTGCTATAAATTTTGTAAGAGGTTTTTGCGTGAACCAAATGGCATTTTAGCAGCTATTTTTGAATATTTTGTCTATTAAATTGAAAAGTCGAAATAATGTATTTAATTAACGAGCATGCATGAATTGATTGATGACTGTTGATGAAGCGAAAGAGGTATGTAGGAATCGTAGTATCGTTCCATAGTCTCTGCCTACCCCCAAGGGAGACAGGCGTGAAGTTATGTATGTATTTGTGTATGTGTGTAATTTATTTTTACTGAGGAAAGTACTTACCTAATTGCATCATTCAATGCACCTACAAAAAAACAATGTTCTAAAGAAAGAAAGAAACAAATGAAGTTCTATTTTCATAGCAAGGACGGCTTCATTCGAAATCAATATTGACCTGAGATGGGTAGCAGTGAGCATGCGTAGAGGCGCACAGACTGTACCTCATATAACTATGAATAGCTCGATCGCATCATAAATGCCAAAGGTAGGAAGCTAGCAGTAGCAATGCACCGGTTTACAAATTGATTTTAGACTACAAATGACAATCCGATCTTTTTCCACCTTTTGTCCCCGCAGAGGTAGGAAAGGGTGCACAATACGGCACTTAATGATGTAACACCCACTTTTCACTATTTATGTTATGAATCCCATGTAATAGGGGGTGAGCCTATTGCCATATACCGGACACAATTCCAGACTCCGTGTTACTACTGAGGTTTTTTTAGAACCCAGTAATATTTTGACCGACCCGGGAATCGAACCCGAGACCCCTTGCCCGGCAGTCGCACTTGACTCGACCAACTAAGCAGTTGCGGCAAATCTTTTTGTAGTAGGTAGGTCATCATAACATCACGCCTTTATTATCCCCGAAGGGGTAGGCAGAGGTGCACATTACGGCACTTAATGCCACTGTACAATGTAGGAGCCACTTTTCACTTGTATGAGTCCCATGTAATAGGGGGTGAGCCTATTGCCATATACTGGACACAATTCCAGACTCCGTGCTACTACTGAGATATTTTTAAAACCCAGTAATACTTTACCCGACTCGGCAACCGAACCCCAGGACTTGGGCCTCTGGTAGCCTCACTCACACACAACGCAAGCGGTGCTCCGTGTCGGTTTCCTGTTCCGTGCTGGGGCCCTCAGTATGATTATGGCGACTCGCGAACAAGCAAGTACCTAACACCATTTGTTTGGGGAAAAATACAAAAAAAAACAAACCACATTTTTCTCAATATTCTCCTGTGTCGTGGGTGCGTTTACAAATATGCAATTTCACATACACATCACACCCAGATTCGGAACAAAATTTGTGAATCACACAAAGAGTGCCAACAGTGCAATCAGCTGTACACACGGCTACACATTGAGCTTTACATAACCAGTATAAACTGGACGTTAAATGTGCGGAAAGATGATGCGACGCGACACCAGGATAAACTGGTTTTTTATAGATTAATGTCCGTTATTATTAACCGTCGAATGTGCGGAAACAATTATACACTAGGACGACGCCTTTGACCTCGTGTAAAATGCCGACATCATATAGACAGCGGCCATCTTGGATTTGCATTTTGACAACACCATCATTTTCACCACCCTCGAAAACCATGATAAAACAAACACGCGTTAGCCCTGAATAATATATCCCGAGCTACTAACATTGTTTTGTTCACAGCTCGGGATCGGCCAGCCCGCGTCTCACCCTTCACACCCCGCACGATTGCCGTGTTTAGGCGTATTCGTTGGACGACTGTATAGACTGTATAATACACTGGTTTTGTCTGGCTTGATATTTACTCGTATCTAAAGTTCAGATGAAACGTGCATTCCTTAATGAGACAGCAATGCGTAAACAATTCATCTTTGAAATGACAAAAACGTTTATTGTGAAAATCTCTTGGAACTCAATAATGAATAAGTGTAAACACGGTGTACGAGTGTTGCCACACTAAACATACTTAAGATTATAGTATCTTTTTTATTTCAAAAACGTGTAATTCTTGTAAGAGTTCAAATTTAATCACTATTCATTATTGTTTTTTTTTTGTAATTAAGATGGTTCATTTGTGGAATGCGAGGAAAGCACTAGAAAATTGAACATTTTTCAATTTTTCGACCAAACATTATTTTTTCATACGAGTATTAATAAGTCTTTTAAAAATATGATATAAAAGACCGTTTAAATAGCAACAAGTCTTTTCATACTGAATATCATACTGAATATCCAGCAGTCTACCACAGGTCCACTGGAAAAGTTTCTACATGTACTTAACACTAGAAAGACGGGAGCAGTCATTTGACCGCAATTTGATTTTAAATGTTGAATAACTTGAAATCTATTTGAGTTTTTAAACTGAGACTTTGTGACTTTTATTTATTTTACAAGTTAAATGCAACTATGTATGAAAATTAATCACAACTCTTTTATTTATTATTTAAAATCTTGATCTACCGACAAAGACGGCGGCAGTCATTTGACTGCTGACAACCAATGAGTGTTTATAAGTGTAATATGAGAGGGTAGAATACAAATTATATACACTTATTCATTGTTTATAGTTTGTTTATCAAATGAGACCGTATCATTTCAAGTGTCTGTGAACTTTTACGAAATTATTGAAAGTAGTTTGTGGAGTCTTGAAAATGATAAAATATTTGTTACTTCCAAAATATTTGTGAAGATGAGTCTGATTTTGACACTAAAAATACAAAACATGATAGCGACGACGATTATGTGGTACTACTTGTCAGTTCGAATTCCTCTACGGACGGAAGTGACCTGAAAGACCAGATACTTCGAGCAAATTTATCAGACGTTGACAGGTCGGGTTCTCGTGGTTGTAGTCGTTGCTGTGGTAGTGATAAAAGCTGTGAAAGGAGTTTGGAAGATCCTGAGCATCAAGGTCTTTTCACAACTATCGACTGTATTACTTGTACACATCTCAAATGGCATCTACTCTAAGTGGTCAAATGTCGATGAATTCGTTGATACAGATGCGTCTTGTGAAACTTTTTGCAAATACTGGTCAAAATGTTACGAGCATCTCAAAGGTGAAATACATTTTTTTTTATATTTGAGACCTAGCAAAGATATAACATAATTTGCCTTTTTAGATATAATTCCTTCATTTGGTATAGGAAAATGTAGAATATTACATGAAACAAAGGCTATTTATACTAAGTTCAGGGGGCGAACTTAGAAGCAAAGTATAAATTGAAGAAGACTCTCTGAAACTGAATCCTTGCCTGAAAAGTCTAGATCTTTTACTTCACAATCTTCTGCACAAAATCCAGTAAATTCCAAAATATTATATACACAAATGCAAATACAAAAACCATAAAGAATGCGACAATTGCAAAAAGCCACTTTGCGGCTTTTGTAATGTAAACAAAATGATAAAATTAGAAATTCTATACATATTACTTAATTCACAGTATATTATACCATGTTTAATGCTATAGGTACCATTTCTAGCACTTAAACATAAAAAAATATCAAAAAACTTGGAGCAGTCATTTGACCGCTCGCCGTCTTTGTAGGTAGATGACTTTTTCCGTCTTTCTAGTGTTAATGTATAAGTAATTTTTTTTTAATGGGACAAGCCGCCACAACCTCTTAAAATATTGCAACTCCTATAAGCCAGGATCTACAGTAGATTCAACCATGAAAACACCGGGACACTGACGGGACACATTTGATGCGGTTTTTTTTTAATAGGTAGAGTGATTCTTAAGGAAGGTTTATATGTATTATGCATGCATATTGCAGCCGTGCGAAGCCGGGGCGGGTCGTTAGTATATTATAAGAGGAGAAGAAAAAACAACGATAGGTTCCATTTTCCTCGGTGAATTAATGCAGGAGACGGAATGACTTATCATGTCTTCATGATGAATCGATTCCATGTAAACTTAATACTGATGATTTTAATCAAGGCCATGAAAGTACTTAAAAGCTTCGGCCAGCGGCGCTTGGTGCATAATCGTGGGATAAAAAGTCCAGACCATAATTTATTCCAGTTCCCAATTTTATCCTAATCCCTTCAGCTGTGTCGCGGAGAACCTAACGGGTAACCGGGGCTCCGGCTCGACGTGCAGGAGAAGGAACGGGGTGGTTTTTAGTCAGTAAGAGTCTGACACTCCCTTCCGCCTCACCCAGGCGGGAGCAGTCATTCGATGATTTTCCCCCCTTAAAAAAAATCCCTTCAGCTGTTTTGACGTGAAGGAGTGACAAACATACAAACTCACAAACTTTCGCATTAAATAATAATAATTTTCCAGCTTGCCTTAATTGGCTGGCTGAACGAACAAGGAACAGGTCTCCCACCTCTGGCTTACCTTCATTGGCCGTCCAGAGTGGAGTCGCGAGAGCAGTGATCCTGCTCGGAGAGTAAGAAACTATTCGTAAGTCGCGAGTGGGCCAGGGATGCAGGAGGCTTCGGCTGGAGCAGATGATCTGAGTAGAAAGCGGTGGTCGTTTCTTAACCCTTCAGCCACTCACATTCTCGTTGTCCCTCTGTTGCTATATTTAGCAACCAATTCTGGGGCCCGGTCGTTGAGTTGGCGAGTCTCCGCCTGCCATTTTTACGTGTAATAATTACATAGTTTCGGCAGATGCCATAGTCATCCATAGTTCCCAATTTACCAGTCCACAGTAAACCATCCATTTTTTTTCCATTATCTACAATAATTCTACACTAACCGGGGACTGTCCTTTGGTGCATTTCCATAGTGCATACAGGGATAGTCGCCGGTTTGTGTATGTATATTAAAGTTGTCTGAAGGGCCGCTGCGCAGTTTGCTTCGGCCCCTTGTACGCCTCCCAAATGACCGGGACCCTGTAGTCCTGTGAATGGTAAAGAAATACATAATAATAATAAGAACTTTCGCATATATAATATTAGTAGGATTCACTTATGCAATGGCTAATATGTACTTATTCCGCGGTATATATAGGTAGGTACTTATTCCGCGGCCATTAAACTGACGATATATTCGAAAAATTTAATAAGTACTTATCAATGTCAGTTTTTTTACGCTTGCAACTCAAATTGTTTCGCGTAGGTTTTAAAAGAATTCGCAGTGCTTGCTCCTTAGTCTGTAGAGCAAAATGAGTGAATCATAACTAGTGTTTTGGTTTTTGTGTCGTATCTGCATTTACTTTAGAACTTCAAGATGCGATCTTGGTGGTTGGTATATATGTAGATAACAGTTATTCTAGCTTCTTCCCGTGATTTCGTCTGGAAAATTGTAGATTTTTAACTTGTAGCCTTTCCCACAGTCTATTCGGCCACATAAGGTTTATTCATATTTTATAAATAACTAGCTGACCCGGCAAACATACCGCCTAAAAATGTTCTCGCCTTTTAAACATTCCCTGGACTTTCCCAAACGTTTCAAGACCAAAATTAGCGAAATCCATTTAGTCAGTCGTTCTTGAGTTTTAGTGAGACTAACGAACGGAAATTCAATTTTATTTATATAGATATTGATTACCTTTAACGATCACGTTTCCTTTTTCGTGTACGTATTACAGTTAAAAAAAAATCAATATGATTTCTGCTGTATCTGATACGTTACGTGCTACACTGCTAAAATACCCACCTATTGGATATTCGATAATCTCGACCAATGACGGGCGAGAATGCGATTGAGTTCATTTCAAAGTTCGAATTGAGAGTGACTGAATAGTTTAGCTGCTGTCTGATTTTGGAGCTTTCTTTATCAGCCGACTTAAAAAAAAAAGAAGGAGGTTGTCAATTCGACTGTATTTTTTATGTTTGTTTCTTACCCGATTACTCGAAAACGCCTGGACCGATTACCAAAACTTCTCTTTTTATTTGAAAGGGTAGAGGCTTGTCATTTGGTCCCATTGTCATCAGGTTGAGATGATTGAATCCCAGGAGAACCGAGGGGAACTTCTAAAAATTATAGGGGCGACTAGAGCATTTGTTAATTTTTTCATTAAGTATTTAAAACCACTATAATCTGATAAAGGTCTGGAGTCGATCTGATGATGGAGCCGCGAGCCAGATGAGGGAACTCCTCAACGGTTATAGGAGCTATCTCGTGTTTGGGTTTGATTAATTTGCATTGACCGACTATTATGAATTTAGAAGTGAGACTGAGGAATTCACTACCGCGTAACATGGTATTTTGAGTCTATCTCGACAATAATAACTATCCTATCGCAGGTCTACAGAGGAAAATATGTATATACTCCGTGTACACAAATAAGTACATAATTGTAAAATTATTTTTTATATTACAGGTTTATTTCGATGATATCATGTCTACTAGAGCTATGTTTTGGCTTGCATTACCTTGAAAGGTACCATTATCCAGGGGGCTACACTACGTATCCACCTGATTATGTGAACAACACTAATACAAAAGTGCCGCGACATGTTTATACACCAGACTTCCGAATTGAAGAACCTAGTTTCATTCCGTACCATCATTACCAGCCGGGTTTTGCTAAAGAACGTGAGAGACCTTTACGAATATCACCACATTATAAACAAATTCGAGAGTGGGAAGGGTTGGTAAGTGTGAAATATGTGTTATAAACATACAGATAGTGAGCCAGGTACTAATTTTTGTTTCGCACCTACTCACGTTTTTATTTGTCAATTTCATAACATCATAACATCACGCCTTTTATCCCCAAAGAGGTAGGCAGAGGTGCACATTATGCCACTGTATGTACCTACAATGTAACACCCACTTTTCACTATTTATGTTATGATTATTCCCATGTAATAGGGGGTGAGCCTATTGCCATGTATCCGGCACAACCCGGCACAATTTCAGACTCCGTGCATCTGCAGAGAATTTTTAAAAAACCTAGTAATTCTTTGCCGACCCTACGACGACAACTACCGAGCAAGGTGTCCCTTGCTCGGTCACACTTGCGACCACTCGGCCAATGAGGCAGTCTGTTACTTTCGTCTGAGAAATTTTCGAAAAAATGAAAAAATCTATATTCGAGTGGCTAGCTGACGTATAATCCACCAATGTATTATCTGCTGACTCTTTTCTTTCTTGACAATAATATTATGTCGACTACTCGTATTGGCGATGCATTTTAGTCAGTAAGAGTCTGACACTCCCTCCCGCCTCAGAAGTTATGCGATGAGTTTCCCCCCCTTAAAAAAATACAATGTAGGTATCTACATTGTATTTTTTTACTGGTAGGCAGAGGTACCTCTGCCTACCTGCCTATAAAAAGGCGTGATGTAATGTTATGTTATGTTATGTTATACCATTTTTATTTTTTACAACACACACTTTTACTTTTTTGTTAAGGAAAACGCATATAATTTGGGCTGCTACTGTTGTACTACATATAGAAGACACACCTTGCTCGCTGGTTGCGCAGTAATAACAACACGCCACGTACTTACCACTGCAAACCCTACCGTGCTGATATTAAGATCTTACGGTCACATGAAAACGTTGGAACATATTCTGGGTGGATGGTACGACACGAATGCTAACGTATTCAACAGCTCTATGTTCTTCGCACCATCAAGAATACATATTCATCCAATGGTAATTCTTTATTCGTTTTTATTTTATTTGCGTGTATAAAGGTACTGTTACACAATTGGGATGATGACAGGGTATGAAAATTAAAAATATAGTGAGTCCGTAAAATAGGTAATGCAAAAAATATTAGACACGTATTTTTTTATTTTGTCATATAATAAAACAATACTTAGATAGAGTCGCGGAGAACCTAACGGGTAACCGGGGCTCAGGCTCGACGTGCAGGAGAAGGAACGGGGTGGTTTTTAGTCAGTAAGAGTCTGACACTCCCTTCCGCCTCACCCAGGCGGGAACAGTCATTCGATGATTTTCCTTAATTTCCTAAAATTCTTAGAACGAATCAAAGTTAAGTTAAGAGTGGGGGCTAAAACGTCAATCTACGTATAAAATGTACATAGAAGTGACGTCACGCGACATTTCAAATCGATATATCGTCGAAAGTATTCGTGTCTGTAAGAAAATAAAAATACATGTCTAATGATTTAAAATAATCTACCAGACGGACATTAAAATAAAAATTAGACATCTACCCTATTTCAATCACGAAATGCATGCATCAATTGATAATTAGCTGCTTAGTAACATTCATTCGTTCATTTGTATCAGTACCTCTATACTTCTAACTACTAGGTAAATACTTAGATGTGAAAGGCCCCTAAGTTAGTGCTTCTATTTATTATATCAAAAATTTATGGTAATACACACTATGGTAAGACTGCATTGTTGGCGCGGTGGCTGGGCTACTGGCTGCCGTACCGTAACGTGTAACGTGTAGCGGGTTCGATTCCCGCACGTTAGCAGCTATTTGTGTCATCCACAAATTGTTGTTTCGGGTCTGGGTGTCATTGTGTATGTGAACTTGTAGTTTTGTAAACACACCCATGACACAGGAGAAAATCCTAGTGTGGGTCAACGTTAAACAAAACACTATAATGTGAGGTTGTTAATATTTTTAAAATAACCCTGTGGTATTTTTGGGTTTACACTGTTTTTGCGTTTTGGTTACAGTATAAATATGACTATGAAATGAATGTGTCGCACCCAATTCCGGTAATGTACGACCTTTCCCTGTGGGCTGCCACTCATCGGTTCTATGGAAGTACCTTTTCGTATTCAAAGGCAGTCATATGTCCTAGAGCGGCTTCAGGGTGGTAAGTTGGATTGGATGAGTTGGATTTCAGTTTTCTGGAAATTCTCGTAGTAGCACGCAATCTTTCTAAATTGCGTATACACGGTTTATTTATTTGTACTCTGTATATATAGCATTAGGCTTAGGTAACACCTAAAGCGCAGCGGGCAGGCAGAAAGGTTCTCGAGTGGAGGCCATGTCGTTACGTGGCCGGTTTACCGGTGCAAGCGCAGCGTAGGACGTCCATCCGCAAGGTGGATAGATGACTTGATTAAGGTCGCAGGGAGCTGCTGGATGCAGGTCGGTTCCAACCAGCCTATCTGGAAGTAATTGGGGGAGCCCTATGTTCAGCAGTGGACGTCCTATGGCTGATATGGTGGTGATGATGAAAGCGCGACGATAATTTATAATAATATGTATTATGTATAATATGTTACCTTTATGCTTTTACTAGCTGCGTTGATAATAATTAAGTACCTATGTAAGGTATTTCGAAATTAATTTAAGATTTCCAAATATGTCAATGTAGAACCTGTTCATAAACCACATCATTATGAAAAGACAACAGATATACATACAGGGTGATTTTTAACTCGACGTATTCATCTCAGGAGGTGATAATACAATACAGCCATAAATTCGCCACCAAATTCTTATGAAATTTTGTTTTGAGTCACTATTTCCGCAACAAGCTCAAATGGCTGCCTATTCGCCTTCGCCGGAATACTCATATTCTTTCACTTCTTTACAATATACTTTTTAATCCCACTACCCCTACTTATCTAAAAGAACGTTTTACGTACCTTGGCGATACACATTCGAAGTTTTTGAGATCATCGGAGAGTCTGAAATTGAGTATTTGTTTGCATTCCACTTCTTTTTAGAAATCTTTACTTTGCAGCAGTCGGTTGTGGAATGCTTTACCGATTGCAGCGAGGCGAGCTCAATCCATATCGCAATTTAAAAAACTTGTTAAAGAGCATTTCCTCTCTTTATAATTTTATATCTTATCTTAACCACACACACACATACACACACATGCACAAATACACACCATTATGTAATTTATGTATCATATTGTATATTGTATATTATTTTATTTTTATTTTTTTGCGTGGTAGTTGTATTTTTGTATTGTATGTATAGTACTTTATAAAGTTATTAATTATTGTACACTTGACGACCAATATCAGACTCCTATTACTGCTCCATCCAAAGGTTGTCTGTAAGAAATCGCCTTGTGCGATAAGACCGCCCATTGTACACTATTTTTGTTAATATTTATCCTATAATGTGATTGTGTGGTGTACAATAAAGCATATATTATTATTATTATTACTATTTTGGTCAATAGAAAACTAGATTTCGTTTTTATGACTGATAATGCATTAAGCGTACGAAGTGTTAGAAAAAGTTCCTTCGTTTCCTTAGTTACACAAAAAATATAATTATTTATAAAAATTAAAAAATAAATTAACTACCTAGTAAAGAAAAACGAGCAATTTCAAAAACACTTTCATTTAAGTACTTTTTTTTTAATGTTGTCATAGATTTGAATGTCATTGGTTCTTTAAAGATTCATGTCATTAAATAGACAGGCTTAATACCTATTAATTTATTTGTTTAAAAAAAACTGAAGACAAATTGCGTACTTATAGGTTGAGTGAGTGAAATAACAAACAACACTTAGGGGAAACTCAACTTACATAGAAATAATTACTTACGGAGCACGAAATGAACGGAATAAGACATGAACCTGCATGAACATAACAAAGATAAAACCGTTAGGTACTGATCAAATGAAAATTAGTCGGCGCGCGGCTCGACCGCGCGTGCGCGAGTCACTGACTAGAGCTGCGGCTCGGGTACGGAACTACGGACCGTGCGGAGTGCGGACTCGTGCCGAGCGTCGAGCTAGAGATGAGGTGTGCAACGCTACATTAGTCTTACTAATGCTCGCTATATACTTTTAACTTTGAATATAACAGACTTTGAGACTAACCTATGTACCTACAAAGAAATGTCCACCCCTATTTCACCCCTTAGCGTTTCTAGGTATTTTACCAAAAAAGATATGCAATTCCCATATAACTCAACCTACTCACTATATGCCCATTGTCTAATATACCATATAGCAAACTAAAGACCTAGGGTGTCAGTTGGCATAATGATCTAATTCAAAGAGTTAGATTAGGTACCTAAGTACCTACGTTAAATCGTACTTATAAGTACCTACCCAGTGTCAAAACATCTACCTCTAATAATTTACTAAATGTTTCCAGGTATGAATATGCTTCAACGATTCCTCGACAACATGATCTATCTGTCGTTGTTGGATTTCAATTTATGAAGTCATATCATCGTCGACCTATGCCTTGGTATAAATACGCTGTTCGCACGAAATCATATGTATGGCCTTGTCCAAAGGTAACTGACAATTTATTTTATTATTCTATCAATAAAATAAATAATCCCTAAAAGCCTCGATATTTATCTCAGGAGGCTGGCGTTGGGTGGTTGGATCAAGGGCCTGATACAGAAGGCAGTTCTCCTAGAAACGGCACGTATCGTGAGGAGGTTTCTGTCTCTGGAGCTCTAACCACCAGTAGCTTGGACCATGCTCCCGCCACTGGTCGGCTCCTATTTTTTATATTTTTAAATATTATTTTTTTATTTTGTAAGTTGTATTTAAAAATGTAATTTATAGAGAATTTTAAATAAATATATGAAATAAATAAAAATGATATGAAAAAAAGCCATTTATTTATATCTCACAGTTAATTTTACATTTTTATAATAACTATCGTGAATTCGTGAGACATACTAAATCGACTAAATCGCGGGTTACTCACGTGAATATACTGAGAGAAGCTCTACTAGTTTCGGTTTCGGCGACGTCGCCGCGACCGCTCATGCTGCTCATGAGGAAGAACCCCTCTGTGGTTGGAAACTAGTAGAGCTTTTCTCAGTATATTCACGTGAGTAACACGTGATTTTAGTTGAATTAATTTTACATTTCTCTTGTTAGTATAAATTAAAATGTTAAAGTTAATTTATTCTTAGTGTTGGTTAGTTTGCATTCTATAAGAACCCCTAATGGCTAAAGACGTCATCCAAAGTATTCCACTTGTCTTTTGCTACTGTACTTCACTGGAAGCCCGCTATTTTTTAAATTTCGTCTTCCAAATTGATAACCTGCTCCTATTTGGGAAGTCGGTTAAAAATAGGAGCCGAACAATAGCGTAAGCATGGTCCAAGCTACCGGTCGCGGTGGTTAGAGGTCTAGAGACAGAAACCTCCTCACGATACGTGACCTTTCTAGACGAACTGCCTTCTGTATCAGGTCCTTGATTGAAAAAAAGTATGTATAAGTAGATACTTATGTACAAATTTCATTTTTTTTTTAGAGCGATTGGCATTGGTTTCATTGCATAATGGGAGAATATTGGGGCAAATTTGGTTTTGATTCGGGCGGCGCTATGCATATGATGATGGAAGGGAAGTCAAACCGTCACGACGGGTTGGCCGGAATGTGTTCATTCTCTTTAAAACTTAGAGCATTTCAAACAACTCATTATTTCACTGTGCTAGATACACATCCAGTGCTTGACTTCTTGTATGACGCATTCAAGGGTTTAAGTAAATATGCGTGGTTGGACGATAGATTCGAAGATACGAAGTATGCGGCACCGATAGCATGGCGGGGAGAATACATTCCCATTTATTATAACTTCGGTTGGGAAGCCTATAGCGTGTATGGCAATTATATTTACGGAGATGTGTTACCAAATTATCGAAGGTAAATGTTTGGGGGAGAATAGTTAAGGTGTACCTGTGTGTACCCATCATCTAGTTTCAATCATGGCTATTTGGACGCAAAAAAGACAATGCCCAAAAATGTATGGAGCAAAATCCCTAGCTAGATACTGTATTTTTTGTAATCTAGATACTTATAACTATACATGTAAGCTAAATAAACGTTGATAAATGTATTGGTTTTTTATTTAAAGTGGGTACAATAATATTACCAAAATGGTCCAGAAAAATTGAATTCAGAACATTACTGCAAGGTATGTAGGTACAACAAGTACCTACCTACTAAATCAACCAATGAGATTTTGCAATCACGACTGATTATTTCGACTGTTCAATACAATAAAATATTAAAAAATAATCACACTTTTCATTAATTGATTTTACGACCAACTTAATTTTAGTATTTTTCTAGCAAATTCTTAAGAAATAAGTATGCTGTATGACGCTAAAAATTCGTGACGTCACTATACCCAATCTCGTACAAAATTCCGTTCAAATATATGAATAGGTATATGACGAAAAAAGTATTGAATTTGACTAATTTGCAAGTATATTGCATAACAATAGATAGGTACCTACCTAGTAAGATAACGCCTGTTTATATTTGATGGGCCGACATTTGACCACTATCTCGCCTGGTATTTATAATATTATTAGTTAAATGCTGCTTCGTTGGCCGAGTGGTTGCAAGTGCGACTGCCGGGCAAGGGGTCTCGGGTTCGATTCCCGGGTCGGGCAAAGTACTACTGGGTTTAAAAAAAATTCTCAGTAGTAGCATGGAGTCTGGAATTGTGCCCGGTATATGGCAATAGGCTCACCCCCTATTACATGGGACTTATAAATAGTGAAAAGTGGATGTTACATTGTACAGTGGCATAATGTGCACCTCTGCCTACCCCTTCGGGGCGTGATGTTATGTTTTTAGTTAAAAGCGATACTCAGAGATATTTAAATGACTACTTAGACTATTTCTTGGTTACGATTTTGTTCCGAAATAATAATAAATTAAGTATGTACCCACATGCCTAATTTTTATTTTAATGTCCGTCTGGTACATTATTTTAAATCATTAGACATGTATTTTTTTACAGAACCGCATACTTTTTGTGATATATTGATTTGAAATGTCGCGTGACGTCACTTCTATGTTCATTTTATACGTAGAAATGACGTGTAACCCTCACTCCTAAACTTTGATTCGTTTTATCTAAGTATTGTTTTATTATACGACAAAATAAAAAAAATACGTGTCTAATATTTTTTTTATTACCTAACTTACGGACTAACTAGTTTTTTAATTTTCATACCCTGTCACCATCCCAATTGTACGGAGTACCAATATAATAATGGCTGATAGGGTAAGGTTTTAGGCATGAATGATAAAATGATAATGTTTCTAAGCAGACTTAAAACAACCTTGGAGGAAGAAAATATTATTCCCAACCACCAGTTGAATTCAGAGACCAGCGCTTCACGATCGAACAGGTGCATCATGTGGTACACAAGATTAGACTGTCTGTAATACAGAAAGAATACTGTGCTGCACTCTTCCTAGATATCTAATAGGCTACATTCTAGATAGAGTCTGGCATGAACCTGAGTGAGTTCAGAGAGTGCCACTAGATGCAGGCAGTTCCAACCAGTTGATCTCGAAATTATTAGGAGAGGCTTATGTTTAACAATGCCCATCTTGTAGCAACGGTTATTAACTCGTCGAGTACCATATTTATAGACACAATTAAAGAACAATAGGTTGCCGTCACCGGTGACCGCTTGGTGTTTGACAGTTTAATGAAAAAACATTATTTTATTTAATTTCTAATAATTCTTTATTGAATTAAATATTACATTCAGCTGATTCAATTATGTAGGTTATATTTGATCACATTTATTCCGAAGCTACACATAATATTGAATGATAAAATGCAGAAACACTTATAATAATTCAATTGTCTTTTCTTATGACACTAAGAGTCACGGCTTGAGAAACGTTTGCATTGAGATTCACTTCGGTTCACATACTCAACAAACTATTAAACTGTCCGTACCACTGATTGCTGTATTACTTGCTCCTCTTATGCTATCAGTCTCAATCGTTCACAAGCCTTTGCTGCTTGATTGCTACAAGCCATATCTTTGTCAGGAAGGATCATCATCAGAGTCCAGCTCATCCGATGAATCATCTGAGGAATCAGAAGAGTCAGATGAATCACTTGAATCTGACTCAAATTCATCACTATCACCCTCAATGTACACAGGATTTGTTCGATGTAAACCTTTCAGCAAGGACATAGAAGCCATCTTCACAGCAACTTCATTTTCTACAATGCTATCAACCTCCTCTTGTTTCACTAACTCCGCAGCTTCTTCTAGCTCCACAATGTCCAGTTCTAGATCATCTTTCGATATTTCAATATTTGCAATATTATTGCAAAGTTCATCCAATTCCTCATTCCTACATTTTTGTAGGAAAATCAAATAGTCTCTGATGTATAATTGATTCAAAATGTATCTTGCATCATTGCTTGCATTAAACAATTGGTGTATTTCAATCATACATTTGACAATGAATTTCTTTCCAAGTTTGAAGAGGGATACAAGGTCATTCCTTACTTTAACACAAAGGTCATAGTTTCTAAATATTGGGTATATTAAAGCCCGTCTATAACAGGTAGTGAGGACTTCCCTCACGTCTCTAAATGTACAGAACCAGCTCAGGGTTGCAGACAATTTATTTATAGTCCATCCGGATTCCACTGTACTCTCATTCAGAGTACTTCGCTTGTCATAGCAATAAGCATACAAGATATCAACCAATCCATAGAGAACTTCTTTATATTCAGTTTTACTCAACAAAAAGTTTTTATTTGGTAACTCTTTCAACACACCCAATTCATCATCAGTAAATTCTATCTCTTTGTTAAAATTTGGTTTATTCCATGAGACTACACCTGTTAGAAATGGTTCCAGGAGTTCTTCATCATAAAAATCAGCTAAATAGTGGTCTGAGGAAAATTTATCATCCTCATGCTTGATTCTTTTAGCTGTTCTGTCTTCAATAGACACAGTTTCAGGAACCCTTAATTCAAATATTTGAGGGAACTCAGATCCGATGTTGCTAAACTCAGTTGTTAATTTATTAGCGAATCCATATGAATACTTGTTACTGTAGTCAATAACTTCATTGTTTTCATTTTCTAGAGTGATCCCATCCTCTTCTAGCATTTCTACTAGATTAGGATTAATATCTGGAATATCCTTAGGAGCCAACAAGCTCGTGATCATGTCCAAGTTTTCAAAATGCTCACCTGGGGTTTCTTTGTCAAAGGTTAAATTGAAGTCGCCAGAATCGCAAATGTATGAGCCTTTGGAACTATCATTGTCGACAATCCGGCCAGGCAGACGCAGCCGCAAGAAGTACGGACTGGAGACAAACAGAAAATGTTCGCCATCCACGTCTATTTCTGTGTCGCCGATGTTTGTGTATGGAGCGTGCACGGTGATGAAGACGTGATTCTCGTCCTGAGTTAACTTGAAGCGTGGGGTCAACATTTTGCTATCACACTGACGTTAATTTTTCATTACGATATTTTGACTAATACGAAGAATACACGTAATAAGTATATTACTATAATTAAAATTGTTTACTTCCACAAAAGTTGCGCACAGCATGCGCACAGCAATGCGTTTTTCTGTTTTCGTCTGACACTGACAGATAGACAATCAATAATAAGGATGTGACGTAAAGATCAATACTTTGTACAGCACAGATTATGCTTTAGGTTTTACTCTATGACAGACTTGATCACAAAATAACAAATATTGATAAGTAAATAAAATGAAATTAAAGATTTTATTAGTTCATTTTTTCTAGTCTAGTCTATAATATTATTATTTTCCTCGATGTTTAGAACCTTAAAATCTAAAAACACATAACATTACCATCTAAAGCAATAATTTGGATGTGAAATGATTGTGGAAAGAATTTAAGACACAGACTTATAATAGATTAGCAGACCAAATATTAATTCCTACGTCTATGTTATGATATCCATCATTATTTGTTTTTGTTCTATCAAGCACTAGCATAATAATGGCGTCTCGTTCTCTTACCTGTAGCCACACTGCTCCACACATAGACAAATTTTGACATGAAACCAGTTTTTCGTGCCGCCATATCGACAAGCTTTTGCTTTCAACTGTGTCAATCGTTTAATAAGAAAATATTATTTGTTTATACCATTAAAAGTATCAAAAATCTAAAATAAAATGGTGAAGTGCAATGCATAGAGAATTACAGATATGACAGCAATAGCTCTAAGAAAATACCTGGAATAACCAAATTGCCGTAGTTTTGAATTTGAATGTTGTTATAGTTTATCTATTTAAAAATGACGACTATGGTTTGAGGAACTAACCACATAAAAATTATGGCAACACGTAATGAAAGTACGATGAATACCATCAGTTGCGCCTATGATCGAGTTTGTTTTGCGAGTCGTTTTTTGTTAATAAGGTACTGGATTGGAATTTATGTAAATATAACTTAGACGTTCATTAAATATGCAAAAAACAACTCTGAGTGGAGCTCAACTGACTGTAGTTCGAGTAAAAAGTGATTTTCAATAGATTATGTTTTCGCTCTAACAGTAGCTATGACGTGTAGAAATCGTATTAATACTGTTAATATTTTATCCGGTAGAAGTGAAAAGCCTACAAAACAAACGAATTTATGTTTAAAATAAGAATTTTAACATTGCACATTTATTTTTAGGTCAGTTTTGGATTTTATTTGGTTGGTACTTACGACCTGTGGCGCCCTCGTCCTTGGGTAGGTAATAAACCAAGGTCGATCAAGGTTTGTAAGATTCTATTATAGGCACAGATAGTCAAACATCGTGACGGAAACAGGTTAACTACAAGTTATTGGTCTAATTTTCAATTTTACTTGATTTTGTTTATTATTTTTGTACATTGTATTCTAAGTAAACTTATGGAAAATGGCGTGATAGTTGATAAGGCAAGGCGATATATACGATTAAACATTATCAAAACAGTTGATTTATTTCAAAACCTCGACAAATTGTTTTAGTCTACAACACCGTAAATAAGAACTTACCGATGAAAGGTTATTCCAGGTATTTTCATATAGCTATCGGCGTCACATCGGTACGCACTGCACTTCACTATTATATTTTAGATTATTTGAACGTATGTTAGAAACAATTAATATATTTTTATAATGAGATTGACATAGTTTTAGGTAAAGATAGCAATATGGCGGTACGCAAAAAACTGGCTAGATGTCAATATTTGTCTTTGTGTGGAGCAGTGTGCGTAAAAGAACGAGACGCCATTATTAGGTTGGTGCTTGATAGAACAAGGACAAAGAATGATGGATATCATAATATGTATAAGTTAAACTAGGAATTAATGTTTGGTGAGGTCTGCTTATTGTAAGTCTATGGTCTCGATTTAACTATTTTTAAAAAGCATTATGTGTTGCAAGGCTTCAAATTTGAATTTATTTAAAGTTTGTTAATTGTTTGGACTGGGGAGGATCATGGGAGGATGTTAAAATGGATTGATGTTTATTTTCAGCCTGTTGCTATTTTTACCTTCACAGGAAACCCTACAAAAACTATTGTATTAGAAAAGAAATCCTGTACCTCTTTGTGTGGGAGGATTGCGTGGGTTAGTTGCGTGGCCATAAAATATCGTGTCAATTTGCTTTCTTGTTTAAAGTTATCCAAATGAACTGCTAGTAAATTAAATGGACACTAATGTAGTAATCCCTTAAGCAATTTTTTTTTTTTATTATTTTCATCGTCTGTGCGAGAATCGCGTTTATAAGCCCTGCAATCTGCAATATTGCGATTTGTTGTCATTTTTAATGACATTGACATATTGACAAAATCAAACGAAAAAAATCGCGACCAATGTAAAGTATTGTTGTGTTGTAAATAGTCAAAACAAACAAGTATATCCAAGTGTCTAAAATATTGTATTTATTTTATTAACAGTTTACCGTATTTTAATATAATTTGTGTGGATATTGTTTGTGAATTCATTGAGTAATGCCAGTGGGTCGGAAACGTTGGAACCTACATGGTAAGTCAGATTAATTTAAGAGGTTTTATGGTTTTGTTTTAGTGCTTATTATTTATGTGTAACTTTGAAATTATACATGCATACTTTTAGTTTGTAATTTAATGGATAAGTGAGACTGATAATAGGTATTGGACTTTCTAATTATTCAATAAAATAGATTACGTACTAATCACCTAATTGGCCTGTAGGTAAGTAAGTACCTAATATACCTTTGCCGCTATATAACCTGTATCGTAAAAGTCAATTAAATAATTCCATCAATATTTACTCGAGTATTATTAAAAATATCCATTCTGGCTTAAACGTTTTTTTTGTGACAGGAGTATAGAAAGTAGGTAGTTTGTTTATTTAGTTAATTTGTCCAGAAAATTATAGTAATGATGGTTTCATAGAAGGTAGTTTCAATTTAATCAGCAGACAATAAATTTTCAAATTATACAAACTAAAGCCAATGCTCACAAAATATGAAAAACCACACATGCTTGGTGCTAATGAAACTTATCTCAGATTTGTATTATGACCCTATAATCAAATGCTACTTGTAAGTGTAAGAAATTGCTGTATTAGTGATAGGATCACATCGCGAAGGACACTCCGGGCGTCGAGGATCGCGGGACGATCTCCGGCCACCGTAAGCGCGGGCTTGCGGACGGCTAGCACGGGTGGCTCGCCGCCCGACCAGAACCAGACTCGAGCGTACGGTGCGTCGCGTTTCGCGTGCGCCTCAAAGAGCCACCAGACCACCACGGATGGACCGAATAGGGCTGATGCCGGTATGGAGCCGTGGAGTACCTAATGGGTTACTGGGGCTCTGGTTCGAAGTGCAGGAGTAGGACCGGGGTGGTTTTTAGTCAGTAAGAGTCTGACACTCCCATCCACCTCACCCAGGCGGGAGATTTCATTCGATGATTTTCCCCCCTTAAAAAAAAAGAAAAGTGGCAGGATCAATGTTGAAGTATTTCACATTGAGCGCCATGGAGGTGATCGGTGATGACATTAGCTAAGGAATTGCCTTCAACAGTTTTCTTTGGCAGTCAAAACCTTAATAAAGTGTAATATATATAAAAACCATACCTACTAGATACAAAACAATGCTTTACACTGAAACTGATATCTAAATACAAACATGTTGCTATTTATTTTACGGCGGGGGTAATTTTAACTGTACCCAAAATAAAACCAGCATACTTTTATCGAATTCGTTTTTATTTCCCTTTGACTTCATGAGAATAATGTATCAAAGAAAAATACAGTTCCTACTGTGAGTAAATAAAACAATGTGAGCAAAACCTAATATCCCATTGCCATTGCTTATGTACATATAAAAATCTGTTGCAAAATTATAAAGATCACACAATACAGACAGCGGAAAGCAGAGTTTGTTTTATAGTACATAATAATGTAATTGGGTAGTTTCCAGGGTATCAAAATTAAAAATCTAATTAGTCCGTCAGTTAAATAATGAAAAAATATTAGACGCACTTTTTTATTTCCTCGTATTTAAGTTGCAATATTTAGTTAAAATGGCGCAAGTTTAGGAGTGGGAGGTTGTTACGTCGTAACGTGCTACAAAATGTGGCACGCTGTGACGTCACATGATATTTCAAATTAACGGTATTTATAATACATATACATAATTATTTCAAAATAGGTTGCGGTCACCGGTGACCGCTCGGTGTTTGACAGTTTAATATATCGTCGAAAGTATTTATTTTGAGACGAAAGAAAAAATATGTGTCTAAAGTTTTAAATTAATGTACCAGACGGAAATTCAAATAAAATGTAGGAAACTACTCTATTGTCTTAACTTTCCTTTGCTCTTTTTTCACTGCCTTATTAGTTAAGTAGTTACAGTACAAATGCTGATCAAAATACCTTAAGCACTATTCAAACCCGAGCGTACGGCGCGTCGCGTTCCGCGCACGCCTCAAAGAGCCATCAGACCACCACAGATGGGGCCCAATAGGGCCGATGCCGATTCTGAGTCGCGGAGTACCTAACGGGTAACCGGGGCTCCGGCTCAGACGTGCAGGAGAAGGAACGGGGTGGTTTTTAGTCAGTAAGAGTCTGACACTCCCTTCCGCCTCACCCAGGCGGGAGCAGTCATTCGATGATTGTCCCCCCTTAAAAAAAAGCACTATTCAAAAATTGTTTTTTGTATACACTTTCTTATGTTGCTTGTAGTTGCTTTAGTAGTTATACTTTCTGAGGTTCTCCTTGCTTCAGATGGACCACAAGGATCTTTGAGAAGACTAAGGAACCAACTAGCTGAAGATGGTTGTGCTGAGTCACAAGTTGTCCTTGCTAAACAACTTTTGGAAGAAAAATGTGGTAAGTCACTGCCCATACACATGTATACAGGTCGCGTCGTCGCGTCAAATTAAAAGAATGCTTGGGATCAACTTACTGTTTTTTTTTTTTATGAATCGAGATCCTTGGATAATACTATACCAAAAGTAGTCTCGAGCTTGAGTGTTTGCCCCAACCAATGAGATAAGCCGGTAAACGGGCAGACGGATCACCTGATGGTAAGCAATCGGCGTCGCCCATGGACACCCGAAACACCAGAGGCGTTACAAGTGCGTTACCGGCCTTTTGGGAATTAGGAGTTTCAGGATTGTGGGGGATTCGGGGACTTTCTCTTAGTGTCCTTTTTATAGGACGCGAACTGTACTCATTGATCTCACATAACAGAATATAATATGGGTCCAAACATGCCAAAAGTAACTATGGAGGCGTTTATTTATGTAATATTTGTTTGGTAAATTATAAAATTAATGAAATTTTTTTTGTAAGAAAACAAGGATATTCAACACAATACTGTAACAATATATATTTACTTGTTATACTATAATATAGTATTAAATTAGTAACCGAGTATCTATGTACAACATACAGTTGTAACATCTGTGTTGCATATAATTACTTAACCTTATTTAAGTTAACATACGAATTAGTTATATTGTTCCACATAAAATGTAATTAGGTAATTGTGTCGATTTTGCCTCTCGCGTAAGAAATGTGAATCAGTATAATTTTATTTTCCTTATTGCATATTTTTTTGCAATAGGCACCTATATAAACAGTTGATCCACCATCAGCCAATATCCATCCACTGCTAAACAAAGTCGTATTTTAAAGGAGTTTGCTAATCACCTGCTGGATGGGGGCTTGAGGAGTATTATAAGTTCACAATTATTATTGTTCCTTTATTTCAGGCCTATACTGTGGCCCATATTAAATACAATACAAAAATAAATAAAAATACAATACAAAACTGAAACAGATACCAAAAATGAAAACATCAATAAACTAATAGATATACAATAACAAAACTCATATATTATAATTATTGCACACGAAGAGACGGCGTCACAATGCAGGAAGCCATGTCGTACCTCTTGGTGACTGTCCATAGGAAATACCAGAGTGAAGATAAATTTGTTAAACTAGAAATATTAATTATCGTCACCCTGTTACTGTTCCATTGTTGGGCGAAGTCCTCTTCTCACGCGAAGAAAGAATTAGCATTAATCACCACGCTTTTCATACTTATTATTTGACATTATAAGTTCAGGTTTTGACACAATAATTTCCTTTACTGTGTGCCATAAGGGTTTGAAAATTAGGAACTACATATTGCTAGGATTCGCTTGAGGTACACTAATATCGAAATACTCAAACGCTACTAAATTTTAAGTGGCGCTTAAATCTATTATTCTATTTCCTAATATCGAAAAGGCCGGTGACGCATTTGTAACACATCTGGTAATTCAGGTGTCCATGGGTGGCGCCGATTGCTTACCATCAGGTGATCCGTCTGGTCGTTTACCGGCTTATCCCATAAACACGTGTCACGATAGTGTTGCATTAACCGCCGTCTTATCACCCGTAAATGTGTAAACAGCATGGACATTAATGTCTGACATTTATGTTTTCTCGTTAATCTAGACCAGGGAAGGCGAACCTTTACACATTAGCGTGCCAATTACTTTGACGAAAATTGTTTTACGGTTTTATGTGTGCCATCGACTGATTATTACTATTTACTGTCAATCTGTAGCAATAAAGTAAAGTTGGTATGGTAAACTGTCACCGCATTATGACTACAGCTGAAATATTTAAGACACCATAAATGCGTTGTAGGTTTCTGATCATTCATTAGTTTTGTAGTCACTGTCGTGCCCAAAATGTTGTGTTCCGTGCCATCAACGGCACGCGTGCCAATGGTTCGCCATCCCTGATCTAGACGTACCTTAACTTTCGGCCCACCACGACCATTCTACTTGACTTTGAATTGGAAAAATATTTAATTTAAATTATTATTTCAGAGTTAGAAGCAGACAAAATATCTAACTTCAAACAAGCTCTGGAATGGCTGATCTGTGCCACTGAGCAAGCGCACCCTGAAGCAAGGAGAATGCTGAGGCGGTATGTATTGTATTTATTAGGCGCTAGCTTCTACCAGCGTCTTCGCCCACGTTACCGGGATGAAAAGCCTATGTGTATACCTGGTCTTATTCTACCGCTGTTCGGAATCTCACTCCGATGCCTACAGCCGTTTTGACGTAATTGAGAAACAAGTATACTCCTAAACTTTGGCATATATAAATATTTGTATTATGTTACACCATAACATAACACCCTTTTTTTTTGTTTCTCTTTGGCAATCGAGTCTCCAAAACGATGTTGTCGACTATACTGCCAGTGTCGACTGGCGACGAACCTCTTTATTTGGAGAGCCATGCTTTAGCATGAATTAACAGATGACAGTCTTGACCGAAGTGACACTGCGGTCTCACAAAAAAACAGTGTAATACAACGCTTGCGTTGTGTTTCGCAGTTTTATGAAATATCTAATCCTCCCTGCCCTTCCAATCCCTAATTCCCAATACTCAAATCTTAAACCTGGAGGGTTCGGCAACCCACTTGTACCTCCTCTTTTTCACTTGGCCTTGTAAGTCCACTGGTGTTGTGAGCATCCATGGGCGGCACCGATTGCTTACAAGGACATTGAAAAAAGGCGAACATAATGTCACTATAAGTGACGAATATTGAAGCACGAAAATGTCAGTGGTTTTTTATGTGTGCGTGTGTAATGGGTTGCCATGTTACCAGACTTAAGAAAATTACAGATTACAGATATACTTCGTGTCAATGTGTTTATGTTCTGCGTGTAAGTGTATAGTAGCCAGGTGCCACAGTTGTTGTTTCAAGATACTGTTTCAGCCTTTTTTTTCAAACGTTCTTGATTGCTTACCATCACGTGACCAGTTTGCTCGTTTGCCACTCTCGGAGAACCTAACGGGTTACCGGGGCTCCGGCTCGAAGCGCAGGAGAAGGAACGGGGTGGTTTTCAGTCAGTAAGAGTCTGACACTCCCTCCCGCCTCACCTAGGCGGGAGCAGTCATTTGATGATTTTTCCCCATTATAATAAATCCCATAAATAAAACAACTGCAGCAGCATAATGTAGGTAATAATGTAGTATGTGAATATTTATGTAAGACATGTATCATGCATTCTTTACTGAAAATCACTGGTATTGTCAACCACTCTCAACGAAGTATTTACACATATTTCAATAGAAACTAAACCTCCTTTCTCGATTAAAATAAAAGCTGCACAATGTCGTAATAATGGCACGTCACAATGACATATATAACAAAACTTGTAAATTGTCTCGGCATCTAAACAATTGTTCCATTATAACAATATTCTGAGAAACGCAATACCATCAGATTCCCGATAATGACATGAGGTAATACTGCAATAGAGTATTGACGCGATTGTCATGAACAATCACATACCACACAAACGTAAACATAAACATTTATTACTCCCTAACTGCATTATGTCCGAGGACGCGACTGGCGACAGATTTTTACGGCTAACAATTTTCTTAAATAATAATATTATATGTAAACGTATATCAATGCATGGAGAGCTCAACGATTTCGCGATTTGGAAGGTCAAATGGGATAGAGTTCGTGATGAATTGCGACGATCTATGTAAGATTTTTGTTGTACAATATTCTACAAGCTACCTACTGACTTTGTACTTTGTGTCTTGTAAAATCACTTGTAGTTGTAGGTATGTTGATAAACTATAAGCATAATGAAGTACTGCTCCAAATAACCATTTCCTCTAACATCTTCTATTCCATTGCTTGTCTACCAAAATTTCCTTGTGGTAAGATGTTGTGCACCTACCTTACTGTTGCACATGAAGAAACGTCAGAATTCTCGTTACAGAAACCGCTGTAATTTTTGACTTTACGTTGTTATGTAGTTAGTTTTTTTTCTCTTTTGGGCTTTTGTATTGAAAAATATGGAAGGATTAAATGTCCTATATTTACTTTTCCAATATATTTTTTCTTCAATGATGTCTAAAGTGCGTTTGTTCACAAAGAGGCTTGAACCTGTGTTTAGCGGACGCCCGTGACGGGCACTCGTGTTCATGTGCAGGCTCCCGCAGCGGACAGCGGACAGTTTCGTATCGATGTATAAATAAATTATATTATAATGTAGCAAAGCGACGATGATCAGCAAAACAAAACACAAGACAGTAAATTTTCTAATTATCTGCAATTTTTCATTATATCAAGCTGAAAAATTTGTGTTTGAACACTCTAATCTCCGTAACTGCTGGTTTGAATTCAATAATTATTTTTTGTGCCGAGGAATTTTCGTGGAAGGCTATAAAACATCACGCTATGATGAAGGGGTGACTGTGACTCCTCTGGTGTTGCGGGTGTCCATGGGCGGCGCTGATCGCTTACCATCAGGTGATCCGTCTGCTCGTTTGCCTCCTATTCCATAAAAAAAGGGAGCCGATGAACGGAAACCGCACTAATAATATACGCTGAAACCACGTGTACACTCGCGCGAGCAGGCGCGGGCCAACAACTGTTCATATTTTCTTTGATTTTTCGCATTATTTGTATCTTTTCTTAATTTGTCGCGTAGTGATGCTTCAGGGATCAAAGGTTTCAAATATACCAAATCTCGATTTTACAAGAAAAGGAAAAACCGACCGGCAAGGCACTTGCAACTAGTCTGGTATTGCAGGTATCCTATGCTATTAATGTGCTGATCGCTGATCACTTGTCATCAGGGTTTTATTGGTTTGTTTGCCCCCATCCCATAAACACAAAACAAAAAGTGCAATAACATTATTTTCATCGTAACTAACAGAAATATTTTTGTCCTTGTCAGGTGTATTCGGAGTGGTGTGATAGACGAGGACAGCGCAGCTATCGTTCGTGCGAAGTCTTGCCTGGCAGCCAGTCGCCAGGAGACGGTCGCGAGGAAAGCTGCCAGAGACCTCTTCGCTAGGTACGGCTTTTTAAATATCTTGCAGTAAATTACTTAATATCATCATCATCAGCCTATAACTAACCCACTGCTGGAGAAAAGACATCTCATCTCACGGAGAAGAAATGAGTATATTGATCATCTCGCTTGCTCAAGGCGGATTGACGATCTCTGGAATTAGAAGTTATAAATATAACATCACACCTTTATATCCCCGAAGGGGGGTAGCCCGAGGTGCACATTACGGCACTTAATGCCACTGTACAATGTAACACCCACTATTCACTATTTATGTGATGAGTGCCATATAATAGGGGGTGAGCCTATTGCCATACACCGGGCATATTTCGAGACTCCGTGCTACTATTGAGATTTTTTTTTAAAACTTAGTACTTAATAATTTGCCTGACCTGGGAATCGAACCGAGACCCCTTGCCCGGCAGTCGCACTTGCGACCACTCGGCGAACTGTTATGTTATTTGTTACACATGCAACTGATTATGAGCTCCCGTTTGGCTTGAAACTAGTTGAGTGTCCTCGAATCGAAAGCAGGTCGTAAATATTATTTTAATTCAATGTCTCATGATAGATATTATACAAAATAACTGTTTTCTGTTTGCCAGCCTGTCCAACGGCGAGCAATACATAACTACGGCTCAATTGGAGCGCCGTATACGCGAGATATGTAACACTACGCTCAGGAAGGAACCAGAAGATAGTGATTCGCCCGATGATGACACACCAGGTATTGTAATTTGTTTAACTTATGTATTTGACATTGTTCATTGTGGCCGATTTCACTAATTGTACAGATATGGGCTAGTGCCTAGTGGCCGTTTTCACCAACTGTACAGATATGGGCTAGTGGCCGTTTTCACCAACTGTACAGACGTGGGCTAGTGGCCGTTTTCACCAACTGTACAGACGTGGGCTAGTGGCCGTTTTCACCAACTGTACAGACGTGGGCTAGTGGCCGTTTTCACCAACTGTACAGAGGTGGGCTAGTGGCCGTTTTCACCAACTGTACAGAGGTGGGCTAGTGGCAGTTTTCACCAACTGTACAGAGGTGGGCTAGTGGCAGTTTTCACCAACTGTACAGAGGTGGGCTAGTGGCCGATTTCAACAACTATACAGAGGAGGGCTAGTAGCCGTTTTCACCAATTGTACAGAGGTGGGCTAGTGGCAGTTTTCACCAACTGTACAGAGGTGGGCTACTGGCAGTTTTAACCGACCACCCTAAACCATATCTTAACTAAAAGTTACTTATGGTGACGTAGCACTTAAACTAACCCCTAACTTGTACTGTTAGGTGTCGCTTGTAGGTAGGTGAAAACCAAAATGTTTGCATACACTTGTAACAAAGCATTGACCATTTATTGTTTTTATATTAGTCAAATTGAACAATGAGTCGAGTAGCCGAGCCAAGAATAAAGACGATCATTTTCAGAAAAAATGGAAACAAAACCCTCATGTTATTTTTCTATAATATAACAAAACATCACGCCTTTTATCCCCTAACTGGAACGGACTGGGCCTCACGACACAGGGAATCCTAGTGTGGGATCCAGGGCCATACGAAAATGTTATGTGAAGCTTTTTGTCAATAAACATGTTTTTATTTTATTTTTATTTATTTACTGTGACTCTCTTAAGGAAACGTTATTTTTCCAGAAGAAGCGCGGGCTTTAGATGACGGGCAAGCCTTGCAGCCGTCGAACTTGCAAGCAGGCGACCAAATACACAGCAATGGAACTATGCGAACCGCTGACCCGCCCGAACAAGGTAAATAAAGGCACTTTTAATAGAATGAAATAATTTATTTTGACTATGGTGTATAGTCAAAATAAATTATTTCATTGTATCTCGTCCGCCGAGTGCCCAGTGCGACTGCCAGGGGTCTCGGGTTCGATTCCCAGGTCGGGCAAAGTACTAGTGGTTTTTTTTTGTAATTCTCAGTAGTAACTCTGAGCCTGATACTGTGCCCGGTATAGGCTCACACCTTATTACGTGGGACTCATAACAAAAATAGTGAAAAGTGGGTGTTAAATTGTACAGTGGCATTAAGTGCCGTAATGTGCACCTCTGCTTTCATGTTATGTTATGTTTTATACATTACGGTTACGTTTTTTGTACAAAACATAATAGAATTAATGATTACTCAAGAATGCTGTATCCACACAACACTTGAGAATAAAATAAAATTGATTTTATAGATGTGACAGTTTCTGTGTATGTTTGTTACTCAGTCTCGTCAAAATGGCTGAAGGCTATCCCTTCAGCCATTTTGAACATGAAATTTTGAAATTTGAAATTTAGAACTGGTCTCGATTAACATATAAGGTACCTTTCATCCCACAGAAAGGCGTGTGAAGCCGCAAGCAGAAACTAGTATTTAAATAAAATAGAATTGATTTGTACTTTACATTGTTTATAAATTATATTTATATCGTTCATTTCAGAGTACCCAGAAAGATGTGTGCCCAGTGAAGAGATACGGAACCTAACAGTCGATAACTTAGTATCGGCCGCCGTCGACTACTGCCAAGGAGAACTACCCTTAGTCACCTATGAACTGACTCTAACAGACCCTAGTATTAAGGCTTTAGACCACATACCGTTGCTACACCAGGCGTTCTTACACCCCATCGTCTTTTTACAAGTCTTGTATCTCAAGTTACTCTATTATTTCGGAAGTTTTAACTTTAGGCTGTCAAATGTAGAACTTTCTTTGCTCCTCATTGCATATCTATCCGTCAGCTCGGATAGTCTCTATCACTTAGTTCCATTAGCGATGTACTACGCGAGTTTTGTCGCAATGGTCATCTGTACATTCAAAATGTTACACGCTAAAAGGCAATTCATCGACTTTAGAAAGTGGTCGGGACTGTTCCTCAGGTATAGCGATGGTAATCTGCAACCAGATGAGTCGGAAAATCTGTTCGTTCGAAACAATCTTGGTCCCTTTGTTCAGTTCTTTTCTGCACTATTCATTAATCTATTTTTATATCCCTTTATAGCGACTCAATGGGTACCCTTTTCCGAATTCTGTGTCTTGTCATTTTTCCTAATGTTCCTTACGTTGATATCGTTTGGAACTTCTATCCAAGGTGGCAGTCCGTATCCAGATCTACTCGCCTTCCTATCATTCGGTATCAATGTATTAGCAAAGTATCCGTATGAAAAAGACACCGTCGTTCACCAAGGCTGGAGGTTTCTCGACTTGCAGGTATCGAATTACCCGTCTTATATATTGGGTAATAGCGTCGAGTTTTGCTTGAACTCTAGGGTGTTTTTTTCTTTGTTGATCCCTGTTATTTTGGTGGGTATGGCTAGAAGGAGCGGTTGGCAGGGTTTCTTTAAGTATGCGTTGCCTCATTGTGTGACGTTGAGTTGGTTGCAGATGTTTATAACTTGTTCTCATGGGTGTACTACGTATGGGTTGATACGTGGCACGCTCGCATTGGTCTGTTCGTTTCTGTTCTTGCCTCTAATGGGTGTAGTGACGGTGACGCTACCAATATTTGCGTTCCTTCAATACATTACGATGTCTCGCGTCCTGTACACGGTGTCTGTTGCTGTCGGTTTGGGGCTAAGTCTTGGGGTTACTTGCCTTCTAGCTAAATCTGAAACTACTAAGAAGTTTGTCACTCCTTTCCAGGTGAGTTTATTTCATTTCTTTATTAGTTTTTATGTGATAAGCCGGTAAACGAGCAGACTGATCACCTGATGGTAAGCAATCGGCGCCGCTCATGGGTAACCGAAACACCAACGCGTTACAAGTGCGGTACCAGCCTTTTATAGATTGCAATTTGAGGATTGTTGGGTTTTCGGAATTGGAGAGACAGGGAGGGTAAATGGGCCTCCGGTAACCTCATTCACACGACGAAACACAATGCAAGCGTTGTTTCACGTCGGTTTTCTGCTCGGCCGTGGTATCGATCCGGTCGAGCCGGCCCATTCGTGCCGAAGCATGGCTCTCCCACACTAAAATTAATAGTCAATGTTATCAATTGACGGAAGCGACAATAGGCTTAACAGTGATTATGTTTTAGTCTTCAGTAGGTTTATGACTAAAATCCTTTAAAAATATGTTCCCATAACATGTTATGTAGATACTAATATTCATATCTTTTTCCACAGCTCATAATTGGCGTCATAACTCTAGTCTACTTAGGTAACCAATTCGTAATGAACATACAAGATGATGGTTTACCGTCCAGCCTCATAGAATTAATAGGCGACGAGAAATCGAGCATCAAGAACTTACTCAAAAACGAATTTATCACTGACTATGAGGATAACACGTACCATATCAACTGGGACGACTATTACAACCAATGTAACATCCCATCTTGGTCGGATTATAATACGGCAGCCACGCAAATCAAATGCTCTATACTAGATGGCGCCAACGTAAATTGGGAGGGTTATGTCAAAGACGTCCAACTAAAGAATGTTAGAAACCGATGGCGAGATGTCGTCGCCTGGTTGCCTGGCTTCCTGCAAGAATACTTTAGGTGCTACTACGGAGAGGAATATTCGACTTTATGTCAAGGGGAGGAGAGTTTGCAATCGGCTAATGAATGCGAGTTTGTTAGGAGCGTCGCGCGCCAAAGCGGGAAGAGCTGCCATTTAAATAATTTAAATGAGTGAGTTACTTTTTTTATCTTTTATTATTTTTTTACTGTAAATTTATTACATTTGTATTTGGTTTACTTGGTTGTTTAGTCAAAAAAATTGCAGTTGTCCGCTGTAGTAGCAGTCTATTGTAATTTATATTGTTAAAAAGTTACTTCCGCGCGATTTCAGCCGCTCTACTCGGCTTCTATTAGTCGAAGCGTGATGTTTTCTAGCCTATAGTCTTCTTCGATAAATGGACTACCCAACACAAAAATGATTTTTGTAATCGAGCCAGTAGTTCCAGAGATTAGCGCCTTCAAACAAGCAAGAAACGAAAGGGGTTCTCTTTTTGACGTGTGTATGTATGTATGTATGTTTGTGCGCGATTATCTCGCGATTAGTTGAACCGATTTTGATGCGGTTTCCGGAAAAGTGTTTGTTACACTTATGAGAAGGGTTTAGTATATTAATTAACCGACTTTAAAATAAAAGGGGGTTGAAGTCGGTTTTTAATACGTACTTTATAAAATAATTATTAATTGAAAAAACAATACACTTTAGATTTGGAAAAACTTTCATAGGATGTTTCTTTTAAATGTTATCGGATATGTTAATAACACTTGTTTGTTTCCACAGATACACATATGAAATAAAACTAGTAATGGAGGCGAGCGGTGGTATCCTGAAGCGTCATACAGAAATATCCATAGTCTTCGATCATTGCTTCAGTAATTTCACAAGAATGCTACGCGCTGACGACAAGATCAGATTCAAAGGAGTGCTGTCAAACGATAATACACCTTATAACATTGGCACTACGGACATAAATATAAAAGGATATGAAATAAATTGTCTAGAATGTAAAGAAGCCCGGGGCACAGTTCGCGCGAAGGCACCTTCTGTATCAAAATTCTCAGAGCTGTTTAAAACTATAGCTAACGATTGTGTTGTGTCTACAAAGTATATTTTAAACTTTTTGTTAAATCCAGTCGTTGTTTTTAAATAAATGATTTATCTATGTTTTCTATGCTTTTAAGTTTTTTTTCTGTTCAGTGTACTACTATGATCAGTTTATCGGCAGTAGAAACTAAAATATACTCAAGTGTCATCACTTTAACTCGTCGAGTACCGGTTTTATAGACACAATTAAAGAACAATAGGTCGCGGTCACCGGTGACCGCTTGGTGTTTGACAGTTTAAAGTTGGTTATCCTACGCTCTTTTTTATCTACTATTGGATGACTTTATGATTGAGTAACTGGTATGCGGAGCCATTAGCGTTGTTTTTTTCATTTTATCGAACCCTCGATAACTTAAAAAAGTTTTTCAACAAAAAAGGTTCTCATTTTAACCACATAAATGCACCGACACAATAATTGTGAGACACATTAGAAAATACATTGTGTCTCGCGTGGATCCACGTTTAGACACGACGGGTTAAAGGCGATTGAATTGCCTTTTATACGTCATACGTTACCAATTAATAAAATACGTTACTTGTATCACAAAATATTTATCAAGAAATGAAAAAGAAATATCGCTAGTGGTTCCGTTTTTTGCTTCCAAGTGTATATAATACTTAAATTACGGCGGAAAATTATTATTATTCTTCTGTGTTAAAGTTTTTCGACAATCACGTTTGTTTCGTTATATTATTATGTCTACCTATATAATAGTGTTCTGATGCTAATCGTTGAGTGCCATTGCATAAAAATTGGAGGGAAAAATAAGTGAATAGATTAGAATGACAATTTTCACTGCACCTATCATATGTCATTGTTGAATTGAATCAAATTGTTCATTTTCTTTTTCATATTTTACTTTTAAAAGCAGGGTAGGTAAATGAAATCAATACCTTATCAAAATCAACTATTACTGAAATGATCATTATAATATTTTATTCTTGTTCATAGTTTGAACTACGTATTTCGAGTCAATCCGATTGTTTTCGAGCTCGACCGATCGAATGCGTAGTTGAAACTATTAACGGTATATGTTTATCCCACGAATGTTATAAAAAGGTGTTAGTTTTTAATTTTTTAGATATGTATATGCATTTAAAAATATTTTATGAACTCGTTTTATTGATAGGAAATGAAATGTACCTATTGTTATAATAATTAAAGTATTATCGAGATTTTAATGTAAAGAAATTACTATATTTGTGTATAGACGTGGTAGATGATGTGATGTGTGACAATAGAGCATATATTTGGAATGTCAGTGTTTTAATAAAAAAAATCAAATAACGACACTGTTGTTCATTGTACCCGTTTTAAAATTGCGATATTGTGTTATCCATTTTTTATTAAATAGTTTGTTGTGGCTTTATAAGATTATTAACTTTATTGTTTTGAGATAAAGTCGAAAATTCAATTTTTGGTTGATTATAGTAGATTGGCAATTGACATAAAATGCTGGCGAGATAGTGGTCAAACGTCAGTCCCATCTAATATAAAAAAAGACTACGCATGTAGTGGCTCGCCTCATGGTAAACGATGATTGTGGTTGAAGAATTCCTCCAACACCAGTGGCCATATTATAAGAAACTGTTTAAATCCGTCATTATAATATGCCAAAACACGCAATCAAATGCAGGATTCATCATCGTCATCAGCATATAAGTGGCCCCTGCATTTTTTTTGTTTTTATGGCATAAGCCGGTAAACGAGCAGACGGATCACCTGATGGTAAGCAATCGGCGTCGCCCATGGACACCTGGAAAACCAGAGGCGTTACAAGTGCGTCACCGGCTTTTTGGGGATTAGGAGTTTGAGGATCGTTGGAGATTCAGGGATTGGGGAGATTGGGGAAGGGGAAGGTAATTGGGCCTCCGGTAACCTCACTTACACGACGAAACACAACGCAAGCGTTGCTTCTCGTCGGTCTTCTGTGAGGCCGTGGTATCACTTCTGTCGAGCCGGCCCATTCGTGCCGAGCAAAAGCCTCTTCTCACTCTTCTCACAGGGAGTTTTGAATAATTACACGGTTGCTGGTGGAAGGATGGCGATTTCAAACTTAATGATTTGAAATTCTATGTCCAGGTCTTCTCAGAATGTTTTCCTTTACCATATGTCAGTGGTTAATAATTTATAATTCTGCAAACGAAATTAAACAAAAAAATTAACATCACTAACTAGAATGCAGTAATATACCACGTGCAAAATCAGATTATTGGCGCTCAACGTGGGACAGAAAAAGCGAGTTCCTGCTTTGGGAAAGTAGCGAGCAGCTGTCTCCACATAGTTCGAGCAGAAATCAACAGATGGCGCGCTTACATAATAATTTTAGTCTATAAATACGTACTTCTAACGTACCTACCTGATAAAAGCATCTTATTTTGACGAATTGTTGTTCCGGGTCTGGGAAGGTAAGTGTGTATGTACCTACATATATATTTCATTTATGCATAATATATTATTTTCATAGAGGCCTTTCTAACCTCATTAGTAAAATCACAAGTTAGCATGTAGCAGCTCAAAATAAAAAATAAATACTTTTATAAAAATAATTAAAACTCATATATACCTGTACTTGTCTTTCCTATTCTATTCGACTAGTGTTTATTCCATTTGTATCGGCAAATATGATAAAATGGCTATTGAAGAAGACAAGATATGAATAATACAAACACAAGAACCGACAAGTCTTGAAAATTCACGGAAAATATTTTTCAATTTTGTTCAGCGAATGGACGAAGTAAAAGTATGTGGATACCGTCAAGATAAAAATTTTATATTAACTCTGTGGTTTATTCATTTTGTACGTATTTAAGATTTGAATATTTTACGTATTAGATGCTCTGAATGTTATGTTTTACATACCTACCAGTAGGAAGGAACCGAAAACAAGAAAGGAAAATATGGCATACTTCGCCCGTACCTGAAATTAAATAATGATGTATTTATAAAGGAACTAGCAAACCAGGCGAACTCCGTTTCGCCACCAGATGGCTTCGTTGTATGTAACATTTCGTTTAGTGATTAGTGAATTTTGCTATAAACCTCACGGAGCCCGAGACCTTTCCAACGAATGCAAAACCGTGGAAATCGGTTCGTGCGTTCTGGAGTTATAGCGTCAGGAAGGAAAACCCGACTTATTTTTATATCGTAGATTAGGTTTCTTCAATTTTCATTCATCACAATCTATTTATTCTTATTATTAGGTGAAAAGTTCCATTGTATGGGTAATGGGAGGCCATTGACTTTAGACATTAAGGTAATCCCCGTAAAGTCAGTTATATTATAGGTACTAGCTCCTACCGCGCCGTTTCACCTTTCACCCGCTTTGCTTGGCTCCTGTTGGTCAGTATTTTCTCCTGTGCCATAGGTGCGTTTACAAATATATACATACAAATTCACATAGGTACATATCACACCCAGACAGACTCGGAACAACATGTTGTGGCTCACACAGAGTTGTTCCGTGCAGGAATCGAACCCGCGCCACGTTGTGCAGCAGCCAGGTCCCCAGTCAATGTGTCAGCCGCGCAGTCTTTTATATTTTAGTAAGTAATATAAGTAGTTTAACAGTAGGTAATAAACACACCTTGAAATAAAAATAAAACTACGTTTAAAAAACTGACTTCAACGGTCAACCCGGTCGGTTAATATACTAAAAACCTCCTAAGTAAAAGAAAGAAAGATAAATAATTTATTCGTCACCAGGCATGGACCACCAAATATACACACATAAAATAACATTGAAAAAAACAAAAACTATAAATGCGTTTTCCACTTTTCTGAAAACCGCATCAAAATTGCTTCAGCCAATCGCGAGATAATCACGCACAAACATACATACATAACAATACACACATACGTACATAACAGTACAAGTACAATACACACATACATACATAGAGGTCAAACTTGGAACCTTATTTGAAGTCGGTTAAAAAAGATTTCCGAAAATACAATAAAATTATAAGTCCAGAAAGATTTGTAAAGCCGTGTACCTCCGTCCTCGAGTATGCTAACCGTATAAAATATAACATGCGAAACTGTCCCTAAGGAAGGAAGAAATATTTGCTGTTTAAGTGAACGACTTTATTATGGTTAAAATATGTTCGAACATTAGTTTAGAGTGACTTTTTATTCCCTTTGCTCGGATAGTGGCGCCCGAATGGGACCGAGGGACCATTTTGAAACATTTATGCTTCTGTTAATTCTGTGTTATTTTGTGAATAATATAATCTTAGATTATGTTCGGGAAGATTTCTGTTATAGATTTTGTTGTACCAGCTCTTGCTTTCAAATGAATGTAATGCACTAATACAATAGATTTGCAACTTCTCAGATGTCCTTAAACAGATACTGAACCTGATATGAAAAAGTACTGCGTGGATTTAGTTCAAATTTTGCATGAATGTTAATAACTGGTCGGGTCAACATATTATAGTCTACATATTATCATGCTGTCATCTACGGGGGAGGCGATGTATAAAATATCTATTTATATTTTAACAGGAATCAAAGCCAATATGTGCCACTGTTTGCTGTATACAGATATAAGGAAAAAATAACATGGCTAAATGTACTCATACAATTTTTTTACATATTCAACTCCGCTTCTAAAAGTGTTTGAATCAAATACTGAGTCGATTCGTTGAAAAGCGCTACAGAGAGTAACAAAAGAAAAAAAAGGAGTAGATACAGACTGGACTAGTCCCTTTTATTTCGAGTTTTTCTTTACAAAACATTCAATATAAACCGCTCAGCAAGGTTTAAAGTCTATTGTGGTTTAGTGGCTAAATCGATAGAGTTTCTTTTTTTTATGGCATAAGCCGGTAAACGAGCAGACTGATCACCTGATGGTAAGCAATCGGCGTCGCCCATGGACACCTGGAACACCAGAGGTGTTACAAGTGCGTCATCGGCTTTTTGGGGATTAGGAGTTTGAGGACGGTTGGGGATTCAGGGATTAGGGAGATTGGGGAAGGGGAAGGTAATTGGGCCTCCGATAACCTCACTCACACGACGAAACACAACGCAAGCGTTGCTTCACG